AAGGGTACGTGACCGTGGCCATCTGTGACGGGTCCCTTCCTCAGCAGTGGCACTTTGAGAGCTGAGACAGCCAGGATGTGGCTGAGGAGAGTTAAGCTGAGACCTGGTTCCCCTTCGGCCGTGATTTGAAGTCGTTCTGGAGAGCTTTGCGTGGAGCCCTTGGCTGCTACACCCGGCACGACCATCGCAAGGACCCGCTGGAAATGCCCTGCCCTGAAGGGCTGCGTGGGTGGGAAGCTCCAGGTGGGCACTGGTCCCTGGTCACAGCAGTGACAGCAGCAGTGACTGCAGGACAGCACATAGAAATGCAACTTATCATCGGTTCCTTGGGTGATCCTGGATTATGGGACTGGTTTTAAGTAAGAGAAATCATTAGCGCAGTGTAATTTAAATGGGGAGAGTTCAGCTTTGTGGATCTCTTAAATGACAATGACAGAAAGGAGTCCTCCTCAAGTATTTCATGTGCAGTATCTCAATAATTTACATTTCTAGTATGAGTTTACTGGCCAAATCATTTTACTTTTTCTGGAAAATATTTTTATTCCCTTTTATCTTCTGAAAATTGTCATTCGTAATATTTAAATTTAGTTCTTTTAATTTACAATTCTAGGACATTTCATATAGTTTAAATTCTTTGCTGTCATTCGTCACCTCGTATTTAAAACAAAGTAACTATTGCAAAGTCTATTTTGATGACTCATGACAGTAGCTGCATTTAAAATAAAAGTATCATTTTTTAATTAATCTGTATGGCCTTACTCTTTGTAGCTGTTGGACCAGAAAGCACCTACTTACAGAATGATGCAAACTAATCTTCATATAATTTGGGTCTTCCCTGGTTTTCACTCCCTTTCTCCCTTGCTCATGTCTTTGGAAGGTTTGACAGACAATGTTTTCTCCCTTCACTTCTCTGTTTTCATTTATTTCACTGTTTACCTTTCTTTGACTTCCTGCCTCAGCCCTGGATGCTGCTTCAGTGCCTGGAAGCTGCTGCAGAAGAGAAATGCTGCTCTGTTTTTTTCTTAGCACCACTGGCCTTGTTTCCTGTGCCACAGTGACCTGCCCTCCCTGGGAACGTGCACTTTGGATGTTGGCAGCACCAGGACAGCCTTGTCGTTTTGCCTGGGCAGCACAAACATTTTCCAACTGCACAAATATTCCAGCATCCAGTTGTTGACGTTTTGGGCAGCATGAGGGAGGTAATGTTGGAGTAATTACAGAGCCACATCTTCCCACAGAGAGGAGATCCACTTGTGACAGATTGTGTTTGGTCCTTCAGCCCTCTGCCAGGGCTGGCAGCTGAGGAAGCAGAGGAGCAGGTGAGAGCAGCCCTGGCCACCAGGCAGCTGTTTGGCTCCTCCATCAGTCCTGGAAGCTCTGAGTCACCAGCAGAGAGAAACCAGGTACGTGGGATTTAATTGCAAACCAGAACAACAGGCTGAAGGGGAGGTGCTTCCAAATAAAGCATTCCAATGGAAATAGTCGAGTTAGACACCAGCAAAGCTCCTTCTTACCAAGGAAAGCCTCTGAAACCAACCCCAGCCCCCTTGGTCAGCTGAACCCTGTGCCCTTGTAGGGGCACCTGGAGTCTGGAGATCTTGCAGGGCAGTGCAGGGCTGGAACACGGTGTCAGCTTGGAGCAGAACCCTTTCGGTGGCAGCAATGGCAGCCTGGTGGTTGCTGTGTGTGGAATTAATTCCACCCTTTTTGTGATGAAAGGATGGGCTGCAGCTTCATTGATGCCTGTCTGATTAACCCTGGCTGCTCCCAGGGGCCAGTGGGGAGCAGCAGAAGGTGCTGGTTCAGCTGGTCCCAGCTGAGTGCTGGGCTTTCCTGTGACATTTGTGTTGGCACTCATGTTGTGCAGTGGCCTCGTTCGGCCTTTTCTTTTGTGGCCTTTGTCCTTTTAAAAAATAGTAAAAACCAAAAAAAAAAAAAACCCAAACAAATCCTCAAACAGGCAGAGCAGGAGCTGGCTTTATTTACAGTCTTAGTCTGTTGCCACAGAGAATTTTTGACCTTTTGCTCCCGGTGAGGAAACTTCTGTCACCGAGAGTGGCACTGACTTCTAGGAACAGATGGAGGCGATGGCACTTTGGAACGGTGTCCCTCGTCTGTGTAGGGAATTATTTTTGGCCACAGTTGTTTCTGCTGCAGCCACACAGCCAGGCCAGCACACAAGGATTTGAACAGGGTTAGACATCTCTGCTGTGAACACCCAGCCCCGGGCCAGGTGACTGCTCCCAGCTGAGCCCTGCACGGCTGCACCTGGGGCAGGTGGAAATCCATAGTTTTGTCCCATATTGGAGTGACTGCTCCCAGCTGCCCCTGTGGACTGTGGGTGAATAGGTAGAAGGAAAAGCCCCTGAAAAGGGCAGATGGTGTCACATAGCTAGTTGTTTTCATACTGAGAATTCATCACTTGTAAAGAATACAAAGAAACTCTGCCCGGGGTTGATTTTTAAGCCTCTGTGTCAAGCACCTCCTCGAAGGCTCCTGGAGTTGGTAGTGGCCGTGGCTGACAGAGGAGCAGAGTGTCCTCCAGCAGCCAAAGTGCACGATATAAATAGATATAAATAACACCAGAGAACAGCTCTGGCCTGGCTGCTTCCCACTGCTCTGCAGTAAATCTTGGAGCCTTTTTTTAGCCTCAACCCGTGCTGAGGTCTTGCTGGGAACACCTCTGGTGTCAGGCGCTGTCACAGCAGCAGCAGCGACGTTTAACCCTCTCAGTCCTTTGCTCACTCTCTGACAGGAGATGGGGAGACTCGGAAGGGCGAGGGTGTTTTAAAGCTCGTGGGCTGAGATGAACACAATTCAATGGAGAAAGCAGAAGTTGGGGTCAGCTGTCCCTGCCGTGTCCCATCCCAGCTCCTTGCCCACCTCACTGGCAGCAGAGCAGCCTCAGGGCTGGGCGAGTTCTGCTCAGCAGGGACAAAACAGCCCTGATGGCAACACTGTCCTCATCCCAAATCCAGAGCGGGGAAGGCACCACAGCAGCTGCAATGAAGAAAATGATCCCAGCACAGGCAGAATCTTCATCTTTTGCAGATTCTCTGGGAGAAACACGACGGCAGGGAGTGGAGTCTGGAAGGTGCTCAGGACGTGGCACCACAGTGTGAGATGCAGGGTGCAGGCTGCACTGGAGCTGGGGGAAGGCAAATGCCTCTCGCTGGTGGGAGCAGACACAAATCCTGGAAGAGGCAGAAAACAAGACACCTCAAATGACAACAGGAGGATGTACTTTATAGATGTAAAATATTTTTATTCGTAAATGCTGATCTTCTAAATCTGTTTCCACAAATTCCAAAACCCATAACACTCTGTATACTTCAAAAAATTCCTTTTTTTTTGTGTTGTTTTTTTGTATTTTTTTTGCCAACATTAGATACTATTATACAGAACAGAAAAAACTGTAGGACAAATACTGGTAGGATGTTGGAATATTGTACAAGAGAAGAAAAATATTCAAGAAACAATTTAATACAGCTATTTATCAAGAGAAAAATATATACAATTGATTTATTCTGTAAGATAAAAATACATCATGCCATATACATTACAAGTTCAGAACTGTATTACTGAATATACCAACAGTTTACAGTCCACTTTAATTGTGCACACAAAAAAAAAAAACTTCATTTTTTTTTTATATTTAGCCTGTGAAGTGTCAGTACCAGAATTTTAAGTACAAAATAAAAAGCTAACCTGGTTCAAAATGCTGATTAAATTTCTACAAGCAAACACAAAACAGTGTTTATTTTTTTAAAGAAATGTAAACAAAAACAATCCATACAAACACATCTTTAAATTACATTTTCCAAAACCCTATTGCCAGAGTCCTGCAGCTGCAAGCACATTACACCTAATTTTTTTTCCTTGTTTTCCTTTTAAGAAGGCTATCGCATCAGACTGAAGCTCCAACTGATTCTATGCTGTTTACATGATTTAATGTAGGCTGAACAGTCACCTAATCTTGACTACTTTTTGCTGAAGAAAAAAAAAAAAACAAACCATGTCCAGCCTCTATTTTGGGTGGTTTTTTTAGCAGTTATTCACAGTTATCACAAATTGTAAGCACAAAAAAACCTGACTTAAGAAATAGGGATGCAACAATATAATACAAATAAAATTAATCTAAATTACCCAAACATCTACAAAAGTCAGAGTTGTAATATACACGCCCTAACCAGGCTTAAGGTTTACTTAAAAAAATTCTCGTAAGACCACAGTTGAGACTGCTTTAAACATACAAAACCCTCTCTCTTTAAACTGAGATTTTGGTTATTCCGTACTGGGAATCGCATGTCCGTGAGTACATGAGATCATATTGTAACATCCCTATTGACGTTTGAGAATAAGCACCCGAACTGCTGCAGAGTCTGGTAGCATTTGGTCAATAACTATTTTTATACTGTATTTTTTTTTTCTCAAAATATTTACACTTTTATACAAAGTAACAGAGTTTGTTAGTTCTGCAGGTAACAGCAGCAGCTTGGCTTTCTTCTAACTTTCTTTTTAAAAATAGCTTCATTCACTTATTCAATAATAAATACAAAAAGGTTCTCTTATTTTACAGAAATCAAAAACTACAATAAACTGACTCATGGAATCAAGTATTTAAATGTATTTTAGTGCAAGTTATTTTTTCCCTTAGCTCTATCCCTAAGGAAGTCGTTTCAGTACATTCCTTGTTCAGTGGTGTCTACTTTTATTTAAAATTTTTCTTTAATTAGAGGGCCTGCCCCTTTATCAAATAAGGCTGTGGCCAGCACTTTGGACTTCTCCCTTTCGCTGGTGATTTCAGTCTTACATTCATAGTGGCCACCTGCCCTCCTGCAGGTCAGCCAGCGGTTCTTTGCCCAAGTTAAAACAGTTTCTCCTTAGTGAGCTCAAAAACAAAAGTGCTGGACCATTCTGTTAACTCAGTTTAACCTCCACATGTCTGGAAAGTCAGCTTCAGATTTTGCCGGCTTGCTTCTGGTGCTTGTTGGTTTGTGTGGGTTGTTTTTCCTTTTTTTTTTTTTTTTTCCTTTTTTTCTTTTTTCTTTTTAAATACTTGTGTAGAAATCTGTACTTCCAGAAGTGATTTTTTTTTTTCCCCCCACCCCCCTTCAAAAAGGCAACAATTTTCCGTCGACAAAATCAAAATGTGAATCACTTCTTCCTAGGGACAAGCAACCCTCAAAGACAGCAAGGAATGCATTCTAGTTCATCCACTTTCGGCAGTTTACAGCTCCACAGTGACATGGAATCTTGTGCTGGTCATCTTCAAAGTCAAACTTGTAGTCATAGCAAAGCTGGAAGGAGATGAAGGAGAACGGTTATGGAACAACCAGGATTGGCCGCAGCTTCCCCCGTGGCTGCAGGATGAACAGCAGGACACACCAGAGGTCGTGCTGTTGGGCACTGGTGTGGTTTCAAAGGAAAGAAGGGAAATGTCACCTCCCCCCCAGCACAAACAGGTTGTGCCACGGGCCAGAAATCATGGAAGTATCTAGAAATGGATGGACCTGGCAGGAGTCCATCCCGCCCTGGTAAGATCCAGACCCGCCCTTACCTCCTCCCCCTTCTGGATTCTTCTGCTGGAGCTAATGATGATTTTGTGTCCTCTCTCAAAAGTGACCACCTCAGCCACGCAGTTGGGCGCACACGAATGGTTGATGTACCTGTGGGAAAAGAGCAGGACAAAGGTCACCTTTCAGGAAAAGGCATCCCTTGAGGCATGTAACCAAACCTCAGCACGGCCTTAACTCCACGGGCTCACCGCCTTCCCACATACAATTATATTACTCTGAAACTTGTGCCTTTACCTAGAAAATGTCAAAAAAACCCCACAAAAAACAAATATCAAAAAAAATTTCATTCTCTCTTCATGGCTGCCATGAAACATACTGAAAGATGGGCAGAGTTAATGAAAAAGAAATTATTTTGGTGGAATAGTCCATAGACTGAATGTATCAGCTCAGAGAATAAATCCCTCAAACTGTGCCTCACAAAGAAGCCCCAGGCAAGGGAACACAGGTGACGGCCCAGAAGGAGGTCAGGGAATGTGGAAGATGCCCCAGGAGGAGGTCAGGGATCGCTCCAGGGCCACCCACCTGGCAGGGCCTCCCGTCAGGGTGGCATCGATGACGTGGTCGTTGTCAATGCGGAACATGTACACACCACGATTCTGGAAAACACAATTGGGATGAGGAGTCTTGTTAAGATTTTAATTCATTGTCAATGAGGAAGCAACAACGTGGGTCAGCTCCAAGTGCCCTCCTGCATTCTGGATCAGGCACTGCCCACTGGCTCACGAGGGAAAGCGTGAGTCACGCACTGCTGTATCCTCACGGGTTTGTGGGGGATGATGGGTCATAAAAATAAACCTCTGGTCAACTCATTTTTCCCTCCCAGCTTCCACAGTGTTTTTAATCCGTGCTTCCAGTGTTTCACACATAGGAACTGTTACTGCTACTGAGTTATGCAAGGGAAGTTGCTTTAACTTTAAAGAACTTCTCATTAAGGACTGAGGTCCTGAAACATCTGCCAGAGCCCCTCTTTCCTACCTGACCAGGGTGCTGTGAGATTTACTAAACATTTAAACACTCATAACAACCACCGTGGATTCCTCTGGTTATACTTTTAGCCTATTGCATTTATAACAGAAAACAAATCAGGAGACCTGAATTCATGAAGTAGAACAGGGGACCCGAAGTCATCAATCAGAAGAACAGTGCTTTGCTTTGTTGTACCAATGTTTAAATGGGGAAGGGGAAAGAGAGAATGAACAAACACCTGAGATTCATAGAGCTTCTCCTTCCTGTTTGCCACCTCATTCCGGATAATCGTTCCGATGTATTCAATGACCATAGTGTGCTTTTCAATGTCTCGAGCAGCATATAAGCCCAGGCCCTATGAAAAATAACACTGAGATTTAGAGTTCTGTAATAAATCTGCATCGACACTCCGTTCCTCACCGTGCCCCAAACTGCTCCTGCAGAAAATAATGTGGAAATAGTTGGAGAAGGGGAAACAGCACTGACACACAGCTGATGCCTTAAGAGAAGCCAGCTTCACAGGGGACTTTTGAATGCAAGAAAACATACTTGGCTGCTGTCTTGGTGAGAAAGCTGCTCTTACCCTTCTGACACCTGACTGTGTAAAGGTTATAAATTCACTGAAAAATAAAGAGGGCCTTGCTAGACTGGAGAAAGCTGATAGGAACCCAGCAGCAATGTTTAAGTCCAACCTGAAATAAACAACAACCGTGTCCACACACGGCGAGATTAGTGACGAAGCGTTTGCAAAACTGTGGAGCAAACCAACAGCATGACATAAAGCAATGGGGTTCTTATCTTATTAATGCAAACAAGTATTGAGCTCTCCATGCTGGTCTTGTACCACTTCACTCAGCTTGGCCTGAGCATCTCGTGCTTCCACTGTGCATTTCTATTTTTATTAAAAGTTTTACTACGATTTTTGAGAATTTGCTAAAAAATCCCACCCCAAAACTTCTAAAACCCCTTTTTTTCTAGATGACTGTAACAAATGAATTTTTAAGATATTTACAATAATCAGAATGAAATCTTACTTAACATAAATCTTTGGAAGGGATTTGCCACATGAAAATCACCCATTTTGGGACGAGACTTGGCGGAATTTCGCAATAGGTTTAGTTTCAACTTTTAATCTAAATTTACATAAGCATTTATATAAAAAATAAATAGTAGTTACAAAATTTAGAGGTAAAATAGATAAAAATAAGAGTACATGTTAATATTTTAGCATCCGTTTTCCAAAGTGGGACCGACCTGAATCCGAGAGCGAGCCAGGTACACGTTGGACTTCCATTCGGTTTTCATCTTGCGGTACTGAGAGGACTTGGAATGGACGAACTGTTTGCTGTAAGGCGCGTTCAGCTCCCCCGTGACTGTGCTCTGAAAGGACTTCGATGTGCTGGTGCTGTTCAAGGTGTGAGGCCTGTAGGGTTTGGGCATGTAACAGGAAAGAATACAAGAAAAACTGAAGATTTCTCTGAAAAAATGCCACAGGCCCCATTAAAAACCCCTTCAGACATACAGACACTTAAAGCCAGCTAGCGGAGACACAAAGCGGTTCCTCTGACCGGGGCATGCACATACACAGCCAAGGACGACAGGGTTTGTAAGCAGCAGACGAAAGCACAAATAACCCTAAGCAGCCTATAAACCCTGGGCTGTACTATGTGAAATTAAAACAAAATACCTTAACACAAACCTCTTGACATGGGTACTCATTTTAGGCTCGGCACGGGCGCAGCCCGTGGGGTTGATGGCAAGAGGAAGTTCCATTAAGGGGTTTCGGCCATAGCGGAAAGTGTAGTTCTCGCAGGCCTCAACCCCTGGCAGCTGCAGAGACAAAAAGAGGAAAAAAAAAAAAAAATCCAAGTGATTAGGTGTTCATTGTGTGCAACAAAATATTTACTTTTCCACACCTCTTCCTGTTCCCCTTCTCATGGGTCTCTCCAACACCTGGGTGATCCAGCAAGAACTGGGGTGGTGGGGACTCACCGATTCGGCAATCCTGGCCACTGCAGAGACTGTCAAACCAAAGAGGTCTTCACCCTTCAGATAGCCGGGAAACAGCTGGAGCATTTCAGATTCTTTTCTAACAGAAGCAACGGGCTCCAAGATTTTATCCCACACACCTACACAACCATCAGGAAAGAATTACAGTGATCAAAACAATAAAACACCATTGCGCCGGTTTTAAATCGACTGCCCGAGGATAGGGGAACCTGAACCCAGGACTGAGAATGCTTTTGTTCTTGCCTACACAACCAGGCTGGGGTCTAAAATGTGGAGAATGATTTGGAGAGTTGCTAATTTTTGGGATTTGACAAATCCCAAACAAACACTCCACCAACTCTGCACCCTTGATTCTCAGGAATGAAACTTTTAGTGTTCTCAGCATGGAAACTTTCCATCCTCTGATAACAAGAGGACGGACAGGATCTCTTGAGAAATCCTGCAAAAGTAGAATTTTCTGAAAATACACGATATACTCTATATTCCATTTCCACTGATGGACTGTAGCCAGCACTCGCTGTACGTGGACAATTCCCTGGCACTGGCCTGACTGGACAGAGCAAGGCTGAGTTTATCAGCACCTGCAGCACAAAGGAGTCAAGACCAGGACTATTACAACCCCCACACGCATCCACAAGCTGTTTTCCATGACCTGTCCTTACATTTATGATCCAATGTATTCCTCACCCTGCCAGAGATGTTTATGCACCCTGAGAACAACGTCAACACTCACAAGGTCTTCTAAACGCTCCCTAACTTAAGCCCAGCTGATTTGAAGATAACTGAGCAATGGTAAAGTCACTTTTCATGAGAGGAAACCTGTGCTGGCATTCCTACTGCTTTAATTAATTTTTCAATACTCAATCTTGTGTCTCCTCTGTGGACTTGGAACAGGTCTTCTTGTCTCCAGCCTACACAATTTCTTCGAAGGTGTCCTCAGTCTTCATAGCACGATATTAAAAATGGGCCCTGGAAGCTCACTTGCAAGCACTGGGTTAGAACAGTGCCCGCAACAGTCATTTGAAACAGGTATCGTACCACAGGTATCAGTACAACAAACAGCCAACCACAACAGTCACGATCTTAGTTCACAAAATTTACCTTTAGGTGTTGTGTCGCTAAGGACCAGATCGTCGTGGCCCTGCTCCACCACCTTGATGACGAACAAGGGGAGCCCGTCCTTCTCCTCGATGGAGCAGAGGTAGCGGCAGCGCCTGTTGGCGTATCTCATGCTCCAGTACAGCCGGCTGGCCTCGTATCCCACGGGGAAGAGGGCTTTGGAGGAGTGGAAGGCCTGCATCTGCTGTGGCAGCAGCTGACCCACGGCGTGGAAGATCAGGCTCCCCACGCGGAAGGTGTGGTCGCGCTCCCCGCGCTGAACGATGCTGGCGATCTGCCGCACCTCGTCGCGCTGGACGTACACCCTCCTGAAGACCGCGAAGTAACTGAGCTCCTGCTCATGAGTTCCCTTTGGTTTGTGCATGGGGCAAAGCATGGTCTTGTCTTTAAAAAACATGCATTGTGCTTTGATGGCACAGGTAAAGTGGTAAATATTGGTGCACCTTAACCTGTGACAACCGCTGGTGGCACCCATTTTGTGACAGAACATGCATTTCATCTGCAAGCCTCTTCGCAGTGCTAGTTCCACGTTTATTAAGGCACCAGCTTGTGTCTCATAGACTTCTGTAGACCAAAGAGCACAGTTCAAATGGACCCAAAGGTCTAAATCTAGGTTAAGAAGCCTTGCTGGTCCATCAGTTAATCCATCACCTTCCTCGTGACAGAAGCAACATTTCCTGTAGTCTTTAGGCACAGGGTCTGGTTTAAGGGTTGTGCCCAGTTTTTTAAGAAATTCGTCTATTTCTTCTTCACAAGGAGGTTTGAATGATCCTTTAGGAATCACAATCTGAATGCTCCACTTTTTCCATTTCATTCCTTTCCATTTCTTACTGGGAGGCCGGCAGTCCTCCAGACTGCTGTGTATTGCTTTTAACCTGGGTTTTAGTTTCACCGTTACCTTCAGCTCGTCCGGTTTTGCCTCTACCTTGGCCGCTTCAAACGCGGGGGGAAACATGATGGGGGGCGATGATGGTGGAGAAATCTTTTCCTGCAGCTGAGGCAGACAGTGGACGTCCAAAGTGGAGATGTTGTTGCTGTACTGATGGAATGCTTTCGGTGGCCTCTCTTTCATTGGTGACTGCGGCAGAGACGGGACCGATTCCTGGTAAGCGACAGAAAACTCTTTAAGAAAAAAATCCCAAACTTGTCAACCATTAAATGTATCCTGAAAACATGGTCAGGTCACTATGGGAGAGGCTTCTCACAAAATGCCTAAAATCAAGATGCAGCAAAAGAGAGAGAGAGATGGAAATGATCCTGACCTGTGTTACCAGAGCCAGGACACAGAGCACAAAAGTTCTCCCAGCCCAACTCGAACGTGGTGCCCTTTTAATACACAAGACGAGGCACAAATAACCCCTTGTACAGGTTTCGAATGCAAAACCCCTCAAGTGCCCTCGGCAAGCTGACTGGCAGATTTAGTTCTTAGGAATTCTTAGAAAGTTTTGTTACAACACAACCTTAAAATATGGGTCACAGAATTAATTTAGAGCGCAAGAATCTTGTATTTGCTAGAAGGGGAAGATTTAGAATTAATGCCACATATTTTTCCTGGAAACAAGTAAAGAGGAAATTCCTGCAGAGCTCTAGATTAAATACACCTCAAGGACTTAACTACTCAGTCACAGTAAACAAGAATTATACCTGCAGAGATTTGTTAAAAAAAAACAAGGAGAGAAAACAAGAACAACAAAGGAAGTTTAGATTATGAAGTGCCTAATGTGGTTTGTGTGATTAATCTTGAAAGAGTAAATTAAATTCTCAAGAGGCTGAACATGACATTTAATTAACTTAATTATGTACACGCTGATGCACTTGTACAGAAACGTTACCGTTTAAATTCAACTAAAAATGAGCTACAAGGGACACTAAAAGGATGTGGATGTACACACAGTTATCTTCTCCTCCAGGGTTGTATTTTTTTATTTAATTTCTTCTGAAAAAAATAAGTAGGATAAGAACCTCCTTTTCCTCATCACTGTCAGCTGACAGGCTCTTTACTGGTGTTTTGGTAATCAATGCCTTCCAATGGCAGCTCAGCCCAGACAAAGTCACAGAACAGGATTGTATTTCCCCAGTTACGTGGAACAAACGAAAGTCTTTTTGCAAACTTGCCGTTCAGTTCTTATTTGCACAGTTGTAAATTCTTTTTTTTTTTTTTTACTGTATAAGCCAAATCCAATTGCAGGATTTGGCCCTTAAAAACGTGTCTGTGGTTGTGTACAATGCCCAGAGAACTTGAATGACTAATTTTTTGTGACTTCATCTTCAAAGCCTGGGAGGGCAGCCAAACATGGCTGCTGTTCCGCCAGGCATCTGCCAGACACCAAGTTCTGCAAATATGAATTTTACTTCATGCTGCTGGTTCAGAATCTGAACGTTTGAATACAGAGCAATTAATTTATAAACCTCTCAAATTAAGTGCAAACTCCCCCCTCACCCCCTTTCTGCTCTCCAACAAATAGCTGCAATAATTTTGGCTCACTTGGGCCTGCCAGTGTTTGATACTTACTTTGTTCTCTGAGTTTTTTGCTTGCACAGCTGCTGAATAAAGAACAAAGCAGTTGTTGCTACAGAATACAATGTCCTTCATTTTATCAGAGCCTTCTTGGGAATCCTGGGAATCAAACACAGAATAATATCAGCAGTGCACTTTAACACCATTCTTCACATAATAAGTGTAATGAAACAAGTCTTCCAATCTGGCTGGAAACTCTTTATTTGTAGAACATTTGTGAAATAATGAGCGATACTGTGATATAAATACTTGATTATTTGACAGATCTAATGCCACCACCACCTACACCCTTGTTCTTCAGCATTTCCTGCCACTCACAGAAGTTTAACAATCAAAATAAAACATTCTATACCATGCACCCATCTGCTCCATAGGCACTCTTGCAAAGCAAAATCCTCTTTTATCTTTGGATGGCAAAAGAACATCTCATTTCAGCCTAATCAAAGCCAGATCACGCTGTTTTATCTACTGATCCATCTGCAAAACCTTACTGGGAATTCACTGCATTCCTGGCTTCATGAGCCCTTTAGTTTTGTGTGTAAGTTCTGACTACGCCTTTGTGGTGTAGTTACATCCACGTCATTTAAAGAGCAATGGCACTTTTTGAACTTACTAATGTAAATACAAGAGATTGAGACCGACATCTGATCCCTGACCAAAAAGAGTGCAAGTATTCCTGCTCTTACAGTTCCCCCTGGGAACACGGTGCCGTGCCTTACAAATTTGAATTAAGGTCCCTGAAATGGTCAGGGAAGGAGGTTTGTAGCAGAACTTTGGAAACTGCCATAGATGGGAACTGTTTTATGAAATGTACTGAAATTCATTTTATCTAAGTAGCAACTTTGACCTTTTTTATCTGTACTACAAATGTGCTTGAGCATCCTGTCCTGAATTCGGACACGCACAGAAGGGCGACCAGAAAGGGAGCTGGAAGTGCTCTTGGTGGGCACAGAAAGCACTGGACTTTGTGCCACCCTGTTACATGCAAGGAGCCCCAGCTGAGTGCAGGGACTGAGCTGTGCACTTCAGGCACTGACCTGTTTGAGGAAAGGCAGGTCCTTGAAGGATTTCCGCACTCCACTGCCCAGAACCACGACCTTGCAGTGAGAGCACCAGCGAGGCCTCAGCGCTGAACCTTCTGCCATGTTCTGGCTGTGATCCTTATAGCCAGTCAGACCTGGGGAACAGATCATCTGTTAGAGGCTGCATCAGATTAAACCCAATTTATGAGAGGTCACAGAGGTCTAGAGGAGGAGCATTCTCCTAGATAGGGTATGGAATGCAGGCTTTAAACCTCATCCTGATGAGGAAATTGTATAAACCAGACCTAAACTAACTGTGCAAGCAACAAGGCAAAAATACTTCCTTGTATAAGAAATAAGTAATTAAACTGACATAGGAATATAGGTTGAAACAACTGTACCAAGCTTTCCAGCGTGGGAACACTCTTTCTGATTGATGGATTTAAAACCAGACTGGACAAAAAAAACTAATTATGTTGGGAACTGTGGAAGAAATGCCTCACTAATAGTGATGTGGACAACACAATGGAAGTCAGAGATGGATCAGAACTAAGTTATTAGTAACACCAGGAGCAGGCCCACACAGAATAGAAAAGTACTACTTAGAACAAGAATCAATTATTTAACTCTAGAGCATGAATTCATGAGGCTGAAATGTATTAATACCAACTCAGTTAAAATGTGGATACTGAACACCTGGAAGTCAAAGCCCACTCACCATTGCTGTTTGCAGGGAAGGGCACATTGGGTTGCTTCAGTCCATAAGACCCCACGACCCTGGCAGGTCCCATGGATCCTGCCTGAGGACCCTGGAGGAGCAAGTGCTGCCTGTACTCCATAGATGGGTTCACTCTGTGACTGTTGGCGGCTGCCATGGAGGATGGGACATCTGGAGCATTACTAACCTCGTAGCTGTTGGGAATTCTGACGTGGAGCAGGTTGGAGAATGCTGCTACAACGCTGCTGATGTTCTAAAAATAATAATACAAACATACCTTTGTTTTTATCAGACAGGCAGTTCGGATAGCAGAAATGTAAATTATTAGAATATTGCAAGAGCTGCTTTTACTATGCTATAACCCCTTCAGAGTCACTATATATAAAATATATTAACTGCTGTTGTACTTTATATATGTAATACAATCTTATTTCTTTTACCTCAGCAGCTGTGGGATGTAAAGTAATTGCTACAGATATAAGGCCAGATTTAGGACCATTCTGGGATGGTCCAAGCTGGGAGGCAAAGAAGCCAGAACCAGGTAATGCTCCTGAACCGGGTTCTGATTTTATATAATTCCTTTTGGCTTCTGAACCTGGAATTAAAACAGAAAACAGCATGTTAATCCTGCACACATGGGAACACACAAAAAAATTCCTAGTCGTAGCTGTTCACTGCTGCAGTGAACTCTCACCTTTTCCAGTGCTGCTGGGTAGGATGGGAATGATGGGAGATGGTACAGGTTCTGGGTTCTCCTCCTTTACAACTGACAAGTCTGGATACCGACTAATTTCCATTCCCACCACACTTTCAGGAGAGGAAGAAGGAACAAAGCTGTCTGGAGTGTCCCTGTCCTCACAGTGATCTTGAACCCTGGAACAAAACCCAAAAAAAAGCTGCTTTGGAAACAGACAAAAACTTTTTGACAAGTCAAAGTTACAAATCATGGCAGGGAGCTAAAATGAACTTGCTTCTTCCTACTAGCCATCGAACACAAGTGGATGGTTGGCCATCACTTCTGGGTGTCTCATATTCCATTGTGCAGAGTGGTTTCTTGGGAAAGATCCATAAAGAAAAACAGAGGTAATAATGGAGCCAAACCCTCTGTTCCCCATGGCTCTATCTACCTGTGTAAAAAACTAACATTTAATACTTCAACTTTCTGGTTTAACTGCATTCACCAGCTCATCTCCCTTGTCCATGCACAGTGTCTCAAAGACATCCAGATTTTGGTTAGGCAAGTGAAAGGGAAGCAAAAGGGAAGACTTTTGCAGGGAGACTCACATTCCAGCCAGTTCTCACATGGAAAATGGAGTGGAGCTGGGGAGTTTCAGGCTGGCACAGTCCTGCTGCTGGTACAGCAGTCACCTGCCATGGTGCTACAGCACCACAGTGCTCCAGGAAAAACACCTATTTGTATGGTTTTCTTCCACTTTTAAGAGAGCAAAGTTTGGAATTCCTAACAATTTAACAGAATCTACAGTCTAGCAATGGCACAAATCCCCTATTTCACTTACACCACACATGGAATATTAAGAGTTAAAATGTTCCCATTCCATTCTCTGCTCTATGTGCCTGGTCACAATGGATTTGATTTCTTCACTGTTAGCAAAAGATCACAGAATCTGCTGCAAATACAATTTTGAAGATGTCAAGGAAAACCTACCTTAACTCCTCCTGATTGTTGTGAGGTGGTGTTGGAAGGGAAGCAGGAACATCCACAGTTTTTGGGCCCTGAGCCATTGCTCTCGCTAATAAATCATCTTGTGGTCTGAAAGGCAACTGGAACTGCTTTGGCCCCAGAGCTTTGGTAACTAAAACCAGAAAGGCAGAGCACAATGAGACATCTGGATAGTGACAGACATCCTGTCTGCTGGGCATGGGTGGGGCCCTGATGGTGACACCACTCTCAGCCACTTGGAGTTCAAAAAATTTTGACCATGATTAATCTCCGTCTTTACAAAAACCTGCGGATTTTGAGCAAACAGGGTTTTTGAGTGTGCCTTCTGCCAGTAGGAGAGGATGCTTCTTTTACTTCAAAAACCCACAAAACTAAAAAAAAAAAATAAATCAACAACTTTGTAACAACAAAAGAAAAGTGGTGTGAGAAAGGGGCTTTAATCACTGAACAGTCCTTACAAAGAGGCAGTATAAAGTTTTATTTAATAGAAAGCAATTTTAACTGACCAAATTATAAGCATCAGAAAATACACGCTGACTGCATACATTTTGGGTAGAGTGCTTTGATCTCATTCCACTAACTGGTTAGTCATATGTACTGGACACAAAAAAACTGATTTTAAGGTTTTCTTCTTCATTTCTTAAGAGTGTTTCTAGCTCTCAATGTGTTTTTGAAAGGGGACAAAGAAAAGGCACCGACATCTGACACTCTACTCGTGTAAAATGTTGCTGGATAATAATGATTACAACCTTAAAAAGTCTGGGCATGCTGCTTTCAAAAAAGGACTATTGCAACTGAAAATCATCCTAGGAGATAACCAAGAGAAGAGGAGACTGAGGGGAGACCTCTCAGCTTCAAAACAAGGGGCAGCAGAAGGGCAGGTGTTGCCCTGGTGACCAGTGAAGGGACCAGAGGGAATGGCCTGAAGTTGTGTCAGGGGAGGTTTAGGTTGGATATTAGGAAAAGGTTCTCCACCCAGAGGGTGGGTGGGCACTGGAACAGGCTGCCCAGGGAAGTGGTCCTGGCCCCAAGCCTGACAGAGCTCGAGGAGCGTTTGGACAACACTCTCTGGCACATGGTGGGATTGCTGGGGTGTCCTGTGCAGGGTTGGGAGTTGGACTCGATGATCCCTGTGGGTCCTTTCCAACTCAGGATATGCTGGGGTGTATTTTGCAATTTGCTACAAACTGGACTCGCTTTTTACAGAACCAACAAGAATAAGCCTTACCATCGTGGCCTCCCAGCACACCAGCCTTGCCAGCAAGTTCCTCCGTGGTTGCGAAGCCATTGACCAACTTCTGGCAGGCCACGGGCGGAGGGGTGGGAGGGAGGGAGGCTGGGGGCGGTCGGAGGATTGCTCAGGTTGTTCTGCTGCATGGGATTAATTAAAGAACCATTAATCAGCCATGGAACACAGGGTGAAAACTTGCCTGGTTCCTACCAGACAACATAACCTGCCTACAGAGTTTTACACGCAGACGTAGCACTGATGAGCGGCGATGGCTAATTCTCGAGCACGTGACAAAATACATCAAGGTATCTGCTATGAAAGACACAATGCTTTGCTCTTCTTATGTCAGTGATATCAGAGAAGTAGTTTAAATGAGTAAACACTACCAAATACATTAGCAAAGGAAGATCTGGCTAAATTATTTACAGAAATGCGCAAAGAACGTTTGAAGGAACAGCCTGGGAACAGCAACAAGTTCCTACAGTTTCAGCACAGCTCTCACCTTCAGACTTAGAGAGCTGTTCCACAGTGACTCTCCATCACCACGAGCAAGTCAGCTTACCCAATTTTCACTGAGAGGGAAGCTGCCTCACGTTTAGCGCATGATGAGCTGTCACTGAGGCAGTTACCATGGAGAAGCAGACACTCTGCAAGTTCACACTCCAGGCTACTTCTCACCAGCTTACTTAACTTGCCCATATTTTAAATGAAAATTAAATGAGAACTTCAGAATCTGTTCTCATTGCAGTCATGCCTACAAAGCTAATACTTATTACTCACTTTTGACCACAGCAACTATTTCTGTTAAGTCACATTCTCAGCTTACACACCATATAAGGCTGGAGTAAACACCACTGGTTTTAATAAGTTAATAAGTTTTTATATTAAGGTATCCAAGCAGCAAATTTGATTCTGTCTGTTCACTACCTTGCTGCTCTTTCAATATTGCCACTCTGATCTCAGAGACTGAATTTTAAATGCTGTGGGTTATTAACTCATCAACAAACAGTCTATTTTGTTCCGAGTTCTCAGGTTCTTAGTTAGGGCTTAGTGGACAAATGAGAAAAAGTCTATTTCCCATTTAATTCACATTAAGAAATGCTTTAATGCTTTCAATGACTTTGCAAAGTACTGAGAATCCAGCCTTTTCTGCTCCATAAAACTGTAATTACAATTTTCACTATTTAGCATCCATTTGTTAAAGGAGTATTTGTATTTTTTAATCAGTTTGCAACACAGTTTCCAGAACTGATTTTCACTTTCAGAGAGTAAAACAATGGTTTTACCATAGCACTATCTAGTCTAGTAATGGAAAATTTTTTTTTCTAGTTGCATAAAAGGCAGGAACTCTGATGAGTAGTAATAATGTCATGGACTTCTCTTCCCACAGAGAGCACACAACGGAAATCCAGATTAAATCCGTACCTTGTAAATGAGCTGGGAGTAGTAATCTGAAGCCCCATCAAGAGTAGCACTACCAAAACTTCCTACAAGTCGATTTCCACCATTTAGCTGGCCACTGCCATAGGGGAGAAAGTGTGCAAAGCTCACTCCAATTATTGGCTCCACCAAAGGCAGAAGAGAAAGTTGCTGTATTGAAAGAAAAAAAAAGTTAGGGATTAATTTAAGTATAATACGAAAGCACTGCTAATCTCCAGACATCAGTAGAGTGGTTTCTAATTTAAAAAAAAAAAAAAAAAAAATTGAATTTATCCACTGTCAGAAAACTGTCAAACACAGGCCTCTCTGTTAAGAGAATGCGGTCCCCTGTCCATCAGAACTGCAGCTCTCGCTCCCTGACAGTTCATCCAGAGGCTGCCGGAGCTGACAGGAACTCCATGGCTTTGAGACTACTTGCCATGGCTTTAATCTTCTAACCAGAAACAAACCCACAACTTTAAATTTCCTAGTTTTGTAGAATTTCTCATTTTCTCCACCCTGTACTCGAAATTCAACTTAACGCTCAGCTTCATTTCCATCAGGAGAAATCCACTGTTCCACGTATCCTCCTGACACCTTCCCCAGCACCTGCACACCTACCTGTTTCAGCTGGATGAAGGTATCAGCACTGGGGTAAACAGCTTGCTTTTCTTCTTCCTCTTTTTTCCTTTTCTTGGACCGAGGAGCTGCCTTCTCTCCTGTCCTCTGAGCTCTCTTATTTCTCTGCTTCTTGGTTTCAGGTCCTACATCTGTCCTCTGAAGCTGGCTGTTGCTACACCCAAATGCACCTTGCATCTGGGTCCCTGCAGTTTGCTGGTATAAAAAATGAAAGTGAAGCAGAATTTTTGACATTTTAATAAACAGTTCATTCCAATTTACTGCATGGGTCTAAAAGCACAGGCACAGTGTAATAAATCTCACTGATAACAGACTGTATTTTAATGGAAATTGTAACTGCTAGACTGTCTCTGTAGACAGAATTATGACTTATCATTAACACCACTGACATCTGAAAACATAATTAAAAACCCACAGATCAGAAACGTTCTCTTGAAAACACCCTAAAATAAAGATACATGTGCATGAAACCTTAAGAGATGCTCATGAGGGCCTAATGAAAGGCAGATTTGGTGATAGAAAAAAAGGCACGTTAAGTTAATGTAACACAAAAGTATTTTGAGGTTAGAGACAAAATAAAGTGTTGTGAAACATTTCTGGATTGTACCACTTGCTTAAATACTTCCAGTACGAATCTGCAAAGCCTTTCTTCACATTAAAGCACAGTTAGGTAAAAGGAATTAGAATGGGACTCAGTAACACAACAGAGAGTGGCAATCCAAAAGAAAGTCCAATTTTTGTTTAATACATTATCATTTTAAACAGCTCTACGTGACCCCTACCACAAATATTCTCACTAATACCCCTGTCACGTTTTACCTGATGCTCACAATTACCTTTACTTTTATCAGTATTCATTGATTTTGAATGCATTTAAATTTTGTTTCAAGGATATATTAGAGTTTAGGCAGCCAAAATCCAAAACTGAGAAGAGACTAAAGATTACACTATAATGACCAAGAAATCTAAGTGTAAAGTGTATCCTACCCCCACAGAAAACACTTTTCTTTAGGTCCCATTTTAGGGACACTATAAATTAATAAATCATATAATGCCATTATTATAAAGAATTAATGCTTCCTTCCACAGAAGTAAAAGTAATTACAGAAATGTTCTGTAACACAGAAATCCAGTGTTGGACCTGGTTCATTCCCAGAACACTCCTGATGTGCAGCTGAAGGGGTGTGAAGCCCTTCCCTGCACAGGTCAGCCTATAACACTGCTCAGGTGGAGTCAAAGAAGTAAAGCAGCACACACACCGTGCTCTGCACTGTCACACACTAGTGGGTAAGTAGGAATCATGCTGCAAAATCTTGCCTTAGTCTTAATATTAGAAAGTGGCATTTTTAAAGATGGCTTTCTGCAGAAAACCTTTTTCTTTTCATTTTAATGATTTCTGAATATTCTGACCTACCAAGTCATACTAAAATTTGTTATATTTTTAAATGCAGCTGAATTACTTATGGAGGAAAGGCAAGAAAGGAGGCAAAAAATTCCTTAAAGCTCTTTACTCCACCCTTGTGCAGGTAGGCTATCTCCCCACCTTTGCACACAAACCCGTGGTAAGGCACAAACTAGGCTTTGTTACAACCACTGTGTAACAAAAACAGTATCAGGCTCACCATTCCTTCAGCTGGGTTCTGCTTCTCTGCTAACTTTTTATCCCCAGAAGCCTCCTCCTCTGCTCGACTGCTGTTCTCCGGTTTCTGATTCAGAAGAGACGAGGACTTCTTATTTTTTAGCAGGTGCTTCAAGAGCTCGTTCCCTGACTCCCCTTTGGCTGCGGGAATGCCGGCTGGCTGTGCCGGACTCTGAGCTGAAGAGGCCGGCTGTGAGGTGACCTTGTCTTCTTCCACCTTAATACTGCTGGGATTTTCTGCTTTAGGCTCAGCTTGACCTGAGCATTGATCAGTCTCTGCCTTTTCCAGTTTAACTTCTTGGATGCTGCTCAGGGTGTCTGTTTTAGCCTTTTCAGTCTCTGCATTCCCACTCGGCTGTTTCTGGGCCAGGCTGCCGGGGAGCTTCCCTTCCCGCTCCGGGGAGCTCTGGCTCTCTCCCGTGTTTGATGTCGAGGGGCCCGTTAACTCCACTGGCTCTTGCTCATCCTGGTGACGTGGTTCATTGGGGGTGTTCACTGTGGGGGTGGAGGTAGAATCAGAAATGGTTGGGGTTGATGGTGCAGTGATATCCGAGTGTGGAGTTGACGGGGCTTTTATGGACTCGGCATCGTCGTCCTTTTTCTTTTTCCGCGTCCTTTTCTTTTTGCCTTTCTCTTCTGGGATTATGTCAGAATACAGCTGGATGAGAGACTGGCTTGATCCAGGGAAGTTGGCTGCCTGGGGCACACTAGTGTCCGAACCACACGGGGCACCACTCCCCAGCACTGCAGAGGAAGGTACAGCAGAAGGAAACGGAGGCTTGACCTGGTTCTGCGTAAAGGCAGCCCCAGGAAGATTCCCATGAGTTTGTTTTACATTATGGAAATTGGGGGCTCCACCTGGAACGGCAGATGCATCAGGTCCAAAAGTGGTAGGTCCCACTGGCCTTCTCTCACTGCTTTGCATAAAATTGGTGGCAGGAGGGGAGGTCACAGCACCCTGCTGCAGGATTTGCCCCATCTGTTGCTGCTGATGCTGCGGAGACGGCTGCAGGGGCCGCGGGGTCTGCATGAAATCACAAGGCAGCTCAGAATTGAAGAAAGGTATCTGAGACAAGGATGTTTTGTTATTTAATTCAGACCCCATCATACTGTGCTGCTCCAGCTCCATCCTCTGCTGCAAAGCTCTCTGTCGATCCACCTCCTGCATCAGCTGAATGCGCTGCCGCTCCTGCTGCTCCCGTAAACGCTCCTTTCTCTCCCGCTCTTGGAAACTCTCACTGAAAGGGTTATTGTCCTCAAACTCCACCCTTGGGGGTGGCCCTGACTGTGCAGCTGCATTTGGACCAGGCACAGGAGCTGGTGTACCAGGAGTAATCGGCAACGGTGCCATTGGAGGCTGCATCCTTGCTGGATTCATGGCAATATGACTGGCAGGGGCATTAGCAGGTTGCCATCCGGGTAAATTTGGCATTCTGGTTGGGTTGGATTGCCCGGGGATCACCACTGCATGCTGCTGATGCTGGAGCTGCTGTGCCACCATGGGGAAGTTTTGCTGATTCATTGCTGGTGCTGTTCCTGCTGGAACCATGGGTGGCTGAGCCTGGACACCGGGCATCATGGAATGGGGGGCCATTCCACACTGCTGCTGCTGCTGCTGCTTGATCCGGTACTCCTCGATCAGCTCTGCGTGCTCCTTCTGCTGCTTTCGGATCTAAAAATTAAAAGTCATCATTCATCTCTGGCATGTGCTGGCTGTGCAACATAAACCACGTAACTCACCACTGCAATTTCAGTAGGCAATGAACTTTGGGCAAAAACAGCATTTCTGCTCAGCGTTTTTAATGCTAAACAGCAATTATTTCTGTAGAAATACTCTCCATCCCAAGACTTTAGTGCCTTTAAGTCCTAATTACATACCAAGCCTGCACTGTGCTAGAGAGTACACAAACCTAAGCCAAAAGTGAGCTTTGTCCTACAGATCTTATCATCCATGCACGGGATACAAACAGTTGGGAACAGAGAGGAAAAAGGAAACACTGAGACGGATGATGTTCATACATCAGCAAAATTTTTGAAAGATGTAATTGAAGAAGAAAAGTTTGCAGGAAAACAGTGAGGTAGATTCCCATTTATTCACAGGCAGATCCTCAAACTTCTCACAGCAGGTGAAAATGGCAACTGCTCCTTGAAAATTTAAAATTTTAAGATCAAAATAAACTCAACTTGGACACTAAAAGTTTTGGCTTGTAGTTTAAGGCAAGTAGGAACAGTCAAAGGCAGGATATGACATTGTCAACAGGACAAGAAAGAAGCTTTCAGAAATACAGAAGATATCCAACTAAACTGATTTAAACAAACAACAGGACTTGTAGTCCACTGGTTAAGAATATACACATTATGGAAAATCTCTCTCTTGCTTCTGCTCACTAGATTGTGACTTCCACAGCTTCCATTTTTTATTTGTAGGGATAGAAAAAGTCTGTAACATAATTAAAAATGTTTGATAGCCCTCTCTATTTAGCTGGGGCAAAGGATAAGCCTGAAAGCTCAGGATAACAGAGATGCCATAGGACACACTATAAACTGAAGGACAGATGCACCCAAAAGGTTATTTACGTAGTAATCTCAGGTCCAAGATGATTTATGAGCTCTGGCTTGCCACTGCCACAGAAACAGTGACACTGCACAAAGCCACCAGCTGGACCCATCTGCACTGCACACATCCAGTGCTCCTTCTCCATGGTTCTCCAGCGCTAAACCTGTGCTGGCTCTGGACCATGAGGCATCCAAACCACTACTCCCTCCCAGGGTCTGCAGGGGTGGATCAGCCACGTGACTGTACTTGGAATTAGCCGGGATCTCAAAGGACCAGCCCTGACTCCACCCAGCTGGCCCTGAGCCGGCTGCGCAGGTCGACCTGGTGATTTTAGCAGTGCAGGGGAGAACAAGGCACGGTGTATCAGCACAGGCACAGAGCCACACCGAGGCAGCCAAACTGCCCTGGCTGCAGGGACAGCCTGGCAGTGTCTCCATGGCTCTGTGCCTGGGCTAATAACCCTGTCACACATCAGCTCGTGGAGCGCAGTCAGCTCCGGCTGCTCCGCGCCTGTGTCTGGGGCCAGCAATTCACAGGGGCCCCAGAGCTCTTTTCTCTCTCCATACATACACAGACTTTTCAAAACCTAACTTGATTACAGAAAAATTACTTGATCTGAATTGAAAGAGTGGCAAATTGCTTCCAACAGAAGGTCATTAAAAATATACTTTAACAAAACCTCATTTAATCTCCTACTAGGTGTGTAACAAAGCGCTCTTGAGGATGTGGGTGACTGGTCTAAATCCGTGGTTGAAAGGCAGTGGGGGGCATTTGCCAGCAGTAGATGAAACTTAAGTTTAAATAATTACAAATAAGAGAACTATAACTATGGGGCAGTAAATGAATCTGCCACCAATGTCATGATTAGCAGTTGTTACTTCAGTCTAACTCCACCATAAGACTAGAATCATGTACAGATAATAAAGATTGGTCAAAGTTTTGGTTTTGGTTTTTTTTTTTTGCATTTATTCTACTTGTGATTCATTGTGTAAGGAAAAAAAAAAGTAAAAGAAAGAAATTATATAGATATAATTCATCCACTCCATCCCTCTTCCACACAGTGAAAAGACAAGCCAACTAATATCCCATCCAGCTCATGCTTTGTCTTGAAAGCAATTCAGGAGCAGGAACTCGAGGGTCAGATATCACTTCATTCCAACCTGCCTGCTGCCAATTTTTTCCTTCATATTAATAAAGGATAATTCTAAAGCATTTTCATTTTCAGCAGGACTAGCTGATCTTGACTATCATGCCAGATAATTTATAAACAATGTCTTGAGGAAGGCAGCATTCAATATTGGTGGCCAGAGCATAGATTTGTTGAACTTATCACAGGTTTAATTTGAATTTTATTTACTGTAATCACAGTCACAGAATGTGAAATTCCAACTGAATATAAGGAAAGAAAAACATAACCCGGTGAAAATGGTTACATGTAGGAAAAGAGGCCCTAGAGAGGCTGGGAAAGCTCAACCCTTGGAGACTTAGAGAACTTGACTGGCAAGGTTATGAGCAACCTGATTTAACTGTGAAGCTAGTTCTGCTTTGATCATGACTAGATGCTCTCCAGATATCCCTGTGACCTGCATTATTCCATGATACAATAACAGATAACACACACTCATGATCAGCACCTAGGAATGAGACAGATCATAAAACTAGACTAACACTAAAGATACAATGAAAAGAGATCTTAAAACAATAACACTGAACTGGCGTATAACCAAGAGGTTCTGATTATGTAAGGACACCTGAAAAAGACTGAGTTATGAGGTGCATTCAAGCCTGAAACAAAGCCCTGCGTGCTAAGGTTTTTCTCTGAATATTTAATTTTTGCTTTTCACGGTGCCAGGAAATCTCTTGCAAGTCATTTTGCCAAGGAATTTCCTCTCTTCATAAAGTACTAAATCAGCTTCTTATTATAATGTTTGCCACAGATCTTCCTCTGCACCTCCAGTGTCACCTACAATCTGGAGTAACGCTGTTACAGGCAAAAAACACGACAGGGAGCGGCTCCCTTTAACTAAACTCCACTGTATCTTTCAGAAGATTTAAAGGAAAAAGCCATACTATCATGACTTGGTACCAAGGTTTTGGATTCCAGGTGATTACCTGATCTAGCTGTTTCTGGACCATACTTTGCTGCTCAGTAACATGTTTAAGCTGTTCTGCATCCTCTTCTGGGAATTCACGTCCGGCTTTCTTGGCTGTACGCTGCTTTGCTGAGAGAGCCTTTTTGGATTTTCTGTGCGCTCCAATCTGCTCCTCAAGGTACTTCTGTTGCATTTGAAGAAGTTTTTGTGTGTCTTGCAGCCATTCCTCATATTGCTTTCTTTGTGAATCATCTAGAAAGAAGGGAAATTAAGTATGGTGCGATCCCATCCTGGGGGTAAGCTCTCATTTTCAGAGCTCAAGTTTAACAATTAGGTTGCCCCCCTTTTTAAAGAAACTATTGGTTAAATTCAGCCAAATTTGACAGAGAATTGGGTATCTCAAGAGATATTAAGTTCTTGGAGTGATTCCAGCAAAGGAGACAGAGATCCAATCTCTGCATTTATAGAGAGAAAACAGTTGTAACAAAGTCCCTTCATTTCAGGACACACCAGCCCTCTGTTGAGCCAGCAGATGTGCACTCCCCAGTGAGTAAATGTAGCAGTTATAGAACCTGGTGGTATCCTGCTCTGCCACAGAAGAGGGACATGGAAGATGTCTGGAAGTAGTCAAGTAGAGAGAGCAAGATTAGGGAGCAAGGACACAAACTTAGAGGAAACCTGGTCTCATTATTTTTGGTGTTTGCAGAAGACTTTTGTACACATAAAATCTATTTTTGTAACTGCTTCTAAGAAAACGATTAAAATTATAAACATCCATCAAATATTCATGAAATGAAAAAAAAAAAAAAAGACACTGTCTTTGTAAAAATCACTTTGTCAGTGACAGTCCTCGGCACAGGGCCTTCAGCACCGGTGCCATTTGGACCATGAATAAATGCCTCTCATTTAGGCTGTAACTGAGACATTGCTCTTCTCACAAATGAGAAATGCTCATCTGCCACGAGCCCATTGCTCTCAGATGTTTTTCTCGAGGCAAAACCATCACGTCTGATAATGCCTGATCTGCACTAAGTGCAGAAAGAGAGAGAGATGGGCTGGTGATCGTGTCTTTGTCTCCTGATCCCACTGTGGCAGTGAGCTGGGACACCAGGAACAGGGCATGGATCTTCCTTGCAAACAGTTTGGTTAACACAGACACGGCAGTGAGATTTCAGTATGACCATGTCCTTGTGCTCCAGCTCTTCCAAGGGTAAATTCTGCTAAACTAATCACATATCCTGAAGGGACAATTGAGTGGAAACAAGGAGAGTGACGTGAGCAACATGGAAGTGCAAACCGAAGTACTGAAATATTAATGAGCTAAGAATAACTACTACTGAAATGAGAAACAGATTTTCTCAAGTGCCCAGAACCCACCACCATGCAACCAGAGCACGACCACGCTGAGTGCCATGTGAAATCTGACTTGAAATTAATACAGATAATATTGCAAAAGCTCCTTATTGAGCACTCAGTGCTGCTACTCCAGTTTCTGGAAAAGGTGAAGGTGTTTATTTCTGTTTCTTATTAAAAAATATCGAGTGAAGTGTTTGTAGTGATAGAAACACTTTTTTACACATGGTCTTCCCCTCTCAACACAGGCTCAGTTTCGATTTCTGCTAGTAAATCTTTCTCATCATAAAGACCAGGATTTACAATTGATCTAGGGCAGCCAGAAACACGGAATGCGAAATGCTAGTGCTGTATATTTCTGCTTTCAGCAACTGTGCTTCCCAGCCAGGCTTGCTTAACTAATGCCTGGAAAGCTTTTCCTGGTATTTGTTCAAATGACAAAGATACTGCACAAAACTTTTTGCTTCTGAAATTTAAAAAACCCCACTCAGTGCAGACAGTTGTTCTCTCTGAGCTCAGATTATTGCAACACAACCCAACACCAGGTTTCTGACACAGCAGTCTGCCAGTTAATAGATTACAGTTCTCACACAGATCCAAATAATGTTAATTTTCTGTTTCCCTCCTTCCTTATGGTGTTTTCTTCTAGAAAAAAATATTAACAGCATTTACTACACATCCCTTAGTTGGCATTGTAATGATGAAATGACTCATTTTAAAAGGATGACTTTTTGAGAGATGAGATCCTTTTACAGATATTTTATTTTAAAGAAAACAGAACTGTAAAATGAAACAACCCCACACAATAAATTTTCAAATCTTTACTTACTGACAAAGCCAGGACCAAAATTGGGAGGATTAGGCCTAGAAATCTGAGGTGTCAAACTTCCATCCTAGAAATTTCAGTAAAACATAGAGACAAGGATATTAAATCAAGATTCAATTAAAATAATCAAAATGTACTTATCATTTTTAGACACTTTTTTTTCAAGCCCATATCAAGTTTTGTTACCTGTGTAATTGCCTGCTGCATATGATTTTGGCCTTCACTGGTCTGAGCTCCTGGCACTGACTGACCCATGAAAGGAAACCTATTGATATATAAAGTGAAAAGACAACCTTGAGAAATTGTATTTTAGGGGAGAGAAAACCTTTTGTACTACACTGTACTTACACAAAGCACAAAAATATTTTATAGACATTTGTTTGAACTTCTGTACCAAACTTTTTCAACATCTGGAGAATACTAATTCACCCTTGGTTGAAACTACAGCATTTTAGATTTTTCAAAAAGAAGTAAACATGATCTACTCTGCTAAACCAGTGAAAACACACATGCCCACAGAATCTGTATTTTTATTCCTATATTTCATGATTTAAAAAGAAAAGGTTTCATGCATTTAGATACCATCGTCACCGGCCCAGTCAAGTGGAGTTGGGTAAATGCACACCCTTGGTAAGCCATGTATGATCACATAACACTAAAGAATGTGTTAGGAAGATGAAAACACACTGTTTTAAGGGCCACATAATAAAAAGAACAGGTGCAGATCCTGCCTGGCCCACAGACTCCCCCACCCTACAGCCTGGACAGTTCACAGCTCCTCTTGTCCTCAGAATGGATTTAAAGAGAGGGTCAAACTTCCACTATTTGGGCTAAACCTTAATTATACCCAGCATTAAATGACATGCTGCAACATGAAATGTTACATGGTCACCCACAGTTTTCTAACACAGTGTGTGGGAGATGTGTCATTACCTAATTAGTAAGTGGGAAAACAAGAAAGGCATCAACAGTGAAGCTGTGTTGAGCAATGATATCACAACTGGAACACAGGTCTGATGCATTTGAATGCCTTTAAGTTTCTACTACCACACTGGCTTTATTCTTAGGAGATATTCCTGTGTTAGCATGGACTGTGAACTCCAGGGCATTAAGATCTTTTCTTTTATTTTTTTTTGTTTCTGCACACAGCTTCCCCAAGCTCTAGCATTCCCTTTACATTTTGTAGCCCTAAAGAATAGTATTAAGTGTTGCCTACCTGTTCATGACCATTGGTGGCATCCCCATGTTACTCTGTGCCATGACCTTGTTGATCCCCTTAAGAGCCACCATTTTTGCTTTCATTATGGGATCAGTAATTGCATCAAAGTCTGTAAGAGAAAAACAGTAAAGTATTACACAGTTGAGCATTCCAAGTTATTAACTGGAACTGACTTGTTTACATCTAGTTCGTGTGTAAATCTTCTTTAAAACAACCTAATTGCATCACTAATTCACATTGTCATCTCCACTTCAAAATTCATGGTTAATAAATATAATAACATATAAACAAAAGCAGGTCAGTCTGAGAAGGGCTCTAGACCAAACTTGGCCTATGATCCAAGAGATTAATAAATTCTATTTACAGGTTTAAGACTCTGGAGGAAGAGTTGTTTCTGTGAGCTTGGTTGGCAGCTGACACACAATCACTAATGCCCTAAAAGAACAGCCTTGGTGGCCAAAGTGCTTACAACCAACACAGTTCTCAAAATTGAGTATTTCATTAATAACAATTAACTGACAGTGATGGTCTCAATCTTAATGCTCAAACTGCTAAACCGTATTAAACAAGCAATAGCAACTTATCTTAAATGCTTTTAGTACATGCAGAATTATTAGAGATGCTTCTGAGCCTTGCCTAGACTGTGAGTTAGTAATAGAGCTTTCAATGATCCCTTTCCTTGAGACAACACTAAAAACTGCAAAAAAAAGTAATGAAACAACCATAAACATAAAAATGATAGAGCAAGTATCAAAAGGTCATCTATTGCACTTGATCATTAAATGTTGTTTACAAAGGACACATTTACTCCATATCACACTGAGAACCTAAAGTATAAAGAGAATATGTGACACAGCTGATGCCACAAACATTATCAGTAGAGTTACTCTGATCCTGGTAATGACAACAGGAGCCTTGCCCTCGAGTTCAGAATTCCACCTACACACTCAATTACCACACTCCCTGTAGGCAGGTTAATTTTTGCTATGCCACCTTCAAGCTCCATGGAACTACCTCTCCTTCTTTCAGTGCTGGGGATTATTTAACTATTTATTGTTGCTTTTTTTTTTTTTTTTTAAAACTAACCAGAACGCAGACAAACAGGTCACCCACATACCAATATTGGGGAAAAATGGCTCTGAACGTTGGCGAATCATGGCTTGCATCTGTCGCTGCTGCTGCTGCTCCTGCCTTTCCTGATCCAAAAGGTCCTGCAGAAGAAGTGGCTGTTCCTCTAGCAGGAGGGGTCTCTCTCTGTTCTGCTGCTGAGCTAATGGTTGAGGGAGCATCATCTGCTGGGGACCAGAGATGCCGCTGGGACCAGGACGGTTTGGTACAGCCACAGTCTGATTTGATGTCTGTCCCGTCCCAAAGTTATGGTTGGATGACTGACCCTGAATAAATCCTGGATTTGGTGACCCTTGAGAAAAATTATGGTTCATTCGTGGAACCATGGACAAATTTGAATTTAAGGTGTTTTCCAAGATCTGTCCACCAGGTGTCATGAGTGTTTGTGGAATACCTGATCCATGGTTTATTTGTGTGGGTGGCAGGGACTGAGATGGAGATCCCAGAGTTCTCGCTTCAGCACTGTCTGAGCTTTCATTAGACAGCAAACTTGAGAGCACTGGGGTGGACCCAGAAATACTGCAGGAACTTACTGCTCCCTGAACAGGTAGTGGAGCGGATCCCTGAGCATCTGGACTAGGCACAGTTGTTTCTTGACTAGGAACAGCAGTAGTTTTGTCAGGGAATTCTGGGTTAGCAGGCTGTGCAGGAGCCTTTTCTCCATCCTTTAACTCCACTTCAGCAGCCTGTTGAGTACTTGTGGATTCGGCATTTCCATCACTTTTTTCATTTTCATTCTTCTTTTCCTCCTGAGTGTTTGGGGAAAGTACTTCTGTTTTAATTTCATTTTCTGTAGTGGATTTCTTTGGTGGAGACTGGTTCTCAGGAGGGGCAACAGTTGCATCACCTTGTTCTTTCTGTTTGGGTTCTTCTGCCTTGCCCTGGATATCTAGTTTGTCATCAATGGGGACACTAAGATCTAGTTCTTCATTAAACATTCCTTTCTTATCTCCCACATCAAGGTCTGGGTCTGTGTATGCAATTAAATCAAATTCCCCTGATCTTAGAAGATCATCAAGGTGAGGATCATTGGTTTCCAAATTATCTAGAGTGTCCAGTTCATCACCCTTCCCATCCTCTGTGTCTAGATTCAGATTTTCCAGATCCTCATCGTCTAAATCCTTGACTTCAACCCCATCAAGGTCTTTCACATCCAAATCTTTTACAGCAGGATCATCAGGATCAAGCTTTTCCTCTAGACCATCACTTGGCTGATTGGGAATCTGTAAGTTTGCTGACTCATCACCTGGTGCAGCTGTGGACAAAGATGGTCCTGGGAATGCATCAGCAACTGGCTGATGACCTAGAGAACGCATTACAAGTGCAGATGGGTTGTCAGGATTGATCTGATCCTGCTGGGATTGCGACATGTGCTCCAAACTTGTAGACATCTGCAACTGGTTGGGCATTCCTTGAGAATTATGTCTCAGCGGTTCTGCCTGTCTCGGGCCTGGAAAATCCTGCCTGGGCATGAACCCCGAGTGTCGCTGATGCTGAGCTGCTGCTTCCATGACATTCGCAGCAGAAGGATTAAAGGGCAGCCTCGGCCTCCCGTCGGGAGCTCTGTGACGTAACTCGATGAACGCCTGACCCAATATATTGTGCTGCTGAACAGGAATTCCCTGCGGAGGAAAATGCTGGGAGATCCCAGAGCTGTTATTCATTTGTGGATTGTTCACTGGCCAAGGCATATCAATAGACAGGGATCTTCTCAGCTGGGGGGGAACTCCAGGGCGCTGCATCGGCTGCTGGGGACCGAGGAAACGTTCTTGCCCTGAGGGTGGACCATGGCCACCTCCTGGAAACCCATATCTAAAATAAAGCATGAAAGACTGAGTAACCTTTTTTTTTTCCCCTAAGACTGCCTAGTCTGGCATATCTGACTAAATAGCTATTCACTAAAATGCTTTAAGTGATGCATTCATTAAGATATTTAAATAAATATTTTGACTGATTATGCTTACATTTAAATGAGCTTTATGACTACAATAAAGTAATTGCTTTAATTATGTTTAATAAACAACCTGTTTTCAGTTTCAATAATAATAATAATAATGGATGGAAAACTCTGACAGTCAGAACTATCATAGTAAATAAAATACATGTTAATGCAACCCAGTGTAAAAAATAATAGTGCATGGATTGAGAAATTACTGAAATAAATACAGATACTGAAAATCATAATTCCTGAGATGGTAGTGAATTGATACTGGTATTCATTTTACATCATAGCATACACTGTAAAAATGGCACAGACAGAAGCTGACATTTGATTACTTATTCATTAGAAACGAAAACAAGAATATTATACTTATTCATTATTAAGGCAACAAAAACAAAGTCCGACCTTTCACTTTTTTGTTTGTTTGTTTTAAAGAAATGCAGCTTCTCCATTTTTATTTCTGATTAATTCCCAGTAAAAGAGTGTTAAACACTGTTAGTGTAAAACACAGGAAAACACACTGCACATATTAACTTCAGGCAGGTTACCAGCTGCTGTGGACAACACAGATAATTCTCCATCCACAAAAAGCCCCTTTATCTAACGACCCTTGTAATATCCTGGGTTTAAGAGATCCAAGAGCTTACCTAAGGCCATGAGGTCTCATCCCCATGGCGTTCATGTCGCCTGGAAACTGGGGTCTGCTGAACTGCCCATCGGCAGGAAACGGCCCACGCTGCTCTTTTGGGTACACGGTGAACCTTGGCCCACCCGGAGGGACTGCAGAGGACCTGATATTGCCAGGGTATGGAGGAGGGGGACGGTTAAAGATCTGATTTAAGTTGTCTTGCTGCCAATGCTGAAGAGGAGCCGCATGGGCAGGAGCTGCTGCATCCTGCAAGGCCTTTTCCTGACGAACCGCGTTCTTCTTCTGCTGCTGTTGCTGTAGAATAATTTCACGTAATTTCTGGCGCTGTTTGGAAAAAAAAAAATCATTATGCTTGACACTGCAACTGACACGTTTTGAAGTGTTACACTCTGCTAGGTTAAGCTTTTTGGAGGAAAGAAATTCTTCAGTCACTACAGAAAAATATTAAGAACTACCGTAATCACCTCAGAGATGAGAAGGGGGGGTCAAAGGGTGCAAGGTGCTGGCGATGCAACTTAACATTCAGACCTCTTGCTAAAATGTTTGATGTGAATTCATTCCATCAATTAAAATTAAAGGAAATTTTCTTTTTTCTATTCCAACAATGCAGGCCCTGTTGCCCCATGAAAAGTGCAAGGGCGACTAGAGGTCCACTGAAGAAAATTCAGCAAGAGGTTTGTGCCACAGCTGCAGAATTTACTCTGACTCTGTATGATAAATACTACCAATGTTCCACCAAATCCACTTCCCAACACTCCTTCCAAACAAAAGAGTGAGCAGTTTTCCATGGGCTGAATGTAATTCTATTCTCAGCAAGAGTGCTGGCCAAACATTCAATGACAGAAACCGTGGAGTGAAAGTGCCTCAAGAAGAGCAGTGACCAAGGGTAGGATTCACCTCAGCGTGTTGGCCAACTGGAAAGTCAGATGTCTGGTCTGAGACCTTTGCCTGTACCTGCTTTTCCAGCCAGTGAAGAAGTCACTGACAATCAGTTCCACATCTCATCTGTTACAGAACAGAACCAATTGTCTGTTCAAGATGGTTTTTTCCCTTAGACCCTAGCTAAAAGAGCTATTACAGACCAACTATCTACACCTGCAATGGCTTCAAATACAGCCTTTGCTTCCTTTTATTGATTCGTTTTGTCCAAACTCCTTAAAAATTACTGATGTTTCTATATTGTACATGTTGTGCTTCTATCCAGGTGGATCAAATTAACATACTAAGTAAATTAAGATAATTCTTATCTTACATATAGCTATGTTTAATGACAAGAAACTTCAACTATTAACAAGAATGGGGGAAATTCTTCTATTTATGAAATTTTATTACCATCAGTATTGAATATTATCCTCACCTGTCTTAACTTTTCAGTATCTGCTTGAGACATATTCATGGTATTCTGTGTATCTGTTACTCCTGTGGTGGGTGCTGGGCCAGGAACTTGTGAAACTTTGGGAAACTGCTGTCCTTGAGAAGTCATCGGAGAATTTCCAGATGCACTGAAGGTGCCCTCAGATCCAGGCCGTGGCTGTTCGGCAGCATCATGGGCCAGTTGACCAGTTCCAAAAGATTCTGGCTGAGGTCTTGGAGTCATTGGTGGTTGATCATACGGGTCCCGTGCTGGAGCAGCTGGACCATGGCTAAATGAATCTGTTATTGCAGGTCCTGCAGGTCTGGGAGTTTGAGAACATGGATCTGACGGCCTGATGAAAGTGCCCTGCAACCTGCTCTGCGGTGTCTGCAGGAAAGGATCTCTGTTTGGCATCAGCCCTGGTCTTGTCATTGCAGGTCTGTTAAAACCCTCAGAAATCCCTGGCCTCGGAGTTGCTGGTTGCTGAGAATAGGGATCATTGAGAACTGGCCTTGGTGTTCCGGGAGGTTGGGCATATGGATCAGAATGTCTCTGATTTCCTGGGGACTGAGAGAACAAATCTGCTGGCTGAGAAGGTCTCGGTGTTGGGGGTTGCTGCATATACGGATCAACTGCGGTGGGCCGAGGAGTTCCTGGGGGTTGGGCATAAGGATCAGCAACTGGCCGAGGAGTACCTGGAGGCTGGGAATAGGGGTCCTGAGAAGCTGGCCTTGAAATGGGCCCAGCCTGAGGGAAAGAATCGCTCTGCTGCCGCGCTATCCGGGGTGGGTGGGCAAAAGGCTCCTTTATTGCAGGGTGGGGGGTCAGGGGAGGCTGGCTGTACGGATCAGGAGCCTGATTATGGGAGAAGTTGTCCACTGGCCTGGGCGTCAAAGCGGGCCTCTCGTACGGATCCACAGCCACGCGCCGGGGGGTGCCTGGCATGGCTGAGTAGGGATCCTGTGGGGACTGAGGAGGGCGCATTGGAGTTTTAAAAGGTCCAGGGCTCCCATCAGGAGCGGGAGTCGGAGTCAATGGAGGCCGTGCGTAGGCATCAGCAGAGGCTACTCTCTGTCTCTGAAATGCATCAGTTCTAGGAGCCGGCTTAGTAAAGGGATCGCTGCTTCCAGCTGCTAAAGGAACCTTCCCTGACTGTTCCAGGGATCTCAGGACCCCCAAGGGTTTGGAGAACTGCTCTGATGCCATGACAGGCCTGGGTGTGTCTGGTGGCTTTGCATAGGGATCACTGCTCCCTGGAGATGAAGAACATGAATCCCTGACTGGTGAAGGCCTGCTTCCCGACGGCTCGGCTCCCTGAATGGGGCGGGATACGGATGGCTGCGCTGCACAGGTGTCTAATGGGGCAATGGTGTTCCTTCTAACGAAGTTCTGGTTAATGGGTGCTGGTCTAGGTGTTCCCACCATTTTAGCATATGGATCCATTGGAGAGGGAGGTCTTGTGTTTGTGGAACCTGGAGAAAACATCTGTTGTGATGATGTCTGAGGAGTCTGAGACTGAGTCAGTGAATCGTGTACTGGGATTCGGGTCAGAGTAGGGGGTGGGGCTTGTGGTTTGAGGAACACATCATCTGAGGACGACGACGTAGGCGTAGCAGGGAGCTGCTGCTTTGTAAATAGATCCTTATGGAATGTCTGTTGTGCAGGAGACATACTTCCATTGCCAGTCTGTGGCGTTAAGGGGCTCTGGATCCCACTGCTGGGTGTGTCTGAGCCAGACTGGTTCAGAAGCTGCTGTGAACTAAACTGCTGCTGCTGCTGCTGCTGTTGCTGCTGCTGCTGCTGCTGCTCGTTTTTCACTTGTTCAAGCTTCTGCGTGGCTTCTATTTTGGCTTGCTGCTTACTCTTTTGCCGCATTTGCTGTTTTAAAATCATGAAAAAAAAAAAAAGGTTACACTAATAAGTTTGGGATATACAAAATCTTTCTGATGACTGAATCTATAATTTAAAAACTTCAGGACACATCAAAGGTGAATTATAAATAACAGCAAATTGCAAATTTTAAATGCAATGGGAGCAGAGGGTCCAGCTATTTTGTAAAGTTCAATTACCTTGACATGTGTCTTGTTTGCCTGGGAAATGCTTATTCCCAACGTTATATGCTTTCCAACCTTATATTCTGAAGACAAAGGCCACTGAGAGGTGCAGCACTGATGTGAGGCAAATGGGCTTTGAGAGACACCCAGCTCCATTTGGAGCAGCAGTCTGCAGGACTGGGGTATGTCAAAACTAACTACTGCACTAGCCAGCCATGCAGAGAAAGAACACCCTATTTCCATAAGACATAGGACTTAAGAGTCAAAATTTTAAAATTTTTGCAAGCAGCTTCTCTTCTAATAACATCTGCTTCCTTCCCATGCAGAATGGCTGGCTTTGTACTCCTCTACAAAGGAAGACTCAAACTGATTTTATGACAACAGATTCCGGCAGCGCAATAAAAAACTGGAAGAATATAACAAAACACCCTAAATGCAACACACCTGTCTGAATTTCCATTCCTGCTCATGCTCCGATTCCCTCTGTTTTAATGGATCCTTAAAGAGGTCGGAGTCGATGCGTGAGCTGGGATCAATGCTATCCTGTTGCTGCTGCCTTTTCATGGAGTCATTCGACATCTGTACTTTATTGATGCGCAAAGCAGCTCTATTATCTCTGGCTTTTTGCTGGAGAAAGAAAAGAAGATGCAGTTAGCCTCATTTTCTTCTGCTAAGTGTGAACACTGCATCTGTTATTCCTACAAAAATCTATCACCAAATTATTTGTACAGCCCGTTTCAATCACAGGCATCCTCGCAGAAAAGAAATTATAGACTTTAAAAAGAACTCCAGGTGGAAAACACTTCATCTCTACGGAAATTCTGCATTTGACATACATGGAAAGAACCAAGGATTTATTAGCAATTAGTAAGGTAATTAGTAAACCTATTAGCAAAGGTTTTCTACACATGAGGGGTGTCTATTCAGGTACTGTGCTGTGCCAAGAAAGCATGAATCCCACCGGTTTACCTTTCAGATCACATATTGGTGTGGTCTGCAATCTGAAGACATGAGCACAGTGGATGATGTTTGGATCAATAAAGGCCACTAATGTGGAGAACTTCAATGACAAGAAAAATACAGTCTACTCCATTAAATAGCCTCTATAGATCACAGTCTGTTAACAGTTAACAGTATAAACACAGGACATGGGCTTATGGATCGGGAAAAATTGGATGGAAGAACAGCAATTACTCTTCAATGAGGCATTTTACAGCCATAGTGACACTTTAAAGTATCTAATGGAAGTTTCAAAGGGTCTGTTTTACCACCAATCTAGGATGTGATTCCTTTTCTGAACCAAACCCTCACATCTTCTTTTTCACAGATTTATTTCCAGTTGTCAAGTAGGGGTTGCCTAGTGGAGAAGCCTTTAATCCTTTCCCCCCAACAATGAAACAGGGACACGGTTGAGAGCACCAGTGCCACAGCAGCAGAAAAATTAGTGTCATTTTCCCCTATAAGTAAAGGGATTTTACATACTAAAGAAAGCAAAAAGCCTACAGTCAAAATTTACTAACACTTTTCTGAATTGAATTTCAGCCTTTATTCATCATGCCAGAGTGTAAGTCCCTCAGGAGAAGGTACCACAGCAGCTTCTTGTGTGCACAATGCCAGGAGCACCAGCAACAGATGAATGGCAAGAGTACAAGGACTGTTCTGAGAGGAATCAACCACGTCTTGCTATGTAAATACTGGTGTGCATGAGCATGCACTTGCATGCACTCTCCTCCTAAACATGAAGGAAACAATTTTTGCTGCTGCTTTTTGGATATCAGAAAAGGATAGGACTGCATTTGTTAAGAACAATGAAAAATAAACCAGTCAGTCATAGAAATACTGGTAAAGTGGTAAATGCCACTCATGTAAGTGGGTTTTATCTTCTAAACACTAGACAGGATGAACAAGCAAGATTAACTGTAGCATGGACAAGATGGCATAGATGACAAAGGTGATGAAGTTGCAACACTGAATAAAAAGCAGAATAATGGTGATGCCTCAGCAATACAAAGACAAAAACAGAGAATTATTTTTTCAAGTGGAAAGGGTTACAGAAAGATCAAGAACTCCACTTCCCACACTGAATGTGGGGTATGATTTATCCTCTTAAAAGTTGTCAGATATAAGGGGAATTTTTAGATTTGAACAGCAGGAGATGATGTTGGTACTGCTAAACCCTGAGTCATCAACATGTATAGGAATCAAATTTGATTAGTGATGGGCCTGTATCAAAAAAGTTCAGGTAAGGGGAGGCCACGAGACTGAAAACATAACCCTGCATAATCCACAGAAATCTACAAAGTGAGAACGACCCTCCAATTGCTCCTGGGAAGAAACAAAGAAAAGATGGGAACTAGGAGAGAATGGAGATGTGAGAGGAAATTAAGGAAAAGTACATTTGCTAACAATGGTTCAGAAGGTCTAAAACCATCAATAGTACAGGTTCTGAGATTTGGATGTGGACAGGCTTCAACAGAGGCTTCAACAAAGCACAAGGGTCACCCTTTGAATGGCAGAAGTTCTGTCAAATGTAATCAATGACCATGTAACTCCAGATAGCTGATAAAATTCATGCATTCACTTGGCTCAGATGGGAAGGAGGTGAACGATTTCAGAGAGAAAAACAGAGTCCTTCATGCTCCCCAACCTGGCACATAAGAAAAGAGTTTCCATCACAAAGCAATACAAGAGAGTAAGCAGTGAAGGGGAACAATAAAACAAGAAAACAGAGTAGAAGTAAATGAGCAAAGCAGGGATGTGAGCACTGACACCTTTGGAATTGGTAGTTCAACAGGTGAAAGGCTTCAGCAACTCTAATGGGGCAAAAAAGAAGAGACCAGTGAGAGGGGATGATGAAAGAGAGAGAAATCACATAATCAGTTGTTAGTATCCTTCTGAGGAAATTGATGAGATCCTGTGCAGAGAGAGACAGAGGAAACAAGACTCGAGGCATGAATTAAATATAGCCAAGAGGCACTGGGAACCACAGATGTTCTCATTTCAGCTGGTATTGTCAGATTGCACAATACTAATGTAGTTTATTCCAAGACTGAAAAGCAAAGAATACAGGTAAAGTATTCAGAGTTAAAAGTTAAATTACAAATGCATTCCTGGAGTAAGGGAACTTCCATGAAACTGAAGACTTGATTTATTTAAAAAAAAAAAAAAAAAAAAAAAAAAAAAAAAAAAAAAAGACAACCTTATAAATGAAATATACGTTTTCTGGAAGTATGCAAATGCAGGTGGCAATTTTTCTTACCACATAGGGAGCCCTCTCCTGTGAGCTTGCTTTCCTCCACAGTTTAGCAATCTGCTTCACTCTTGTAGCCCAGTCTGCAACCAGAAAGATATGTTATTACTCAAGGCTTTAGATTCTTTCAAATCAAGATGCATATAATGCTGCAAAATACTCAACCTGATTCAGTAAAACCACTCACCTGGGAATTCTTCCTTCAGGTTAGGGAAGTTGATGTTTGTATAGAGGACAGGTGCTACAGTTGCCATTTCACCCAAAGCTTCTTCTTTTTCCCACTTCAGAGTGCTTCTCTGGGCATTGGACATTGTGTCGCCTTCGCCTTCCAAAGGTGGAGCCGCCGGAGCCCACGAGCTGTTGGGATCACTCACCATCGGGTTGAACGCTGGATTCTTATCCCTGACAAGTCACAAGAGGGGGTTGTTTTATAAAAGCAACAAACCAACAATCAATCCTCAGTTAGCCAAGTACTTGTCCTGTTTGCTGTTTCACAAGGCTGCAAGAATACAGAAGTTTTGGTGGTGGCCCTCAAGAATTAATAATATTACACTATTAGTAACAACACCACCCTCCAAGTGTTGCTGCTGCTGCTACCTTTTTTCAATACTCAGTACACTAAATAACAAATATTTTTCATTTCCCAGCTTGACTTACCTGGTATCAGGATATGGCTGCTGTGTGATGGGAGAGAAGGTGCCCAAACCACCTCCAGCAGCCAGAGCCGTATGAGGGAGATGAGGGTTGGGGCCAATCAGACCATTCATAAGGGGCACTCTTGGAAATGCATTCTCTCCTGGAAAGAAGAGTTTTAAATTACTGTTTTGAAGGGTGACTACCTCTGAGGGAGAAGCTGAAGTTTTCACTGAGAAGACAACGTCTCATCTAATGCAAAACTAATCGCTTTAAAATTTTATAGCAAGGACCTTACATTTTTCGAAGAGATTTTAAATCAGTTTAAATTGCTTCCCTACAAGCTTAAGGGATTCTTTTCTAATGCATCACATCCCTGCAGAGAATTGTTTTCTTCTCTGATTTTTTTTTTTAATGGATTTCCAAAACTTTTGCAGTAGCCCATGCTATGGCATTGCACTTTATATTGAGATATATTCTTAAAAGCTAATGGTCTTCGTGTGTGTTACACCAGATCCAAGCAGCAAGCATGGAGAATGGTTTTCTGTCCTTTCAGGATTATCATTAGCCACCTGAATTAAACATCTCCTCTTCTGAGACTCCTGAGCAGTGTACCAAAGTAAGTCTCATTATCTACTATCTCCCTAATTTGTAACCAATGAAACAGATAACTCTACTCAAATGAGCATTAGCATTTTCTAATTAAATGTCCAGTCTAGCAGTACGAAGCCAGAAAATTTTATTTATTTGATTGCAATCTCAGAGATGTGGCACAGGCAGATTCATCCCAGCAGATGGTACTTGCAGATGTTACTACACAGAATTAGCACTGGCCTCTGGATCCCTGTCACTTAAGTGAAATTACAACTGTTGCCCCAGTATTTCTTTAAAAGCGAAGAAGTAGCTCAGGAATTAGATGCAAGTGTAGGATGGACACTGCATCATTCTGTCATGCTTTAGGAGACTGTTTCAGACCTACAGGTTACATGTGCAATGCAGCAAGTACAGTCGGGATCTAAATAACATCAAATTTAAGAAATGTGCTTTATTATAGCTGGTAAACAGAGACTATAAAGCAACTGTGAAGACCTGGAGGGACAGTCAGGCCTTTGGTTTGCACTGTGGGATCACATGTGAGAAGACAGCCCTCATTTTATTTGAAACTGCTGAAACTTGATGCAAGCTCTTCCAAATTACTGCAGCATTTATCTCACAGAAACATGTGGATCATTACACTGTAATGGAACCAAATTGTAAATCTAAAACTTTGTAATTGTGGCAGTTCCCACAGGGAGGAGTTGAACAATCTTACAGAGCTCTAATGCTGAAGTTATCTCCAAGTACTCAAGCAACTGGGAAAGTGGCAATGATATCTATATTATCTTTTGCTTTAAATCACCTCATTATATGCTTTAAACTCTCTCCTTTTTTAAGAGTTTTTGAAGTCTTTCCTTTTTATACAAACTAATCCAACTAGGAAACCAATCATTTTTCTTCTTATGATTAATTCACTGGTGAAATCAATTTGCATACTACTTTTTGTAGTACCAGTATAACAGAATGGACACTCTTTACATGAGCTCAGAGGTGACGTCTGATGAGAAAAGGAGCACATTTGATTACCCTCATACATACTGCTTAAAAAATTGTCTCAACTGGCAACAATAATAAATAAAATCAATCTGCCCCTCGCTTTCAACACTAGAGCAAGAATATGCCGTATCAACTCATGATAATTTTAGTAGTAATGAAGAAAAACAAATTATAATCTCCAAGATACATTTCAAAATTATTTAGCCTTCTCTCTAACAGGACTAGCTAATATGTTAAACTGCATACTTACAGGAAATTAAGACTCAGTAAATTAGTGTTATACAGACTCTTGCCTTACCCTTGAGGAGGTACTCAAAAGTAATTAAAGAGTGAAGTGAGAACACATGCTTTATCACAGCCTAATTTCAAAACCACAGAAGTGTCAGCTAAAATAAAAGCATCGATATGTCAGAAAAATCTCAAATATCTGTCCTTACCTATTAGCAATATTTATGTGGATTTTAAATCACATACCCCCTTCAGAACAGGTTCGGAGTAACAGTTCACAAATTAACAATGGCAAGTTTAGCAACAGCAGAAATTAAGGTGTGTCCTGTTCCCGTGGCAGCATTTAAAGAGCTCTGCTGAGCAGGCTGCTGTTCAGGAAAGCAGCAGAGGAACAGACCTTGGCTGTGCAGAGACATCAGCTGGGGTGGAGGCGGGGGCTGTGGCAGAGGGGGCTGTGTGGCTGCTGGACTTAACACAGCTGTGAACAAATCTTCAACATCCTTTCCTCCCAGCTCTGAAAAAAAAACGTTGTGCATGAGCTGCTGGCATTGCTTATGAACTGTGTTTTATAAAAGACAAGGAAGACTGGAATACCTACCTGGGATTTTGTACAGTTTGCCAAGAATAGCACCTGGACAAAGTAAAGACAACACAGAATAAGTAATCACCAAAAGAACAAATAAAAGTAATTGTGCAGCCAAGTCCAAAGAGGTATGTTACAATACAGAGATGAGTCATTTGGGGGGGGGAGATTATTTCTACTAAAGTTCTCCAGAAGACCAAGATTAAGGACAAAAAAATTACCATCTGTGACCATTTTGTCTAGTTCTGGACTGAGGATTCCATCCAACTGCTCTTCACTCAGTGGCCGTGAGCTCTGGTTGACATTTGGCTGAGGCAGAGAGGAAGGATCATCAGAGATGGGGCCAATATCCAATCCAGCTGAAGGAAGAAGGAATATAAATTAGACATGAATGGTAACATTTATTGGTATAGAATAACGAGAATAAACCCTTTTTTTACCCTCTGGAGCTGAGCTATCAACTAAACCAGGACTTCCTAAGATTTGAATGGTAAGGCAAAACAAAACAGTCATTAGAAAAGTAAACAAAACTGAGCACTATTTACCTGCAGTTTATTGTATTGTTTGAGGAACGTTAATTGAATATAATGCAACTGGAGGAATGGGAAATAAGACTACTGAGTTACAACATGGTTTTGAGTGTATTGTTTTCAGTATATAGTTCCACTACAACTATTTTTCACATTTTAAAAACAATGACACCACTACTAAACATGGTTCATCCTCATGTACCTTAAGGTTCACTCCAAATGTTCTTCACTTCAAATATTATATTAACTATCTACTGAAATGCTGCTGAAGTTTAGCCAGTATAAAACAAGTTATAGAAGTTTCTGTTTCAAAAAACAACTCCTGAATATTATGGGTTACATCAAAGTGATTTGTTGGTATGAAGAAAAATAACTTACTACATAAATTTCCTAACATCCTTTACAAGTCAATAAATCTCCCAAATGGGAGGGAAAAAAACCAAACCAGAACTACCTCCTTCAGTATTTAAATGTATTTCTGTAATAGATACCAAATAAACTCAAATTTAAAATAATGAAACGTGGTATTCTACTTATTGTCAACCTGTGTTTTGACAGCTGAAGCTGATGAACCATTACCCAGTGGAAACAAAAGGATTGATGCTGGCTGCTTTAGTCATGCTTTAATATAGTCATATTGACAAAAATGCTTTTAATTCACAAAATATACCACTATGACAAAAACTACACACTACTACAGGAAGTCATATCAACAGTGGCAGCAAGGAAATGCATGGGTTTGTATCATGGAACACAAAAAACTCAGGAAGGTTTTTAAAAGCTGTGAGCAGAACTCTTGAAGGCGGAGTGCAGAGTTTAAAGGTCGTGTTAGAACTCGAACACCACAGAGTGGAAAATGAAAGCATGAATTAGTGACACAGGAAAGGAGAGAGGAGTTCTAGCTTCTACACATGCAGTTCTGTCAGCTAAAACCACTAGGAAAGAGGGCTACTGCTAACCATGGATCATCCATTGTTTAGATTCTTACCAAATGGGGAGGGTGAGTTCTCAACCTGGAAAGTGCATAAATCAAGACCTACAGGACCCAAACCAGATAAAATGGATGATTACAACACGAAAACAAACAAAAAAAAAAGTAAAGAAAAGGCTGCATGCTGAAAAAAGCTACGCAGGTATGAGAGACAACAGCAGCTACATTTTATTCTCTCTTAAGCAGCAAAGCAAAGAGCCAAGTAAAACAAAATGTTGACAAGGTTGGGGACCTTTTTTTGCTTGAGCACAATGAAATCATTCCAAACCAAGGTATTCTTAAGATATGAAAATTACATCTGAAATGACCTGGAGCATAACCTGTAGATCCAGTACAACAAATACATCTATAATAAAGAGGGGAGAAAAAAAAAAGAAAACAAATACTGGAGAGACCTTCTAAATGTACATACCTGAATGATCTCCAGACTTTACCAAGTCATCAGAAAGTATTCCAAGAATATCATCATCAGTGTTTAAGACCTCAGAAAGATCTGCTAAAGGATCGTCGGTGCTACCTGTGTGAGACACAACAAAGCAAATTAACCAGTCGTGGCATTTCCACACCATGTACCTGGGGATGTACCTGAGCTTGAGCTAGAAACCCAAACACAGGTTCACCAGGCTGCAAGGGCCTGCCAGAGACTGAAAGGGTTAATGATTGACACATCCTAGGATGGCCAGGGGGCTTTGCAGGCTGGGAAGAGACAGCAGGGCCCATCCCCCCATGTTTGCCATGAGGCACAAGGCGTTCTGGAAGCACATCATAACTCATAACTCCTTTGAGAGTGGGGGCTTCCCTCCCCCAGCCCCAATGGACCAAGAACACCCCTTCAACTGACAGACACAGAAGCTGCAACTGCCAGGTTTCCTCACTGGACCCCGTGGGCAGTGACCACATATCTCTTTCCACTTTTATCCTTTATTTCCCATCCTCTCCCTCATGCATTTCCTTAGGTGTTATCCCTATGCTCTAATGATTGCTACATTGCTATAGATGATAGATAGAGATGATAACACCCAAAATGGTAACATACCTTTTCACCTTTGAAACACAATTGTTCTAAAATAAACCCTGCATACATGTGTGTTTACAAACACCGATTATTCAGTGTTGTTTTCACTCTAATCCACCCCAAGGGATTTATTAACATGAACCTGGGTTACCCTCCCCCTTCTGAAGTGGGTCACAACACCCTCCCTCACGTGAAGCCACCTTCAGATGTTTACACTGGTCAGTATTTTTTAAAGTGATGATGTAACCAGTCATGTTCAAGAAAGACTGGATGATTTTAGAGGAAAAAAAAAAATCCCAAGATCTACTGAGAACTTGCAACCTCTAAGACACAAAGGCTTATGAATGTAAAAGTCAACAAATAGGTTTTATAAAGGACACAGTTCACAGTAAATCAAGAAAGAAATTTTTTTTAAAGGTAAATCAGTTACTTCTTTTACAACCACTCTCTTTCTTAAGACAGAAACAACTTAGTTACTGCAACCTGATCTAAGAGTAAGAGTCAAGAATAAATAAATAGAAATTGAAGATGCTATTTTTAAGATTAGAAGAATTCCTGAAGAAACAAGAACAGCCAGAGCAAGAAATGTTGTGTTTGTTTTCCATGTAGGAAAAACCGGCCCAGTCTAGCAATAAATTCTTTAATATTAAATAATGAAGTCTGGATACGACTATCTTCTTGACCTCCAATTCATTAGAGAGAAATCACTCTGAATGGCCCATCTGGTTTTATTAACTAGTTGTTTAGGACTATTACAGATGTGCAACATTTGCAAAAATTGTTTGACAAATAATTGAAAGTTGAGAAAAATATTTTTCAGAAAAACTGCAGACTATCATGATTATGTGAGCAATCACTGCCAGACCAAGGAAACATGATGAGATGGTAAATATACACATGATTAAACAGAAAAAGGGGATTAAAACAAATCATGAAATGTACAATGTGGAACACAAATATATGGCCAGGTTGAAGAGAGACTAGAAAGTCAACAAGCACATTTCACACATACACAGATGCCCTTCCCACTGTTACAATCCAACTGCCCCAGGAAAGTATATAGCTTAATTCAGAGCCTGGTGCCAAGGATTTACTTGTATCATGAGGCTACTTTCCAAGCTGCTAAATTTAACAACGAATTAGAAGTTCCTTCTGCTGTTTTTCAGAGACAACCCTCTTCCCTTCTTCCACTAAGGAGCCAAAATGAAAATTATTCCTCTTCACTTTACTATTTCTATTCTTCATTTTATTCACTTTTATCCACTTTTATCCTCTGCAACGCAGACAAGATGATACAATCCTAATTAAATAATTTTTTTTGCTGCTCAGTGAGGTGGATCAACGTGCCAGTGCAGACCAATCCATCTCCATGTACGTACAGAACACAGCTCCTGTTGGTATCAGTAAAACTATTAAAAAGTGCCTCAATACCACACCACTTTGCAGGCACAGTTGTTTTTTGTACTTGATAAAAAGTACTGTAAAATGCAAGGTTTTAAACAGAACCTAGTTGCTGGGGGTTTGGTGGGTTGGTTGGAATTTTTCTTTATGTTAGGTTTGTTTATGGTTTTTTCAGATACTTTTAGATACTTCTGGCAATTCAGTCCAATTATGCAAGTAACTAACTAACACCAGGCACCAGAAGGTGATGTAATGACTTCAGCTGGAGGTAGGCAAAGGATTGACTTTAACCCTTCTTCACCTTCCCTGAATTCCTGCTTGAAGTCAGGTGAGTATCAGGGAGAAAAAAGCACCTAAGGAAGCATCAAGACTGTGTTAGAAACCTTTAATTCTTCTGCAGTATTTCATGGTATGGTGCTTTTCTCCACAGCCCTTAGTCATGTGCTTGGGAACAGTCCCTAAACATTCAGCTTCTCATGTGAACATAAATATATTATATAAGTAGCTGGAAAGGGCTCAGGTGGAAAGACATAACAGAGGAGTTTATCCCCCCCACCCATGGCTACAAACTGGCCATGAATAAATTCAGGCTTCAAATTAGAGGGTCTCTAACTATTGAGGCAATCAGATTCTGTAATGGACTTCTGATGAGATGAGCAGGCTGGAAAAAAATCAACCTGCTTTCAAAATGGAGCTCGTTAAATCTACAAAAAGGCAGAGTGCTGGTGATAGCAGAGGGCCAGAGTCTATGATCCACAACTCTCACATAAGTCATCTAATCTAATGCATATTTGTACATTTTTTTCCTTCTATTTTTAGGTTGTTTTAATTCCATGTGTGCTAAATATTATCTTGGAAACAACGAAATCACTTGAGTCAGCTGCTTCAGATCAGAATCAATAGCTGGTTGACATCTGCTGCCAAACAAATAGCTCAATACTGCTCATTAATTTGACTCTTTCAGAATGGAGATGAAAGCAGAGACAAAGCAAAAAGGAAAATAATTTGCTTGTAATGCTGGATCTCTAAGAGAGCACGGTTCTCCTGCTACCTTGTGATTCTGGTCCCTTCAATGCATTTACTTTTATTTATTTATTAAGTTCTAAAATAATAAAAATGCCTCTCCCAAGGCTGCAGCCACCCTAAGATGCTTTATCGTGCACTAATGTATCCAGTTACAAAATGTCCCAGCAGCACTTGAATCAGCTGCAGAGATCCAGACAACTCCTCTCCTTTTGTCTGGGAAGAACTTCTTCAGCATTCTCTGGAGACCCCACTTGAACAAATGACTTTTTCAGCATGCACAGAAAAAAACACACTAAATTTAAGCTATTTCAAGATAAAGGGAAGTTCACATTGCCAGAGCCTTCACAGAACGCACCTCACCAAGTGGCCTCTTTTTCATCAGGGACACACAAGTCAGGAAACTCAAGATAGATACAGACAGTCCTCAGAATGCAACAGATCCAAATCAACACCTTCAACTTCACCCACGAAGACCAGCCAGGGAGACCCTGGAGATCTGGTGCTCGTGTTCTCAGTGAGCAAACCTCTGCACTCTGCTCCAGCACTGCCTTGGAAATGGTTTCAAGGGTTGGTGCCATGCAGGATGCAGCGCACACTGTGCCACACATGTCGTAAAACCACAGGAAAGGTGGGTCTTGTAACTGAGAACACAAACAGCAACCTCTCTGCCAGACAGAAATCAGGGCTGGGAGCCTAAAACTCACTTCAGTCACAGTTGCTAGAAATGAAAAACAACCAAAGGACTCCAAAGCCCCTCTTCTGGCCAGCTCTGCCAATCCCCATCTCTACTGCAGGCTCGGCTACTGGAAAACAGCAAAAGCTTCAGCTGCCATTAACCAAGCTGTAAGACTAAATAAATCACAGAGTGTGTCCCTGGAATGCTCTGCCAGCTCATGAGCACACTGATTGCTGCACTCCCTCAGCAGTCCTGTGCATGTGCTGAAAAGCAAAAGCAGAGTCACTTCTTTAGATGCTTGAGAGCTCTCTGGAAGATGAACAAATATATCTAACCCTTAATCCTGGGATTACACAAGTGGAGTCTCCAAGAGAAGAACGTTTTCCTTGTGGAAAAGACCTATGCAATTAAGGAAGGACTCTCAGGAGCCAGCAATCCTTGTGAGAAATGGTAGTGTAGGAAAACAGCACAGTCGGTGACAACACAGTCCTACAGCCTCCCAGTGCAGTGAACAAAGCAGGTCATGCTGCTCCTGCTCCTGCTCCACAGCCAGGTCTGGGTGGAAAACAATGAAAACATCACAGGTGCCCTGGGACACTGTTCTCATCTCCAGCTCTGCAATTCCAGCCAGAAGGGAGCTCAGCAATCAGCCAATTTATCAGGGTCTCCACCATGCAAAACAAATCTGTCCCTCAAACCTGTGGATGCTACTGTGGAAATAACTGTGTCCCACAAAGTCACAGGGAAAGAGTTCAGAAAAACTGCCCTGGAACTGATCAACACTGGCAGATGAGTTCACCCACTGGTGCTCCCACTACAACAAACAGCTCCATCTGGACACAGTTCTGGCTGGAAATCTGAACAGTTGTGAGACAATTGTTGAGAACATTCCTATGGCCAGAAAGCACTGGCCTTTGAGTCTCTCATATGTCAAATGGGAAAAACAGTAGGTTATCCACTAAAACCATTGCCAGTGATTTATTTATTAACAGCCACCTCATTATTATTTATTTCTGAGTAAAAGGAGGATAAAATGACAAAGTTTTACAACTCTGCTTATTTATAAAGAACTGTCAAACCTCAGAAAACCAGAACATTAAATTAACATCAACTTCCAAGAATTTCGAAAACCCTACACTATCTTGACACATGAACACATTAGTGACTTCAACCTTGCAGTTGGATAGGCCAGCAAGGACCTCTAAAGTTGTATTTCTCTGGCTTCAAAAGAATGCTGGGGTGGGCAAAAGTCATTGTGAGACCATCTTCTTGTAGCACTGGAACTAAGGAAATACAGACCCTGAAACACTCCACTTCCAGCAGCTTCCCCCTCAGGGCAAGTTTACTTTTGCATTCTGTATTACTCACAGTTTCAACCATATAAGAATCAATGTTTAATTATAATATAGCCTTTTGCTTCTCATTTAGCAGATTTTCACTGAGTTTCAATCAAAATAAGTGGCCTTTCTTCAAATGACTCTCTGGACAAGGGAAACTGTATCAATGTGTACAAACATTTGAAAAACTCTTGAGGATGAGCTGAAATACAAGCCACAAATCGACTAATTTACACAAGAAATAGTAATAGTTTTTAAAAATAAAAAGATACCTCTAGCTAACAGCATATAATACAAAAAAATAAAGAGAAAAAAATAATTTGGAGGAGACCATAAGGTTTTAATTGCTCTTTTGTGTGAAGCTGCCCTTTCAGCAGGACTTTACAACCCTCTGGCTATTTGCAAAACTCTCAGCAGTAACTTCAGTAAGGTTTTGCAAACGCAAAAGATTGCCTAGGGGCTACAAACTGTACCTGGAAAGGGCACTCATGTTCAGAAAGGACATGGTGAACCAAAAATTCCGAGGAGACTGGCAACCAAAAATAATCTAAAACATTAAAGAAAAGTCTGATGATATTCATCCAACTAATATTCAGTAGACTAGCAAAAATATCTTTTAATTTGAGTATCTATGTCTTATTCTATAACAGATCTGTATTCTTATTCTTACACAGAATTAATTTTCATGGACTTTACACACATGGATGTCCAGGGGCTGCAGATTTGTATTAAGTGCCAATTGTTGTGCCATCCTCTGATCTTTCTGAAACAGCTGGAGCCCTCGAGCTGAATATCACTGATTATCAGAGTACCTTAACCCCACAAGGACAGTTCATATACAGAATGTTGAAGAACACATCAGATAAACACTGTGAGAAAAGTGGAAAAGAGAGTGGAAAAGCTCCAGTTGCAACAATAAAATCAAACTACTGAATTATCACTAACTTTAGCTTTGTATACCTTGAGGTCCCAGTTTTGCCTGAGCTGGAGTGGAGGTTGAGCTAAGAAGGGGGTCAGATGAAGGATCCAGGAAATTGGTGGTCAGGTTTGCTTTACATGAAAGTGAAAGTGATTCTTCAGGTAAATTATCCAGGCTCATCCTGTTCTGTCTACTGGTATCTAGTAGGTCTTTCCCAAAGAAAGCTTCCTGCAAAGAAGACAAAACGATTCAATGTGGGAAGATCACTGCACCTATTGAAAAAACTGGTTAAATGACAAAGTTAACATTAAAAGGCAATGATAAAAACACAACCTCAGTCCCACGAGCCTTCCAGTATGGCAGCATCTCTTCCAGGCTATCAGGAGTGGCTACAACTTAGCTGAGGTAGCTACATTACTCATGTTTTATGATTAAATTCACACCTTAAATCATATAGAAAAACACTAGTCTTCTTACACATGTGGCAGAGACGGTGTTCCAGTACAGTGTTATTACATATCACAATTTGTTAAGTGTGTAAAATATTTCTCCTGGCACAAAAAGGACAACTGAAGAAGGGGAACACCCCTGGGCACCTGCACCAAGAAGTTAATGAAAAACATGCAAGCAACACTGTGATCCCAATTCAAGAACAACCACACCCTGCATTTCACTTAGCACAAAACCCTCCTCATGTCTAACTGCAGTAACAAAACACCTGAAGATGTTTAACTCACATTAGTAGCTTTTAAAATATTACATAAGCCATCACTCATCCAAGGCCTGAATACTCAGTCATTTGACAACAGCCTATCAAATTTTCTAGTCAACTTTTATTCATTATATAACAACTCTTTCTGTTTTCATGTAATCTATAAACCCTTGATTTAGGCTACAGCTCTAAAAATAAAGATAGATTTTTCAGTATCGATTTTTCTAGTATGAACAAAAGTAGAATCTAAGAAATATTCCACATTTTATGAGGGGGAAAATGTGCACTGAAATACTGATCCTTATTAATCCAAAGGAAATGTTGTTTAAGTATTTTCTTTCCAACTTACTTTCCTACTTAGGAAATACAAATTATTTTTAAACAGATTGCTCTGCCTCTCTATTAATTCTTTGCTTTCAATCCCAACAGAGTTGATGCCGTGAAGTTTGGTGACCATCTACAAGACAATGAAAGTTTTCATGGAAAAGGTGGCTGAGAAAAAGAATAAGCCAAATAATGTCCTCAGTGAGAGAACACTCAGTCAGTTTATAAGCTGGTTAAATGGAAGGTAAGTTGCTCAATCACCATTAATATCCTGGTTATTACCCATGACTGCTGATGAGCTATGAATCAGCACACATAAAGATCAGGCATTTAAATGGATTTACACAAGAAGTATCCCAACAGCTTTACCTGCAAGTAGGCAGGAAAGGTTTCTTCGAGTTTGTTTTTCTTTTTTCTGTAACGCTTTTTTATTTTCTCAGTACTTTCAGAAGCTGGGGTAGACTCCTCAACTGGAGTGTCTGGCAGCTGTTCTGTCCAACCTAAAAAGCAACATTCAGGCACAAATAAATAAAACACTCAGTATTTTGCTCCAAAGGTTCAGTGGCAACACACCTAATGTATCTGACTGCCTCTCTGGGCTAGTGGGTTTACCAAACATCACTCCAGATGTGTTCTAAAGGTGGCTTTTATCCAGCCAGCTGTGATCTGTCCCCTGACCATGTGGGTTGTGCCAGCAGGAAACACCACATGTGATACCAGTCACATCAACACCTCGTACCTCCCAGGTACAGACAGACCTTTAACTTTTGTACCTCCAAGCCCCCTATGAATGTGGTAATTTGAGAGAAATTACAGGTGCCACCCAATCAGGTACCTGAAAGACAGTTCAATGAAGAACTATCTCCAAAATCATCAGTGCTGAGTTACACATTAATCACCTTTCATTTCATACACTATTTTTTCTCAAATTGAAAGTAAAAAATTTTCTTTTTAAATCTGAGAAAGAACTATCGTATAAATAATGAACAGGCTAGAAAAAGAAATCTATAAAGAATCCCTTCAAGAAAAATTACACATTTATTCAGCTATCATATTTCAAAGTGGCACTGCTTTTTCTAATAAACACAAAAGCACACAGTGCTCATCAATCATTCAGTATTTTATTACAACAGAGCAGGGAAAACACTGCAGGTAAAAGCAGAACTTTTTAAGTCCTGCTACTTCTGTCCTGCCAAAGCAAATTACATGAAGTTAAGGACCCTGGGAAGTTATTTAAGGAACCATACTAAGATGCTTATAAAATCAGCTTTGCTTTGTACTGTGGTGATCTCCTACATGTCATATTCACAGGACCACGAGTGGAATGAGGTTCACCAACACTGTGACCTCTGCACTGTCTGAGAGGGAGGTTTTACAGACAAAAACAGGTGGACGTGACAAAGGTGCCAAAAATCCTGGGAAGGCTGATGAGCACTGGCCGCTGAGAAGGAGGCTCTCAGCAAGCTATCATGATTTAAAACACACAGTGACTCTCTGATTTATATCTTTCTCAATAAGCAATTGTGCCTGAGCAGACAAAAGAAGCTCCAACTTTTAACTGAAGAACACTTGTTTAGGGACACTGCTTTTTAACAATATGCATTGTAATGTTACCCAGAATGGGGAATTAGCTTCTTAACCAATTTTATTTTTCATTTACTTAAAGGAGTAGATCCTATAGAAATGAAAAAAATTACCACAAAATTTGCAGCACTACCTGAATCAAGGCAGCATGCCACAATGAGATAATCATTCCAAAGCAGAAAAACACAGCTGTAACACTAATATCAAAGAGACAACAAGCACTAAATTGGAGACTTAGCTAGAATATTGGGTTGCACTGATTAAAGAAACATTTGCTGGCTTCATAGGGTTGTTCTACAAATGCAAACAAGGACAACATTTAAAAACTAGTTTTTAATAACACTGTCTGGATGATGCAGCAAAGATCCAGTCCCCACCATGTTGTACAAAGACACAGCAGGAGACTCATCTGGCTTTACAAAGGGTAAAAACACAACAGCCAAACAGACAGGAGAGAGTAGCAGGAGAAATCAGAGGCCGGAGTCTCCAACTGAGGGGGTATCAACCAACCTTTAGAAGCAGCTGCTTCCTTCTACTGACTTTACAGGAAATGGGCTCTGAGCTCAGCATATTCCACATTTCACCTGAATGATACCTCAGTATTCTCTAGATTAGTGTCGAACAACTCCAGATGGGGAAATAATTTAGCCTAATCACACACAGCAAGTAAGAGAAAAAGGCACATAAATAAAATCTGACTCCTTGTTAGGTGCCCAATTTAAAATGGCTCTGCAACAAAAGGAGCCACCACAGTTGGGTTCTTCAGTCCTGGAAAGGACAACACCGATGGGGAAATGTGACACATGTCTAGAAAATGTTTCTGTATTACAAATTAATATGGAACTAATTTTTTTTTTAAGTCATCTTTCATAACATAAAATGTAAGGGTAGTTTATGAAACTCTCAGCTTAAAATAATGTCTCATTTTAAAATAAGAAGGATTTACTTCTTCATGCACCACAAGTATACAATTAAACTCTCTGATAAAGGGTTTTCCAGAGCACAAACAGATACATAAAAATATCAGATATACTTGTGGAATATGGAACACTGGTGAGCATTAAAAATGATGGTCCAGAAGACACCTCTGGATCAGGACTACATGTGGAGGAAGGTGTGTCAGAAAGAGGATTGCTCTAAACCTGTCTTATAATCCTCATTATTTATCTCCCACAATAGGCTGCAAATCATCATTTCAGTTTCTTTGCAAATCATGGGCTCTGCTGAAATTTTAAGTATGTAGGAATGGGTATTTTCAGTTGAATCAATAAAGCTATCATGACAAACATGTATGTTGATGATTTGTATTATTTTTATCGCGTTAGGCATGAACAAAAATTTAAAAAACAAGTTTCAGCATTTACCTTCCTCTCTGCCAGGCAACTGCTCAGAAACAGATCCAGAAGAATCTTTCCTGGAGAGGGATCTTTTTGTCTTCCCTTGCCCTGTACGGCTTCTCTGACGTACCATAAATCCTCCAATACCTTAAGAAGGAAGCAAAAATTCAATGTGTTGATAAGAACTGTGCTTCACAGTAAGAACAAGAGCCAAGATTACTCTGCAGGTCAAGGGGACCGCTGCAGCTAAAGGTCTAAGAATGAATCTGAGATACTTAAGGCATTTTCATTCAGAGTTTTAAGAAGTATTTCTGAATTTTAATGTCTTGGTGGGTATATATTGCATGATCCAACAGGATAACAATTATGGGACTGTAAAACATCCACAAGAAGTTCAAATCACCAAACCTGGCAACTTTCAGATGCTGGATTTCCCCTCCCCTGGCAAGCTGGATGAACTGCTGGAATTAGCTGTCAATCCATCAAATGAAACCTACCAAAGAACCTCAAAAGACCCTAAAAAATCCCTCTACAAAGAGCTCTAGGAGACCCAGCACTCCATATGATGGTACTAGAGAAGGACATACCACAAAATAAAAAGATAATTGTCAACATCACACTGTCTGAAACTCCAGAATCCTTCACTAGAGACTGACTGCAGCACTCCTGATCCCTTGCAGATGGTGTATATGTATGTAAATGCATCAGATACAGGTTTGTTTAATTTTCCAGGGAAATTGTTGGCTGCAGAAAACTAATAGATGACTAATAGATGTATTCTGCCTGGATACAGCTCAAGTGTTTCTGCACTCGGGACACACAGTTAATCCACAGTCCAGATAATTAAGAGTCAACTGCACTAAGAAATTAAAATAAATGGATTCATCCAATACCTGAATTCATTAAAATTCACTGCCAGAAGCAATCTGCAAATATTTAGTAAATTACTCTTATTGAGTATTTCAGAAAATAAGAGAACTGCAAAAAGTTCTCTGAAATTCACATATTGCCAGATGTATATAAATACACACACACAAAAACTGTCCTTCACCAATTACACAAATACAGTACAATTTCCTATCAAGTTAAGAATCAATACAAGGTACAGATTTAAAATACTACAGTTGGCAGTAGAGTAACAGCAGAGGTACTGCTGAGCAGCAACCTGTGGAAATGGGTTTTGGTAAGAGGATGAAAGTTATTTTAAACAGAATAGAGAAAAAAAAATCTACAATAAACAATAAGCACAAGAATACTCCACAATTCCATATTGGTTTCTAATTTTTTTTTTAATTATAAAGAAAAAATGGACAATGGACACACAACTGTCTAAGTTACTTTATCCTACCAGGTCTATATGGTTTTCGTTTCCTTTTTTTAATCCCATCAGCTCCTTCAGCCACTTTGGTATCATCATCCACAGCTTCCCGCTCTGGGCTGGAATCTGATTTTCCATCACAATCCATAAGATCACCTTCTGCAGAAAAGAGGCAATGGTAGCTTTAACTTGAAAAGGCAAAGAAGGTATTTTTTCCACAATTTCTACATCTGACTGATTTCTGAGAAAGTGATTGAGAATGATTGAGATTTTTCTAAAGGGTGACAGATAATCTCTGGACACTCCTGGGAAACCCACTCTACCTCTACACAAGGAGCCAGCATAGACACACATTTCCTATGAGATGATGTTGAGACAAAGCCAGAGAATAAATGTTGTAGTTACTACATGTGAATATGAGGAATGTTTTGCTGCCTTCCTCAGAAGCCTGTGCCATCACTGTTTCTAAGTGTCTGAGCAATCTGTAGCCACACATCAAGGAATATGGATCCAATTTACCAAGATATACTTCCTTTTGTTCATTGTCCTCTTCAGCTTTGTTTGGTAGGGCTTTTTTTTTTTGTTTTTGATTATTGAGAAGACATTGAAAAACTGCAGCCTGCCCTTGGAAAGTAATGTTTAATGACTCTTAGTTTAGAGCATTCATGACTTGAAGCCGTGTGACTGACTGAAAGCAGACTGTCTGTGAAGAGGAATTGGACTTATGCAGTAGAACATTCAGCCCAAAGGAATTACTCAGCCTTGAAGATGAAGACTGTAATTCAGAGTTAGAGTTTATATTCTGTGGGAAAGAAGGGTAGAAACAGATGTAAAGTATGATGACATTAAAAAGCCTTTGGTGTTGAAGAAAGAGGGAGCTAATTCTTCCTGATATCCCCAAACAGACCTTACATCTTCATTTTATCGTAAAGCTTTTGAAATGTTAAATATACTCTCACCCCTGAAAAGATATTGGAATTCTGATTTCCTGCTTTGGGTTTAGATGTATAATTCTACACGGTCTAAAACCACATGCAGTCGTGAGCGGGAGAAATACTGTCATAAGAGGCAGAGTTGGACTCTTTCATACCACTTCTGCTGTGGTGGAACTGCATCCCTCACTCTTCCAGGGGTTGAGTCACGGACCAGACCCTCCCATTGTTAAAGACCTTGCTGAGTTCCACCAACAGAGCCGGTGGCTTGGCAAAGGCCACCAAGCTGAAGCTCCCAAAGCAAGCTCAATTTTCAAGTGGACTTTAAAATGTAGAACACCTCATGAAAGCCTACAAATGAGACGGTAACGAAATTACCATGAACCCAGTTTTTTTTCAGATAAAGCCTCTTTTTTTCCACCTGGAATGTCAGAGTCTAAGTAAGTTATTCCTTTTTTCCCTGGAATTACTACACTATGTTACTGCAGTCAAAGCCATGGCACAGCTTTATTCATCCTGGTGCTCATACAAAAATTCCAGGCGTTCAGGGAACAGGCACTGATCCACTCTACAGAGCAGAGCTCTACACACACAGAGCTTCCAGGAAATCCACCCCATCTACCAGGTACTTGCTGTGCTGTCACCTTCACATACGTGAATGTGCTTTAACTCTCAAAAGGGCAATGAAAGGTGATCAGAAATGACATTAAAAGTCTGTAGAAGCCTTGGCTCTCCCTTCCATACCCTGCTGTCACATCTATGTATCTTGTTATCTACTTGAAAAGTAGACAGAAGCCAACAAGCAGATAATTAAGTCAGACAGAGTCATATAGAAAACAGGAACACACTTTTAAAAGTAAAGATGATTGGCCACTGAAAAAGAACAATGTAAGGGACTAGTTCTCTTTCTTGATGTCTCCAAACCAAAATCAAAAGCTTTTTTTTTCCTCTCTTTTTAACAACCCAAAGTTGATGAAATATAAGAAAGTATGAGATGAAATTTCAGAGTCTGTGTAATGTTAGGGAAATGTACCAAACCCTGTGAGTACTGAAAGAAATGGAAGAAAAACGGGCAATTAACTGTTTTAAAGGTTACACTCAAATAAGGGAAAGCTATCATAAAAAAATACACTTCCAGTCAACAGCAGAGGGTAAGAATGTGCTAATCAAAGAACAGGAGCCATACTTCTATCAACAAGTTAACACTGAAACTTCACTGATGGTTAAACTACAGTTATCTCAAGTACACTCTCTGTATCTAAAAAAAGCTTCTCATGACATTTAATCTGACTAACACCAGGGTGATGTTGCATAAACAGAAAGCACTTTAGATTGTGGGGAGGTGTGGGTGTCTGTGTGCCTCTGTTCCTCCCCTAACAGACACCTGCATGACTAATGCAATGGCTTTCACACGTTGAAGTTAAGCCTTTCCCCAGGCTACGGATTAACAGCTGTCCTACCAACACACTTCTCAGGATGCACAGCCAGACCATGGCAAAGGGGACAGGAGAATGGGACTGCACCATGCTGGCTGCTGTTTCTAGTGTTGAAGAGCAGGGATTTGAAGGGCCTGGCTGCTCCTAAATGGTTTTCCCACTCTCGTCTCCCACCTTTGGTCTTCTCTGGCTGGGGCTGCTGTGCTTGCTCAGCTGTGAGGGAAGCAGATGAGACAAGTACTGGTGACACTGAGGCACGTGGATCCTTGCTCTGTGTTCTGGCTTTGCAGTGGAAGGAACTCTCCCAAGGGATTCTACCACCGACTGAAACACTGTCCCCATATACAGGGGTGTGTTTGGGTAGGCCAGCATTAGCCCAAATCACTGACTCTCAAGTCAGCTCCCCTTGTTTCTTTCAGAAAAAAGAAATACTCTCAGAAAAGAGCTTTTTAATCCACTTTCCCATTTGATTTTATTTTAACACCAGTTTCTCAGTGATCTAGATGTTGCTTTGCTGAGCCAACGTTACCACTTTCAAACAGTGTTTGCACTAACTTTGAAAGCCTCAAAATGCACTTGTACTCAGTGAGTGCACAGTGTAACCCAAGGATTAGACAAAAAGTCATCCCATATTGCCAGTGTTGGCAGCCTCAGAAAGGCGAAGTTTCCTATAGGATGGATGACCCATAAATAGGACAACAACATGGAAAATCCCTAAAACGGACAACAATGAGCCATAACTGCTGTTCAAGTAATTTCCATAAAACATTCTGCACAGAACACAGGAGCATCAGTGTCATAAAAACTCCCAGGGATATCTGCAATACACACGTGTACTGCAACGCTCCCAAGCTACAAGACATGCCAAAAGTAGACCGCTACCTCTACTGTCATCCATCTCCCCATCTCTTGAGTGTTCTGACTGGGCATCTGGGGGTGTCTGAAGCACAGCCACACTGTTCTGATTTATAATCTTCAGTTTAAGCTTTGGTTTCGTCCGTTTTCTTCTCGGCACTGTAACAGTGAGGCTCTGTAACTGAGACATGCCGGATTCTGTCAAGCAGACTCCATCCTGGGTGTATGTCTTCGGTGGGTCTATAAAAGTTGAATGAATCATAACAGCAATATAAAACTCTTTTAATTCACAAGTCTTAGATTTTTCAGGAATAGCACTTATAAGAGTTAATAATCCACATGTATGGAGCTGATCCGTGAGTGAAGAAATTGGTATAAATAAAACAGGGGTATCTGACACTGTTTTTACACATTAAAGTCACAGCTTTATTGCTCAGAGTCTGATGTCAAATCCAGCCACAATCCATTATATTGCTATGGAACAACCTATATCAAGGACTCATTAGAAAGAACAATGTCATCATGGAAACTGGTGCCTTGCAGGGTATTTCTGTATCACCAACACCCACAGAAACCTGTGCAAGTCTTACTTTGGGTTCCCATTGCTTCTCAGTCAGGGCCCCCATCCAGCCTTCAGCACTTTACCTTCATCATCTTAATGACCTTAACCCTGCCAGAACTCCTGGTAACTCAGGCAAGTTATCAGCCCTATTTTATAGGCAGACAAAAACCAGGTTTTACCAAGTGAGCTGCTCAAAAATTGTGGGTAGAACCCAAGTCTCCCAAGACCTGCCAGACTGCTTCCTCCTCAAGGTGTTACATGACAGCTGAGTCTATGATAAGCTCTAATATTCCTTAATTCACCACGTAGAAAGGTGCTGTCACCTGCACTGGGGCACTGCAAGTGGAGGTTTGGGAACTTTCAGGGAATTACCAAATAATGAAGAGGCTACAGTGATGCTTCAGCTCCTTGGAGCCAACTAAATCATGATTTGATAACACAGGTTTTGAAAACATATAAGTATCATACCATTTGTTATCTTTAACCAAAAATTATTTTCTTATGCAACGCAACACAGCTGGTCCTGAACACAATCCTTCCCAGATGACTGTCTTCTTGTACTGAACTTGAAAGGTGTGCGTTTCAGAAACATCTCATAAACTCTTTTTCAGATTGAAGATTTGAGGGGAGAACCTTCTCTCAGCACTACATTTGTGTGGTATCAAATGGAAAAAAACTCTGATGTGATGGAAGCTGTCCTACCACAATGGAAGCTACTGGGTGCTATCATTATAAAAGCTGATGGTGAGTAGGCTTGTCAAGATTATAAATTCCTAGCACAAACCAGACATCTACAGAAAAGTTGTGTCCTCCTACAGCTGGAACCTGTAAGCATTTGTGTACATGCCTGACTCAGCCACATTGTGTTATCACCACTGATATTAAGGCAAGCAACTAAATCTGCAGGATCAAAGCACAATTTAAATTAATTATTATAGTGCAGGTATGGCAGGCAAAAGAGAAGAAAGAAGAGAGAATGAAAAAAATGGAAAACATGCTGTGGTAACTGAAGGATAGTTAATGCTGTCTGTTATAAAACCATAAAAAAAAAAGGAATTTTTGTCTCATGTAAAAATATACCCTTAAAATATGCTAAATGATCGAAAATTAAGCATTTACATTCTTTACCTAGTTCTTTTGATTTTGAAATAATCTGAGCTCCAACTGATGAATCACAACAGTCCAAAGAAGGCACTGAAAAATATAAGGAAAATCATTTCAACTTTTAAAAATGGTGACTTGATTTAAACTGAAACTATCAATTTTCCTTCAGACAGTTCTGTTAAACTCCCTAATTTATACTGTTGGCAACATTGACTGGCACCTTTAAAATGAAGTGCTTTTCAGTGTCACAGAGGATGTGACTACAAAACAAGCCTGATACAAACTGAAGTTCTCCAACTTCCTGGAGCCAAGAATGGCACTGGAATGGCACTGAACTCCATGGTAAATTATCTCCTTCTACTGGGCCAAGGGCAAATGAATACACTGGATCTACTGGGTTGGAAAAGAACCTCTACACTAGTCATGACATTCAGATTTTGCTTGCCCTAACCATGAAAAATGGGAGGGCTTTGTGTGGGTATCGACCAGCATTTCCCCAAGGAGGGGCTGGCACACTCTGGCAGCTTTGCACACAAGATTACAGATGTGTCTGTGCTGTCAGGACTCTCACACAGCACACATCAGAAAGCTGATGTATCTGAGAACAGATGATACAGGACTCATCCAAGTTAGATAGGGCAATTCTTAACCAAGGTAAGAATATCAATAAAGGGAACAGCAGAAACTCAATCTATTCTTTACAGCTTGTGTGCTGTGGGGAAGTACTGGAACAGTGTGACTGAAAAAATAATGATCAAAATGTCCTACTACACGTGGCTACTCTTGCTGTGGGTAGAAATGCTCTTCCCACCTGCCTTAACAACATGACTGCAATAATGCTCCACTAACCTCTGATGTGTAGACTAAATTTTAATATTAGTAGTGACTTCACAGAGATTATGTAGACAGTAAGTAAAGTGAAAATTAGGAGCTTCTGTCTCGCAAACATTGAGAACTAGAATCAGAAAACCTGTTAGTTTGGCACAGTTAGCATTACCACATAGGCAAGTTTATCCACACTTTTTTCTCTCTTTTTTTTTTTTTTTTTCCCTAGAAATCTTATTCATGCTGAATTTAAGACCTGGGTAACAACTGGAGTATTTACTTGGTGTCTGCCACACAAGATGAGACCACTGAGGCCGAGCAGCCATGGGAGGTTCAGTGTGTGACGTCAGACCACTGCACATGTGCTGCTGACCACCTCCCACACCTCCTGGGAGTTAAGGGCCAAGACCAGGAAAAGCACAAAAGCTTCCAAGTGACACTCAGAATGGATATGAAAACTACAGGATATGCTTTCTCAGCATATAAGGAAATTTACAGTCCTTTAAAAGTTTTATGCAAGGTGTAACTAACATAGAGGATATCGTCTACAGGAAACCAATATTCCATGCAATTAGTAAATAAAAGAAGCCTACATGAATTACTGAAAAAGTGATACACAACGGTGGAGGGAAAAGACAAGGAAGAAAATAAATTGAAAATGACATTTCTTAAGAGACACAGCAGAACTGGAGGGAAACAAAAAATATGGGACAAGTTGCAGGATGGAAGATACTCAAAAGCACTGAACTGAAACAACAGAAAAAAAGGCAGATTGTAAGAACTACTCAAAGTGGAATAAAACATCATCTGTTCACTTAATTGGTTATAATTCACAAGATGTTTAAAGACTGAGATAGCAATTACTGAATTGGAATCTAAGGTAAACAAAAAATTCAGAAAGACAGTCATGAATGGGAATTTGAAATCCTTATTTAAAAGTCAAACAACAGAGAGCTCTTCTAATCCAGGTCAGACTGTGAATAATTTTAACTCTGGAGACTCAATAGAGTTGAAATGCTCAAATAAACAAGCTGATAGTGACAAAGGTGAGGCCTTCGGAGACCCACTCACAAAAACTGCACAAACAACCAGTGTTTGAAGGCAGTATCAAACAGACTTCCAGAAAAGGAGCTAATTAGAGTGAAGATTAAGGATTAAAATCAATAAAATGGATAGCAGAAAAACACAATACTGTTAGAGAAAGACTGTTCAAAGTAGGGGAAAAATTAAAATTAAACCAAAAAGTGCTTTCTGAGGCATTCAGCCGAAGTTTAACCAAAACTGTTAAACTTACTTGCAAAAGGGTTTAGACATGCTGAATATTGTCCAGCATTTAGCAGTTTCAGCTGAAAACAAATAATTGCACAGAATACAATGTGATCATAAGAACCACAGTTTCAAAAAGAAAGGGGCTGCCATTTGTAAGGCTGAAAAAGAAAAGAACAATTCTAGGAAGAAATGAAACCATCATAAGAAATGGTTGATGCAGAAATAGAGCACTAGCAGAGCACTCATTATTGGGTGCCTGCATAACCGTGTGAATGGCACAGGGATTCTTCTTGTAAATAAGTAACACACGAACATTAGAGTTAACATAACAAATGTGCCAAATAATAAAAAACCTCGAAAGGTAATTTTTTAAACATAAAGTATTACGTTGGGTTTGTATCTTGGATGTAAAGTACATAGAATTAGGTTTCGGAATGAAGAAAAATTTAATTCAGTTTAATGAAAATGGTACAACAGAGGCTCCCAGCCACAAAGTGTGTCACTGGCAGTGCTGAGCATCCCTGGATTAGTAAGTGATAGCAGCTCCTCACTGCATTCATGGGCAGTCACTCGAGCCCCCAGGAGGAATAACTGCACAAAGGCAGCCACAGGAACTGCCACCAGCTCAGCTGTGACTGGTTACAGAAAACCAGGCAGAGCTGGTCCGTCTGCAGAGGAACAAAAACAGCACCAAGGGAGGAGGAAACTGGAGTTTGGATGGAGAGAGGACGGGAGTAGGGGAGGAAGGATGAAATTTGCAGATGGGGCACGTGACACACAAGGGCAAAGGAGAGAAAGGCAGAAGTGATGAGCAGATGGTCAAGAACTGCTCGTCCAGGAGTGAATGAGGATGAGGGATGGACACACCTCTCCTGAAGGTGCAGGAATGACAGCACAGGGGAGAAGTTGCTGCTGCCTAAAGCAGCTGTTAGCACCTCAAATTCATGAGAATCTGAGAAAATGTTCTACAGGGCAGAGCAATGCACTGGGGGACATGTGTTAGAACTTGAGACTGCACTAGAAGGAACCTCATGAAACACTGATGAGAGACGATTATTTTCACATAATCTAGTAATGAAGGTTTCTGGCATACTGCTTTGGAGCAACTCTTACCACATTCTGGCTTTTGATATAAATGTATGTTCAAGAAGAAAAAACCTATTTAACTTTTATTTTTGTTTCCTGAAGAAGACTTCATAAAATTACCAGCTATGATGAGATAGGGAAGAGCTCTTATAAATTTAAAAAAGTTTCCATTTTCTGAATAAAGTAAAATGGAACCTCATTCTCTTTACCTACACACTGGAACCATTTACTCTTTAACAATAGTGACTTGCAATGTATTGGTAATTTAGTAGGTTGAAGGGCTCTTGCTTCTTCTAGAAAGAATGTGGTTAAAACCTTTAATAACCTGTAATAACACTTGCAACACATCCATGATACATCAAATGTAGAGGGCAAGAACCATCCCAGGAAGAATCCCATAATGTGGTACATTTTAAGAAGCTTTCTACTGCGAACTAACATTGTCTCTCTAAGTTTACCAAATGCTAATTCTTCTAACTTTGAAACAAAAAGTTATAGCAGTTTCAAAGGAGTTTTAGAAGAATTAATGGAAGACTTAAACATTTCATATCAAAGTACATGCAGATATTTCCATGAACATGCATCAAAGGACATATTCAGACATGCAACTGTGCAAATGTACTCATGTTAGAGAGGTTTTATATATACTGAGTCAAAACAGGAAAGAAGAAGCAGACAAACTTGTCTTGTAAAAAAAAAAATGGTGACAAAAACTGCAAAGAAAACTTGGTAGCTCTCTGACAGGTCTTGCAAGTCTGGTTCCTACTTCTTGGAACACAAACCTAAGGAACATGACTTCATGGAGATGTGCAGGAAGGACTAACTCAGGGGACAGCTTATGCCTGGAAATGAAACATCTCTGATACCATCTTGTGAAGTTGTTCTGTCTCACGTAACATGGGCTTTAATTATCTCTAAAAGGCAGCTCTGCCGGCTCCAAAGAGAAAGGAAGAAGGAGTATTTCTTACTTGGATCTTTTTTTCTTGAAGTATTCAAAGCTTATTATCCAAATAAACAGAAGACTGTGTTTCTTGGGTTTTCCACTTACAAAACCTCCTTCTTTTTGAATTTTTGAAAGCAGATCTCAGCAATGAAGTGACTTGTAGAAATACAGAAGGATTACGCATTCTTCTATTAGTGATAAAAATGGGTTACTTGGAAGTGTTCCAGCACCTTGTGTAGTTGATCAGGGAGTGTATAAACCTCCAAGGTCAGGTCAGTAAGTTATAATTACTGCTGGGATGAGGACATGCCAGTGTAAATGGACATTAGATGCTCTATTGAACTTTTCTTGGCAGACCTCTTGAGCACATGCCTCACATCTTCAGTCTTGATAAGGAAAGCCAATCTTACTGACATCTTCTTGGTGGATTTGAGTATTTCTTGAAACATTTGCTTAGTTCTTGTGCCTTCCTCCTACTGTTCTCTCATGACACCCCAATAAAGGGTTAATATGAACACTAATGAGCTTATGCTAAAAACGGGAATAGGTGTCAATGTTAAAACAGCAGAGTGAAGCAGAAACTCCTGTGAGCTGACACGCAGGGAAAACAGACCTGGGATATCACCCTTGCAGCAAGACCATAAATCATGTCATAGGCCAGTGTAACTGCTGACAGGCCACTCACAGAACATTAACCAGCCCCATCCCATGGAACCAGACGCTGGAAATGTGCTTAAGCTGCAGTAACCTCAGCTCCTGAAGTACCAGTGCTGTAGAACTGCAATGCAGACTGACAAGGCAGTCGGTATCCATCTCCAGAGAAGTGCAAAGTTCATCAGAAGGAACCATACATTTTAGGTAGCAAGCAAGTGACAACTCCTGAACAAAAAAGTACGGCCAGTTCTTTCAAAGACTGCAGCTAGGGAGGGAAGCACTGGTCTTGAGTACTGGGAGAGCTGAGGAAAAGGCATTAACAAAACATGAGGGAGGAGGGGAAAAATGCTTAAACAGACTGTTGTTACAGCCACTGCTGCCTCAGACAACCTCAGAGCATCAAAATATAAAAAGATTTTCTGCTTAGAATTAATTTTCAGATTCTTCTGCAGTTGTAACTTTAGAGAACTGGGCTTTCTTCGTCCCACTTGACAGAGTGAGATGCCTTTTACCCTTTCAATACCAAATGCTTTTCTAGTCCTTTACCCGTATCTTCAACAACCCTACCCAGAATTCCCCATTAGGTTTCCTCTGGCCTTGCAGCCAAATCACTAGAGGGTGCGAAAGAGCTGAGGACACTTTCCTTAAAATAAACATGGAAAAAAAAAAATCTTACTTCTAGCACGAGCCAACTGTCCATCAGAGACAAGAACCGTAACACATTCCCCAACCTACTTATCGCAGTGGGCAATCCTGCCATTGGTTTCGATCGTCTCCTTACCGTTTGTTGGTGGTATGTATGGCCTACAAATGGTACAGTCAAAACCCATATCAGCTATGTTTTCCACTTCCTCCTCTGTGTTTAAGTTCTGACAGATTGCATGCATCCATCTAGAAATTAAGTGGGGGAAAAAATACAATTTAAAGGAAATATGTGGTGTTTTAGGAGACCCAAACATCAGCCTACGGTCCGAGTAAACGTGAAGTAGTTGTTTAGTTTGCATTCTTTAAGGGACAAACCATAGAATCAGGTTTTCCATATACAGCATCCCCTACTGTGGTGTGCATATGGAGTAGCAGATCACCTATTTACCTTCACAGGAAGGAACTCTACAAAACAATGTCCCGGACCAAATATGTTTTAGTATTATAATTTTCTCCTTATATTGCCATCATTTCATACTATGTAATCCAGATTTAGCCTCCCAACAATAGTCTTGTGAGGTAAATTAGTTTTATTTTTATGGGACAGGGGAAGAGAGACATAAAGTGATTAATTTATTTGTCCAGAGTCAGATAGTTAAGTCTGTGGTACAACTAGGAATGAACTACTAAGAGACTTCTGAGACTCAATACTCCAGTGTTCATTACCACAAGACCGTTCTCCTTATCTTTATGCTTTTACATTACAGGGGAAAAATTAAAATAAGCCTTAAACAGGAAAAAATCTGTAAAATATTACAAATCCTTACCGATCACATTGTCTACACTGAATTATGAGCTCCTCGTCCCTGTACGTGCGATAGCAGATTGGGCAGGTGGACAAACTTGCACAGGGAGCACACTGTGTGTAATTATTTTGCCATTCACATCTTAAACCTGGAGAGGTTGCTCCACAGTGTCTGCACCAAACACACCTGCAGATCAGACAAAATGATCTGTTACTTTCAGTTCACAGGAAGATTATTTCGTGGCTCTTCTCCTTAGAACAAGGTGAGTAATTAAGTTTTAACTCAGTCTAACAACGAATGTTTAACAACATTTTTTAAACAGAGTTCCTAATTAGTAATTCCCTTCAAACTGCAAAAACAGGCAGATGGGTTTTTGTAACAGCTCAACAGGTCAAAGGAGTTCCTGCTTCCAGTCGCCATTCACTTTTAGATCTGGAGACTTAACCATGTGAGAGGTCTGGTCTGTTTGTGTTTCACCCAAGTAAACCAAATGGTTTTCAGAGGGTCTTAGTTTGAGAACAATTTGGTGAAGCAACCATTCATTTTTCCAGCTGAACGCTGGAATGAACATTCCAATGAACGTAAATTGGAAATTTTTTTTTGGCTAAGAGTTTCAAAAGACAAATTTTATCCACCTCTACTTATGCATTTTTTTGGCATGAAGAAGTGGTACTGAGAGGAGATAACAGTTTCCCTGATAAACTGATATTTGAGTGAAGCAATTAAAAAGTATTTTGTTTGCTTTAATACACCTGACTCAGATACAATTAAAACATCACTACAGTTCAACTGACATTACAAATACAAAGTGACAAAAAGAAGCAGGAGAGGCCAGCCTGTCAGTACTTCTGCCCCCAGACCCAAACACACCATTTGCACTTCCAGCCTCCCTTTGGAACAGTCTGCAGGGGTGGGTCCAGGCAGTATGTGTGGTAGCTGATGTCGCAGTCATCACAGAGGAGGAGTCTCCCCGGATCCGTGGCTTTCCCACAGGCTTCACACACCGTGCACTCCAGGCACCTCCAACCTTTGCTGAGCACCACTTTAGTAATCTGCAAATGGCAAGGTGAAAATGATCTGCAAGGTGCTCTCTGAAGTGTGATCAGTGTATAAATGAAGGTCTGGAGCTGAGGATGCTCATCTGGGCACAGCACCCATGTCACAAGGGGCTGTTTGGCACTTAGGGCTTTCTGAAGCCTCAGTAAACAGGAATGGATCAAATAGATCCTCTTTTTTGCCTCCTTTCCACCCTTTCTAGAAATGGGTGAAAGGTTCCCCTTTTTCAGTCACTTCACCTGGCTGCCATCACTTTTCAAATATCACGGAGAGTGGCTTGGCAACTACATCAGCCAATTCCCTCGGGATTCTGGGATGCACCTCATCAGGTCCCAGAGACTTATGCACATTCTGGTTCCTCAAGCAGTCACAGACCTATCTTCTCGTGTCATGATGAGACCACAATAACCAGTGCTGGGGTCTTAGTCACCTGAAGCAAACAACTAACTTACTGGAGTTAATATGGAATGTAAGAGCAGTGTATAAACATAAAGTCAAATTATAATTGCATGGAACATGCACATGGCATTTTGTAAAGTACGTGTAAAATAAAGTTTTGTGGCATGTTTAAAAAAAAACCCACTTTTACATAGATGTACTTATAACCATTGAAGAGTGTATAGTGTCTTCACTGCAGGAATAGCTTATTTTGTGCTTGCTAGGTCATTTCATACCATTCAAATTTAATTTTCACACATTCTCTCCTAGACTAATGAATGTAAAATGTATTAATTAACCACTCCAACTGCTGTCAATTCTGACAGCCAACAGGCAAATTGAATCAACTAAACCTTGTGCCCCTAGTAAATGAAGATGCAGTATAATTTTTTCTTTGTTTTTAATTCTGCTTGTGTTTAGGTTTTAAGCTTATATCTCAAACTGTTATTTTAACCAACTGCTGGATAATCAGCGCTATTTATGGTTGTGAAATTACAAAAAGGTTAATTTCTCTTGAGGCAATGCATACTATAAAATGACATTTAATTAAAGTCTTTCACAAGTCGCATACAAATAATGGTCACATTAGCTGATGAATATCTAACAAGTTAATGACTCCCCTAATTACCACAAAACCAAAGGCAGCATAGTGCTATTAAAGTACAATATGTAAACAGTGTAATCAAATGATTTCTTTTATGTAACAAAAGCACTCACCTTAATACTGACACAGTATGGATGGTAACACTGACCACACTGAGAACAGGCAAGCAACCTGCCCTCAGCACCTTGGCCAAAACTCCCACAAACTACACACATATCCTGGAATGACAGAGAAGAGCAGACTTTCAACACGTGCCAGACACTACATTCTGAAAACATATAACTGCAAAATCCAGCTAGCTTGCTCTATAATTTAACTCCTAACAAGGACATTAATTCATTTTTTTCCTAATTAAAAGCTGGGAAACAAAATTAAAACACAGTAACTATTATCCTAACCTGATGGAGAGTGAACTTGTCACTGTTAGAGAAGAGGACAACTGTATTATGCATCGAGTTTTCTTCCTCATCTTTATTAGATGAAATATCCATAGTTGTGACCTATTAAAAAACACAAAACATGAATAGCAAGCACATCACATTTCCCAAGACATGAGACAAGATGAGACATTCTCTAAATATGTTAGAGAATACCACCTTTGCAAATATTTATTCATATAGTATGAACGTCTCATAAAAAGCTACCATCAGAAATTACTATATTAATTCACATTTTCACACCAGTACAAGCATCATCAATATTATCAGTTTTACATACATATTCTCTCTCTCTCTCTCCTTTGTTCCTCTTTACACATTATCCCATTGCACTTCAAAATGGAAATGGAAGAAAAGAGACAGTCTAAGACAAAAATCCCTAAGCAGAAGTTCTCATACTGTGCCCAGTCTGGTCTGTTCCCTGCACACAAATACTTCTTATCAAAAAGTTAATTGCAGTGACATACTTCTGAGTATTAATTCAAAGAGCAATTGCAGAAATGTAATTTGTCCCATATTGCCTAAAATGTGGTTTAGCTAATGTTCCAAGTATGTCAGAGAAATAAGCCAGAGTTCTAAAGTTACTCACTGTAAGCAGTTTCTTTATGAGGCTTATCTATCTTGACCATAAAAACTTGCACTGAACTTGAAACAGCTGTTTTGATCTCAATCCATAAGCTCTGACTGTAGACACTCATTTTCTTTTTGATCAAGAGATTGGTACCCTGAGCTGCCCTTTATTAATTCAGCATATACGTGCACATACAGCTTCTCAGGAAGAGAAAAAAGGAAAATGAAGACTTCAGCTGTGTCCTGACTTTCATGAAAATACTGCTATGCAGAATTTGCTATCCATGAATTGAAACTAATAGGCCCAACTATTTACTCTCTGATCCAGTAAGATAAGGGCACACAGTTCTATATAAAAGATCAAATGGATGACAGAGAAATATAACCTTGTTTTACCAGCTGTTCCAATTTTATAAATGGGGATTATTTTAAATACAGTATAAGTCTTAAACAGATAGTTTTGTTTAAATAATAATTTAAATATTTTACAAGCCCAAATATCGCTCTAGGGACAAATGTAAATATCATTTCAACAGCTACAGGAATCCTTCTGATACACTTTTACTGGAACTCAGCTTTTACTGAGAAACAGCTAAAAAGGGAATATATTATTAATGTGTTTTAATTATCAAACAGCTGAGAGCATTGCAGCTGTAACTAACTAGTTAACCAAAAAACACGTGAAACACCTTGACACCTTCAGGGATAGGATTTCCCTTGCTTGTTTTTCCACAGGTTCCACCAAGTTCTTGGAACTGCTTGCACATTCAAAAGAGCAGAATTTGCAGGACAGAAAATACTCCCATTTCAAACACTTATCTGGCAAAAGGTTGCTCTCATGGCATTGCTAACTTCACCTACCCTACAAGGCAGCCACATCCCTGCTCTGGAACTCTGAAGCTGCCATCTACTTGATGACTCAAAGGGTCGAATTTCTGAGGTAAACTGTGGAGAGTGATGTCCATTTTGTATTTATAGCGAGTTACCTAACGCGCCCTAACCCTGGGGACAGGGAAATCTGATTGATGCAACTTAAAGTACTTTGTCACCAAATTCTTTTGGCCAAGTCCTTCACCAAAACTACTTAAAAAAAAAAGTTAAACCGAGGAACTGTCCCCATACTGACACAAGATAAAAGAGTAGAATAAATTATCAGTTTTCTGTGTGGGAGAACAGCACTAGTGGAAATCTGACAGGGCATGTCTGCTAACAGGCGGTGCTGTTCAACACACTCGTGTGCAACCTCAAAAAATCAAGTGAGAAACAAGGTGACAAAGCTTGCCAACAGGATTAGAATATTCAGAGTAATAAAACCCAAAAGACAACTGTGAAGAACTGCACAAGAGCTTCATAAAGCCAAGTGCTGGGCTATAAAATGGCAGATGAAAGTCTACAAAGTAAAGAAAAGAACATGACAAAACAACTGATAAGGATGATCAGAAATACGGTGTAGCTTCCATATAAGGAACTCAAAATACAGGTATTCTCCAGTCTGGCAAGACAAGAGTGGAAGGAAACGGAGGAGAACTGATGGAGATCTGCAGAAAATGAGTGGCATGGATGAAGTGAATAGAAAACAGCTCTCCACTGCCTCTTTTTTAAGAGCAGCAGGCTAAGGGGCAGGCAACTAATCCAGCAGGCAGCAACTTAAAACAACAGGCTAATAAGCTGTAGAACTGATAAAGGTTAACATGGTTTCCACAGGTTTTTAAAAATGAGTGGGCAGATCCATGAAAGAAAGCTCCAACACAGCCTGCCCAAGACAAAGATGCCACCTCCTGTTCAGCAAGTCCCCAAGCCACAAACTGTTGAAATGTGTCCTTCTGCTGTGTACTCTTCTCCCAGCACTCAGTTTTGGTCCCTTGGGTGGAAGAACCTCTGCTCTGATCCCCTACAGCTGCTGTGACATTCTCAGGCACAAGCCTCGCTCTCCTTCCTGTGTCATTCCAGGGAGTGCTGCCTTTACCCAGCATGTTTTCCATGCAAGGAAATGGAAGGAATGTTTAAGACTCCCAATAGTTATGTCTTCAAGTGGCAAGAGCAGTGTAAAATTGCCTCAGGTCCATCAAGCTGTGGTGTTCCAGTTCTTCATCACCAGCAGTAACAGCCAGGCTTTATCAAACACCCCCTGCTTTTTTAGTTGGTTTTATAAAGTATTTTAATACAAGAATTAGAGCTGAATAAAATTATGCTACGTTAACAGACTGCAACATGACTTTAAAAAAAAATGTTCTTACCCCTGGAATGACCACAGTCCCAACTCCATTCTTCAGTTTTGATCTACCTCTGCCACCTCTTCCTGAAAGACCAGCACCACGTGGTCTCCGCTTCCCCGGGAACCCTGATCCACGGCCCTATTCAACACAAGATAACCACGTAAATGCAACCTGAAGTTCTTTTGTTATATGGGATTCAAACTTGTTCAATGCATCAAGGGAAAAACATAAGTAAAAAGACACCCTATGTTTTCAAGTGAATGTGAGCCCACGAGGCCATAGTCATTAAATCATAAATCAATATGAAACACCTTTAACTACTTACATGGCATAATATGATGAGCTTTGTCACCACTGAGAAAGCAGCCAAAACCAGGAATGTTTATTTTATGCTCAGGAATAACTGGAAATATGGAATTTTTTTTTTCCCCCATAGTTGCAAAGTTTCCAAAATAAATCTTTTATTCTATGATTCGTTTTTCTTTTCTTTTTAAGCAGTCAGCTCAGACAGTCATGGGACTTCTGAAAAGGGTCTGGACACTTGAGTACTTGTAACCATAGATGATTTTCTTATGTTATGAATAATCAAGCAAAACCTGGAATTTACTAGGATGCAGTTCTGCTCCCAAAGCAAAGCAGGAGCCGGCTCCACGAAACTCTCTTAATTCAGCAGATACAGAGAGAGGTTTTTATATTAATTCTATCAATTACACTCAGATCAACATTGCCCATAACGTGAAGTTTTTCTTACACAGTATTTTTAGACAGCTTCTTTTCTCCCTTATTTAAGATGCAGCTGCACAGTTGCAGTGTTGTGCTTTGGAGTATTCACAGTATGTTCAACTACAATTAACTTTGGAAAAGCAAGTATGTTTTTAATAATAATTACCTGTTATGCATACTGTGACTTGGTTTGAAATGTTTTTGTTTTCTGGTTTGTTTGGTTGTTTTTTTTTTTAATTTCAAAAGGAACTAAGCACAAAGAGGATTCCTAATCCTCCCTTATCAATTCCAGAGAAAAAAAAGAACATATTCACAACATCCCCAAATTCTGGCTGGTATCAGCAGATATCTTTACAATGTGTTTCAGAGCCTCTAATCTGTGTAAGTGATGATAATTATGTCATATACTCAAATAAGCACCTTTCCTACTATGAAATAAGCAATGAGATTATTTATTGCATTTCAAATTTGTGAAGAGCCTCAGCTCCTAGTACAGCCCAACTCCATGCAGAGTATCTAGATATGGTGCCCATATCCAGACATTTGCTGTAAAATACTTTAACACCAAAGCAATCCATAAACCAATGTTGATGGAACCACAGAGCTCCTAAGGGACAGCGTCCCCAACATTGGACAGTCTTTACTGATGGAGACATGAGTTCCCTGGAGGGAAAGCAGCACTATGGGCTCAATATTCCCCTACAGCATTTTTCAAATATGCCAACTTCTGCTTTAAAGGACATACAGAAATTTATGATCATAATCAAAGGGAGAATTCAAGGTTCCCAATGTTAAAATTTTATTAACATCCATCTGTTAATGGGAAGAGAAATTCAATTATTCTCACACAACAAGGTAATATAGCACAATGCTATCTGAGGAGCAAAAGGAAAGATGCTACTGAAGGCTGAGGTAATTATATGTACTGAGGTGAAACAAAAAATGTTGTCCTTGGATATCTATGGAGTTAATACATATGCACACACAGGACACACAAGCATCAATTTTTTAAGATGGAAATTCTTCTGACATGTCTCTTATTTTCTGTTTCAGACAAGGTATCAGTATTGTTATTTTCACACAACTAGTAACAGGAATAAACAAATATTTGTATCAATGTTAATGCTGAATATTAAGCTGAAAATTAATGCTTGAAGCAGCAAAAGCTAAGCTGATGTCAAATTAAAATAAAATTAGCATGAGAGTTAAAGTGAGATGAATGTAAATCACTCGGAAGCTACAGCTATTTGTCAATGTCATCATTTGGCTTTTTTGGCCTTTATTTAAAACCAATAATTCTACTTAGTTTCTTCAGGTGTCTTTAATGGTAAATGTCACCGTGGATACAAGCTTTGGTCCATCTAATCAGGTAGGAAAGTTCTTATTTATTCCCCCATCAGCTAAAAACGATGTCACTTTGAATGTACTCCACAAGATTTCTCCACAGCAATAAATTCAAGCCATCCTTCAGATCTCTGCTCCTTTCCATGCCTGGCTTACCTTACTGCCAGTCTTAAGGACATTTTCCTTCTCAGGTAATTTATTTTGACAGCTACGTAAAACCAACCACAAAAAGTGATGTACTCAACACACACGAAAATTGGGTAATACAAAGTACTCTTTGCCAGTGGAAATCAGGGCAATGCCATCACACTGTACACTCTGGAAAGCACATATTCTTTTAACCTGAGAGCTCCAGAGTTTCAATAAATTTTAGAGGCCTTAAACAGTAATAGAATGAGAGATTAATTCAGTTGTGAGATACAGAATTTCATCACTAGTCTCTACAGTAGAAAGATAGCAATGGATACATGAAAATAAATTCAAGTTATTTACCACTTTGATGCTCCAAATGGCACTGCCAGGAAGCTGTCTGGGTTTAAAAATGTCCCGACCTTCTGAAATGTCTGGGGACCAGGAAGGTGGGCTGACTGTATTATTGGTACTCCAAGCCCCCTAGGATACGGTAGGTGAGAAAATAGATGTATAAAACTTTGCAACATAAAAAAAAAATAAAATAAAAAAAAAAGACAAAAAAAAAGACAAAACAAAAAGAAAAAAGCAAGCAACAAAAAAAAATCTGAAAAGCAAAGCACATGCAGGCATAGGCATTTCTATATTAACTTAAGTAGTCAATTAGTTCACTGAGTGAGAGGAAGGCAGGAAATTTTTAGGTTCTTATTGAAATACACCCTATAACAAATAGTAACCTACAGCTGATGGTTAATTACAACAAAGTGAGTTTTATAAACAAAGCATAATATAAATTGAAAGCAAGCAATCATAACAACAACAAATTACATGCCTAAGTTTTATTGTATCAATGAAGAAGACAATAGTTTGAGGTGATAACATCCCCTTTTATATCCCAAATCACATTTTGAAAGAAGTTATGGCCCTAGTTGACTTTTGACACTGAACTACCCACAATCACAGCAACAACTAGTTCGAGAAGCAACTCAAACAAAAGGACTATGAATAAACCACTGGACAAAAGTAAAGGAAAACAGTCATGGTAATCAACAGGGCACCTGCATGTTTGCCATAAACAAACTATTACAAACCCCCATAGCTTAATTTTTTTTCCCCCAGTGTTTTCATGTTAAGCTGTGGTATCACATTTTAACACTGCTATATACATGTAATGATATACATCCATATGGGTTACTTACAAACTCTTTTAACTAATTGATTTTTATCCCTACTTATATAGTTCCCACCATGGTGAGATACTGTATAATGCTGTCACAAGAAATAGGGGAAAAAAAAATGAAGAAAATGCTAAGACAGACAAGAAAATAATGTTGAAGTTCCTCATACACTTTAAAATCTGTGGAAGATAACAGATTCTTAAGACAGAATAAAGAGTGCAGGAGACAGACATCATAAATAACTTCATTCCAAAAGTGCCCATTAGAATAGTTAAAGGATAATGTATTTTCCTAATTCTAAATTTGTGAGAGCAAAAAATACTGAAGGCCAAGACGACAAGAAAAACAGATGAGAAGTACAGGTTTACCTTCTCAAGAATGCCATTCAGCAGCAAAATCACAGGGATGATATGGAATAACCTCATGCATACTAATGGCCCCAACTATTCACACAGGCAGAGCTGCTCACACGGGCAAGACCAAACACATTTACACCTTAGAATGCTGGCCTATACAGTAATAAGTGTTAAGGAAAATGAGACAGCTTTGCAAAATGTGGGATTTTTTTTTTTCCCTGAAATGAAATCTCTCTCCATCAGGAATGTGTGGGAAGAGTCATCAAAATCTGGGACTGTAAGGAGGTGCCTTGCTAACAGCTGCACTGACTGAAAATAGGACTACCCCTCACCTGATCTGGGGCCACAAGGAGCATGGACAAGCCTTCCCTAGTTCATGTAAGGCCCAGCCAGGTCAGCTCAACCTGCTGATGAAGGTGAGCACCAGCCAACACCTCCCATACCCTTGAGGAGATGAGGACAAGCTCATCGGACATCTCATGCTCGCAGAGCTGGGTGGGCTGTAACCAGAGCTGCTCAGTGAGCTCAGAATTCAAACTGGCACAACAGAGCCAAAAGAAAGTTCATTAGTGACCTAAAAGCCTAATTGTGCATAAAAGTCACATGTTAAAAACGCCAACGTTTGGTACAACCCACAGTGTGGACATGGTGGTTTTTCAACATAAATCTCCTTTCTAGGAGTCCTGCTCTGCCTGCATGGGAAAGGGAATATGGGCAACACAGCACTTGAAAAAATAAAAACCTGACAACTCTGCCCACACGAGGTGGTAAATCAGACACAGAGCCTACAAACTGCTAAGTGCCCAGACCACCTGTGTGTTCTTAAATGCCCATCACTGTCTCCCCTCCGCCAAGGTGCTTCCAAAAACCACTCCAGCTGAACTGCCAGTGCCAGTAACCGCTCACCTGCACTCGGGCTAAAGTGAGTGTGCCAGATTAAACAGTTCAGATTGTAAGATTTTTTTGCTAGCCCAGTTTTTTGCTTGACTTCAGAGGGATGGTCATCAAACAAACAAACAACCCAGCAGATCAAAAGGATCATCAGCCTCTGACAGGGAAATTGTGTTGAGCAGAAACCTTCTGCACCTGCAAACCTGCAGATGGATGAGGGTCCCTGCTCACACTCAGGACACAAGGACATAAATCCATGACAGAACAGGGACACCAAGTCAGAAATGGGGGGAAAGCCAGAAAAATGGACACAGAGGTTTGATTCACCTACTGACACACCAATTAGCAACCACATCTGTGGCAATAGGAAATTTACCCTAACTATAGTAGCCATGGGTTTAATATCAAATAACAGTCAATTTTAGCAAGATGAATTTAAAACATCCACTTAATTTTAATTGCAGTTTCCTCCTATACTTCTAAAATTAATAATGCATACTAACTAGCTGTTCTTATAAAATGGCATCTAAAAATCTGTATAGTAACACAAAGAAAATCTATGTATCGTAGAAACAATCTTTACATCAATCTATAAAGGAGGCAATGTGCTGACTAAGGGTCAAAATTCCAGATCTTAAACATGCTGAAAATACTTTACCAACAACTAAAATTACCTACTCTTATTAGGGAGGTACAAAATTATTTTCCTTTTAAGAAGATACACTTTTCTAGTGATTAAGTATATTCAAAAGATTAAAAAGCTAAATGAACATTAAATCAGAATATGAAATATTCAGTCTTGCAAAACAAAATGAATTGTATATGATTCATGAACCATATTGTTAAGAATTAAATTAAAAATTTAATCCAAGTTTTATTGTAGATCAGAACAATTTGAATTCTTGGTCAGATAAACTTAATTAAAAACACACACTTCCACAATACTACGAGCAAATGAAATACATCAAAGAGATGCATTAATTATATTTTGGCTTTTAATTAATGCCTACTACCACACAACACTGAAGAGAAAGTTCTATTCAGTTCATTTACATCAGAACCCCCAAAATTATTATGTACTGTGACAGAAACAGGAAGTTCTAATTCTCCATCATATTCTTGAGTCCTCAAAATTGAACAACACAGCTGCAAGTAAATTATAACAAAAGGAAACCCAGTGTCAGCAAGGGTCAGGAGATCTCACTAAATTACCACTGACTGTGTTTAGCTGCTTAATGCTTTATGAATTCGACTGCAATCACAAGTGCACAAAGCTGGATTTGCAATTTAATATTTAATGTAATTTTAGGGTTGTGAACAAACTTTAATCAGTTCAGAACACAGCTCCCCTCATTAAAAAAAAAAAAAAACCAAAAAACAACAACAACCAACCACCAAACATAAAAACTGTTACAAAAACTAACCCTTGAAAAAACCTGTTCCTGATCCTTTTTTCCAACATCTACCTCTACAACAACATCCTTAGTGGTATCATGGAAGTGAAGACCTCAGAAAAGCCATAATACCCAAAAAAGGACATACAAAACCCTTTTTGATGTCATTTTAGAAAATCTCTTAAAACATCCACAAATATGCAGCGAGTTGCATAATAGTGACAACCAATATCTTCACAATAAAAATTAAATACCTCTAATCATGGTATTTTTTCAAAGAACACACTCTAAAATAATACTAAAATAATACTTATGTATAAAAAAAAACAGTAGAAGTTTATTATTTACTATTCAATATTATTCTACAGAACATTCTCAACTCTACCTACCACTGTTACACTGTCACAATTTGTAATGCCTTCCATTTGTTGACTTCATCTCATGCTTTCCACTACACATTGCCATAGCAAAAATAACTATTTCAAACTTGTTCAATTCAGGTACACAGAATATACCCAATACCACTTATTGTATCCCTCCACAGGAAAAAAAATAGCCATTTTCCTTGTGAAGACTTTTTTTCAAACTAGCTATATGTCAGATTAGTCATTAACAAACTTAGATGACGATTTCTTTTATGACTACAGCTTCAGAAAAAAAGAAACATGATAATGGTTCAAAAGAGGTTCTGTCCCTGGCATAAATTTGGAGTCTACAGGCAAGAGTGGAGAACCTGCACATTCCCTGGAGAAGATGCTGTACAGACACAACTCCAAGGACAGCACTGTAAAAACTTTATCACTCTGGCAACTACCAGTGAGTATCCGTGATCTGTGAACAACTAAATTTCATAGGTATGTAAAAACTAATTTGGCTTCACTATGGAATAGGGTAACAGGAAAAGAGAGGAGACAGCCCACAGAATAACCAACCCCAAAGAAAGTCAGGGAGATGCTCAGCCTGGCAGGTGGAGGGTCCTCTCCCAGGGCTGGATGGAGCTACTAAATATCCAACTTAGGAAGTCACTTCCAATTATGAATAACTTTGTATGCAGCAGTGAAACAGAAGAATTACTGATATATATTTTATTCACAATTGTATTAATAGATTCTGTAGAAAGGGCTAATGATTTATCTTACTGCCCAGCAGAAGACACTAAACTTAATGAGAACAAATCCAAATCAGAAACTATTCCTCTGTATGGATTCCCCTGACTCCACTGAAGCATGTGTCTTATAAAATTGAGGAGCAACATATTCAGGATCAAGAAAAACGTGGGTTTTTTTTTTTCTTATTCTTCTTTCTATGAAGTTCTATAAACCCACTGCAATGGATATTTAATTATATTTTTTAACAGGAAAAGGACATTCCACCAAGGTAAGCTTCTAGGAGAAAGTGCAGAATATTACCATATGTGGAAACTGGCTAATGCTGGCTTGTCTTCAGGGTTCACAGAGTGACCAGACTATTTATGAAGGATCTATTATACAACAGATGATACACTGTGGTCCCTTCCAACCTCACCCATTCTGTGATTTTATTTCTGCTCCTATTCACAACCCTCCATTTGGAAAAGTACACAATTCTTTTAAAAAATGAGTGTTTTCAGCAAAAATAGTAATTAAAAAGAACCCCACAAAATAAAACTGAACTAATTTTGTCTGCAATCCAAAGGCATTTAAATACATGCCTTACAAACTGTGGATATGTCCAATAACGTCTTGCTCAAAAGGAAAACACCTGCCTTTAACTGGACATTTCAAAATCTCTTTTTTTATAGTCTTCAGATCGCCATTCAACAGGTTTCAGTCCCTCCTCAAAAGCCCAGAGTAGAAACTTAGAGCACTGGAGAGAGTTTTGTCACTGTTAAGGCATATACTTATTTCTGTAAATATGATATACACCCCTTACTGCACAGTGACCTTGAAAATCTACCTGCAGCACAATGAACACAGAATTCCCGAGCTCAGTGGAAACAGGAGAAAGGTCCTAATAATCAAGTTGATTTCTGAGAAGTTCTATTACATACAAGCCTTTTCTATTTTAAAATATGATCTGCAAGCTGGAGAACAGATCTTCTCAGGGGAGCCCTCATGGCTCTCCACAGCTGCCTGGAAGGAGGTTCAGTGAGGGGGTGTTGGGTCTCTTCTCCCAAGTAACAAATGACAGGACAAGAGGGAACAGCCTCAAGTTGTGCCAAGGGAGGTTTAGATTGGATATTAGGAAATATTTCTTCACTGAAAGGGTTGTCAAGCATTGGAACAGGCTGCCTGTGGCAGTGGTGGAGTCACCATCCCTGGAGGGATTTAACAGATGTGTAGATGTGGCACTGAGGGACAAGTTTTAGTGGTGGACTTGGCAGTGCTGGGTTAAGGGATGGACTCGATGATCTTGGAGGTCTTTTCCAAACTAAAAAAAGTCTGTGATTTTGTGATTTAGCATCACAGCAAGGCTTTTGTGTTACACCTGACTTTTACACCTCAATTCAACTCAATTTTGTGTTACTCGCACCACGAGTTAGGAGGTCAGTGTCTGTATTACACATGGAATATACAAATAGCTACTTTTCCAGATTCTTTGTTTGTTTTTAAGATGTGTACCTATTCTGCCACAGGCATTTACAGCTGGGGTCAGCCTTCATGTTTTCCTCAAAGGGCTCTCTGGTGGTGAACTGATTTGACTGTATCATGATGCTGGTTCCTATGCAGAACAGGGGTGAACTGCACAGGAAAATAAACACAACCCTTACTGAAAGAGGGAAGAAGACAGATTAACTTCCCCAATGGAAAACCTGAATCCATTTTAGACTGCATAAGAACACCACCCCTTATCAATTTGCATGATCAGCTAAGAAAGTAAATTTAATTTTTAACACAGTATGAAGAAAAATTACTTTGATACATGCTTGTATATAAGGGTAACACCAAAAACCCCAGAGATAATCTAAAACCTTCTACATTTAATTTCTTATATTATGTTTGTGGCCTTTATTACATACTTTTAACCTTTTAGAACACTCTCTCATACCTTTTCTTAAGAACCAAGAATTTTAAACCCTTAGGTGACAGGTAAAAATGGAAAGAATTGTACAATATATAAAAACCCCTTTTTTTTAACATTAAGTTCAGAAAAGCATGAAATCATCAGCCTAGAAGTCCCAAAGACTAAAAATAAATTGTGATGAGAAAAGAAATGTAACACTAATTTGTCACACTGACACACTTTCTGTACAGAATTTCGCAAACATGAAATGAATACTCTGGATTCATAAACCATTTTCCCCAGAACTGCACAACTCGAATAGAGAGCAAGATGTTGCAGAAAGCGACAGACTTAAGGATTCTTTTCACTTATCAAATTTAATCCCAGTCAAACCACAGCCATTTGTACAAGACAGTTCTTGTGTGGTATATGCTAATGTAACAAAACCACGAAATTATTTACCACACCATTAGAAACGTCCATCATGAAAATATCTGGCAGCAGAACAGAAACAAGAGTGGCAGCAGGTTCTTCTACAAAGCCAGTTCAACACTTTGAAAGTAGTAGCCAAAATAAATGCATATGTGAAAAATATTAAGAGGTAAATTAAAAGGTACAGCATTATGTATACCTGCATTTCTAGCATATGTATGAAAAATACAACAAATTTTCCTTTAGTCTGCTCTAACCACGAGCCAAAAGAAAACCTTCTCACTAGAGAACCTTTATGATGGCTGACCTTTCAGTAATTGACCATGACATTAATTCCTTGAAGAACTAAACTGCACGCTCACTCAGGAGAACAAAAGCATATTTTAAGAAACACGTGAATTTGATGCATCCTACTGAAATCTGAACTATGTGCTTCATAAATGTATAACGAGACACTGCACGTTCTTACCTGTCTCGATCTGGGTCTTCCAGGAGAAAACTTGCGCTTGGTGATGGCTGGTTTTCCCATGCCGATTTTTGGAGTGACTGATATGTAAGTTGTTGGGAGAGCACTCCCAGCAGTGGAAGGCAGTGCTGGGGGCTGGCTGTGCTGGACATCTCGTGCAGAATGCAAGTCCAGTGAAACATCTGGCGAGGAAGACACGTTTGTCTTGATATTAACTGACGGGGGAAGTGAGGGGCAAGTCTCAGCTGGTGATTTTACGGGTTTGTCTCCAAGTGGTGAACTGTTTGCAACACCCTCATTTGAAGAAGTAGTTTCTACTTCTAGAAGAGCTGGTGTTTCTGACTTCTCACAAGTTTCTCCTCTTTCTACATCTTTTTGCACTTTTATTATTTCCAGTTGTTGTTCTACAGGGACAGAAACGTCTCCTTTGCTTTCAGTCTCCAGTATTTCTGGCGTCACAGTTACGGCCTCAGGTACTGAAGACAGAGACCGAGAGTCTACTGTGGATACTTCTGATCCCTCCCCACTGCCTTGTGGCAGCTGTGTCTCTTCAGCTTGTTTGTCCAAGTCCTGCTGTGCTACAGCTTGAACGCCTTCCATCACTTCCATCATTTTCTCACTCTGACTGTCACCAGATGCTGGTGTCTTTTTAGGAGACATTTCCATTTCAGCCGAATTCATTTCAACAGAGACATCTGTTTCCAGTTGTGTGGTCTTTTCTTCTGGTGATATGCCTGTAACTAAGTACAACCACATTAAAGGTTCAGTGTGAAAAACAAAACAAAACAACCCTTACACTGCTGTTCTGGTCAACAGGTATACTTGGTACACATCAAGCATGCAAAGGGTATATCATTTTACTTAAGAGAATTTAATATGTAGCTTAAAATATACTTCATAAATATCTTTCTTTGTACCTATGTTTATAGTAGTCTATCTTTTTAGTTCACTATTTTTCTTCCCTGAAAACACAGAACAGCAAATCACAAGGAAGCAGACCCACGAATAATTTTTGAGGAACTGAACACATTTCCAGGTAGGCAGCCAAAAGTAGCTTCTCCTTTATCATTTCTGTGTATTCAAGACGTATGCTATCATAAATTAATGTATTTTAAGCTACTGCTCCAACACTTCCAAAAAGCAGACAGCTAAGAATAACAGAACAAGCATGAATAATGAACATTTTCCTCCTAGCTCTCTTTCAGACTATAGGAAATCACCTGAAATGAAAAAATTTGATATACTGCTCTTTAATTTACTGAGGTCTCATGGATTTCTTTCCAAAATATTTGCCTAGCCTTCCCTTGAACCAAATCAAGCACCTTTCATCCACAACTTTCTTCATCAAGGAGTTCCAGAGTTCTTGTTCCACTCCATAAAGAACCACATTCTTTGCTCCTAAATTTGGCTTCTTACATCTTCCTTTGATGGATCCTGATTCTCTTACAGGCCACTTAATTTCTATTACACTTCACCTGTGTTTGATAAGGTATATTTATTCCTAGAACACAAATTATCAGATACTGCAACACACTCTGTTCTGGAAGAATTTTTAATTAAACAACTTGTCTTTTATTTACAAAGGAAAAAAAGAAAGAAAATAGGAACTCCTTAAGCAAAGATACTTGTGGAGTCACAACCATGAAGAAGAAACTGGAAAAGAAAAAAAATTAAAAAAATTTAAAAAATTAAAAAAAAAAAAAGTGCCCCAAAGCACTCCAGGGGAAATTAATCCAATCCAGTTACTTGAAGCTACAAATAAAAAATAAAAACCTTGAAGAGGAAGTATGAATGACTGTATTTGAATACCAACAAATCATTGTTGTTTACTATAAACTTCCAGTGTATAGAAGCATTTAACTATTTTTCCAAGTTCTGGAGAAAGCCAGTCCCAACAAAAAGTAAAACAACTGTCCTACACAAATATTCTGAAGGCTATTTCTGCTTTCAGTAACATCCTTCCTCAGTAAAAAAAATTATACTCTTGCTTGAGAGCTCAGATAGCAGAACTGTTGCAATATGTCTCCTACTGCTTTCTAGGCCCTTTTTCCTCTTAAATTTATAAAGCTCTACAGACCTTACTGAATGGTACTGAAGGGTTCTGAACTGGAATTTTCTCAGAGAGCAAAACTCTTTCTTACCTTCTGGGACATGTCCAACAGCTGATTCCTGATCAGGGCCATCACCAGTAATGGGCTGTTCCTGAAATGTCACATCCTCTCCACCACCTTCCATTTCCATTTCATTTGTACAAGCTGAAGGAGAAGCAAAGAGGTTATTAAAATTGCTATGATGTTTATTCTATTACTTTGGCATCAGCAGTTGCTGTGACTGTTTGACCTTTTGACTAAAGAGGCTGATGTTTAGTGATGACAGGAGTTAGGACAAGCCAGGCCAATGAGAAGCTTAGGGACACTACACAGTACTCCTTAAAAATTAGGAACCTGTGAGTCATTAACACCGAAGCTGTTTTATACTTTTCAGATGGTGAAACACATTTGTAAAGCAATAATATACCCCTAATTGTGAAAACATACACAGAGTCACTTCTGCATAACTTGAGCAATACAAAAAGGTTTTTTCTTAAATTCCAAGTCTGTTAAATTCAACAGAACTTGTAACATGAAGGCTTCGAATTTTTATACAAATACTACAATGGCTTATGGCATAGATAAGAGGTTCTATCTACTATCAGCACTTGGAACATTGATTTTCAACCGATCCGTTCAACAACATGAAAACTAAATTTTGCCACTTAAGAGGCAGGATACCTTATCTGTGACTTCCTCCTGTTAAATTAAGGAATTCACACAGAAAAGGCACTACTGAGTGTTTCTGTGGCTGACAATATCATTACAGAACCCAGAAACAGGAAATACTTATTTTTTTTCCTTGTGTAAAAGCTTTTTCAGTTCAGGAAATTCATTAAAATGCATTATGTAAACTAGAAGTATGAAAAACACAGTATATAGCCAGCATTAACTCGAAGGGAACTGATTCTCCATGGATGTTAGCACAAAAAAAGTAAAACAAATATAGCTTTCTGTATCAAGAATGTCTCTTTAAAGTTCAAAAAGACAGAAACTATTAGGTGATTCTACTTTTAGCACCCTAAAAGCTGCTCTCAGACTCTGCCAGCTTTAAAGTGATATTTTAACTTTAGGGAAAGGATCATTTAGATTGGCTCCAAATTTGATTTTAAAGTATAAAAGTGCTCTCCTGGGTATAAAACACTGCATGACTGTACTAACGTAATAGCTCCAGATTACTCCTAGTAGCTGAGATGACAGTCAATGCTTCTAGTAGCTAGAAATGCTAACAGAGGCATTACTTAGAACTTTAGCCTTTCAGATACACCTGTGACTTATTCAGAAGGGTTTTCAGTAGGAGACTGGGTGTTGTCCCACTGCAATTTTTGGACATCTTTGAAATGATCTAAATACAGTGCCTGAGAGTCCAACAGTCTCTCCTAACCCTTCAGAAGGGAAGATCTTCAAAGGCTGAAGTGGCCACTCTTGCTAACTCGATTCACTGAAAGACATTTACCTCCTGTCATTGTCCTTCCTCCAGGAGCACCTTTTTCCTCAGGTCTTTAGTGCTCACAAAAGGTAAGCACTTACATGTACAGGCTACCATCAAAGAGCATGACTTGTTTACAAAAAACATCAGTTTGAACACAAATATTAGAGTTTTGCTGTGGTCCCTTTCCTGTCAGAATGTAAGACTTTCAAAAACATAGATATTCATGCAACAGAGCTATCAATTTCTTTTAACATGAGACCAGTGCACAAGCACTGCTGCTTAAGGATAAAAAATGCACGTGGCAGTCAATCTGTTACATTTTACCTGCTTCTAAATTTAACCACGACTGTACTTCTGCAGGGAAATCCAGCCAGCACGAGCACAGGTGCTGCCCGACAGAGCACGTGGTGTGAAATACACAGGGGTATTTGGTTAAGAGTTCATTGCACTGCTCTTGTGGATGACCCACCAGACCTCAGATCAACAGATCCAAGTTCCCTCCTTGCTTCCTTACTGCTAGTGAGTAATTTTTATAAAATACTTGACACTTTCCTACAACATTCCACCTGCTGCTTGATTTGTCCACTTAGACACAAGTCTTTCAGAAATCAGGTGCCTAATCATACATTGCTTTGAAAAAGAACAGAACACCTGTTTAGTTAAATATGCATCTCTCCCTCAAACACAGCCCAGCTCCTACTGCTGTGTCCTTCCTGCACATAGCGAGGGGAAGGGGCACTCTGAGACTGGCAAGCAGCAAGGGAGAAACGGGAGAACTGGGTGTCTCCAGGAACATCCACCAGAAGCTGACTTTGCCTGGGAGGTGGGCACAGATGAATAAAACAGGCTGTTGAATAAATACATTTATGAACTGTACTATATTAAAAAAAAATTAGAGAAGTTTACAGCTACAGCCTGGGAAGCTGGAAGGTTGAGAGCCACAATTAAGGTGATTATTAGCCCATGTTTGTTTACAGGATCCTGAAGCCAGAAAACATATGGAGAAGACAGCTCACCCATGGATTGCTGAGCAGCTGCTGTTAAATAAAGGAATGGATGAACTCTACAGAGCAGAATATGAGTGGCTGGTTCAAAAAAAACTTAGTGAGACAGCTGCAGATGTTATATTTGATGTCAGCACTTTGGAGCTGTGAAGTTTACATTTGATTACCTGTTATACTGTCAGGTTCAGGAATGAGTTCAGAAGTGTTCATTACATCACATGACTGAGTGTGATCCCCTTCTCCTTGTCTACAAAGAGTGCAGATGTAGTCTTTCAACTGAGACTCCAATTCACTACCTGGAGATCTGTCACATTCTATGTGAATCCACCTGGGGAGATTAATTTATTGTAACCATGACTTTAACAATAAAAATATAAAGCATCATAGTAAAACCCAATTAAAAATAGTACTGTTTCTCATTCCAATGGGGAAATAAAGATTTTCAACCAATGCTTTATTATGGAGAATCTTAAAAAAATAAGCATGATACATCAACATGTGAAGCAGTGAACAAATTTAACATGAAGACCTAAACTGTCCCCAAAACCAATTGGACTCTGCAACATGTATAGTAACATCATGATATTGCACAGCAAGATACAACAGCATTGAATATGAAACATAGTTTAAATTCTTAAAATGTAAATAGTGCTACTTTTTATTTTTTTATTACTGGAATAGCTAAACACATGCTTGAAAACACATAAACAGAAAACACATAACTTGAAAATTTAAAAAAAAACCCAAAAACATGACAGAGGACTGCAAACAACAGTCTTTAAATGTTATGACAATGGCTTTTCTAGTCTGCTTCCTCACAAAATAGGTGCAATTTAAGAAGCAGCTGCAGCAGGCAACTGCCAGGTACCCTCAGGTAACTGCCAATTAATACTTATTTGCTGAGATTAAAATAAAGCTACCTACTATTGTTCATTGTATTTAGGGATGAAGGATCAAGAATCTGCAGCACTGTACATCAAACACAGGGTACACCCTTCCCAGACACACGTCAGTGTCACACTGCTCATCACAAGCTCTATGCATTTTAGGACAGTTCAACAAAAATTTGGATTCTTACCTTTTGCACATGTGACAATGCAACATATCTTTCTGGAAGTCTTGGAGGCACAGTTTTTCACAGAAAGGACAAGATAAGTTGTCTTGCTGTTGGTAACAACTGTCACATACCAAACAATTATGGTGCCACTGACAACTTGTTCGTGTGCCACACTCAGCACATACTCTACAGTTCTAGAGATCACAAGAATTTAGTTGTTAATTATGATATTTCACAATGTGGGAGAACTGCCATTAACTGACATTTTCCTGTTTTGAGCTAAATTTAATAGTTTTTGTCCTTGGTAACACAAACAAATTATCCAGGATCTGATAACAGCCCATGAAGAACCTGCACAACAGCAAGGTTCCTTGTACTACTCCCTGACTTGGAAAGGAGTATTTCTTATGAGACCAAAATTTTTATTGCTAATCTCACAAACTGACACAAAATTACATACATCTCATACACAGGGATTTCCCTTGTTACGCTGAAATCATATATTTATTATTACTTACACTTACAAAGTTACTGAAAAAAACCAACAAATTTATCCTGCCCTCTTCAAATGCAAAGGAACTCACGAGCTACAGAACTGCTGTTCTAGTAAGCAAGCAGCTCAATATAAAGAGCCTTCAAATACAGATCACATACACAACTCTACAGGCTTGAGCTTACATTTTAGTTTACAACAGATCACGAGAGCAGCTGTTGTTAAGGGAAGGTTACCCACTCCACCTGGATTCTACACTTCCCTTTCCCCTGTGGAGGTTGATTTACTGTCCTACCCAGGCTGCTCCAGCCACTGCACTGACAGCTCCCCTCACAGAGCAGCTGCAGAGCCCCAGGATTGACAAACAAGCAGGACCCCTTCAGAAATTACAATTCACCTTACGCAGCACCAGCAGTCCACAACACACCTGGAACAGCGTAAGGTGGGGAACAAAGCCTGGGCCCCCCGGAAAGACGAGGAATTACTCTCAAAGCTTTCCACTTACTTTACATTTCCAACCATTTGTTGGAACGGCGTCCATCACTGGCTGCAGACAGAAGGTATGGTAGCCTTTGTCGCATGTGTCACACACCAGCATCTTGTTGTCTTCCCCAGAATGCCTGAGGAAAGTAGCAAGGGGTTAAAAAAATTACTCAAACGAGCCACAACAAAAGTATCTGTTTAATGAAAAGTCCAAACAGGAAGGTACACAGCTGAACACATGAAAATAAACAAATGCTACTTACAAATAGAGACAATGCCTTCAAATTAATTTATAAATACGAGCGCAGACCACTATTCATTTATCAAGTGCTGAGCCAGTGCAATCACTCTTCTAGGTATTGGCCCATTCTCATTTACACACGTGTAGGCAGATTTAATGGCCTTTGTGTACTGAAACCAGCTCAGAATCTGCAATATGCATTTTATTTCTTTCTGAAGAGAGCATCCAGTTGTACTTGTTTCTACATTCTGACTGTAATTTTTCCAAAGAAAAAAAAGGAGCCATCACCTCTGACTACCAGAGCTTCTACAGTGTAAACCAACATGACTGCAAGAGCAAAACAAACATTAGAGGAAGAGATTTCGATTTTTCTACAATCATGTGTTACAGAACTCCACCACAAATCCCAGTGATAAAATAAATTTGCAGAGAATAAGACAAATAGTTTGGTAATATCTGAAGGTACTGTGTTCTGCCTTAGTTTAAATAAATTAATTCATAAAAGTACGTATGAAACAAGATTTGCCTTGATAAAGCTTCACAGTACATGGCATTACACATACTAGATACTACCTCATTACCTGGGAGACCTGATATTTTAAAAAACACTCCCTTTGCATGGAAATATGCTTAAAATGTTCTTCTTCAATGGTGGCAAAAAATTGCCATACTGTATTAATTAATCATAGAATCATAGGATGGTTTGGGTCAGAAGGGACCTTAAAGATCATCCAGTTCCAACTCCCCTGCCATGGGCAAGGACACCTTTCACCAGACCAGGTTGCTCAGAGCCCCATCCAGCCTGGCCTTGAACACTTCCAGGAATGGAACAGTCACAGCTTCTTTGGGTAACTTGTGCCAGTGTCTCACCACCCTCACAGCAAAGAATTTCTTCTTAATATCTAATCCAAATCTACCCTCTTCCAATTTAGAGCCATTTCCCCTTGTTCCACCACTCCATGCCCTTGTAAGAAGCCTCTCTCCAGCTCTCTTGTAGTCCCTTTAGGCACTGGAAGGTGATCTAAGTCTCCCCGGAGTCTTCTCTCTCCAGGCTGAAAAATCCCAACTCTCTCAGCCTGTCTCCATAGCAGAGGTTCTCCAGCACTCTGATCATCTTCATGGCCTCCTCTGGACTTGCTCCAACAGGTCCAAGTCCTTCTTGGTAGGAACCCCCACGCTGTGCTGGGGACCCCAGAGCTGGAGGCAGCACTGCAGGTGGGGTCTCATGAGAGCAGAGTGGAGGGGGAGAATCCCCTCCCTTGACCCACAAGCCACACTGCTTTTGATGCAGCCCAAGACATGGTTTTCGGGACTGCAAGTGCCCATTGCCAAATCCCCCAAGTCCTTCTCCTCAGGGTAGCTCTCAAACCAATCCCTGCTCTGCCTATACTTGTGTTTGGGATTGCCCCAACCACGGTGCAGGACCTTGCAGGACCTTGGCCTTGCTGAACTTCATGAGGTTCCCACAGGCCCCCCTCTCCAGCCTGTCCAGGTCCCTCTGGATGGCATCCCTTCTCTTCAGCATTTTGACTGCACCACACAGCTTGGTGTCGTTGGCAAACTTGCTGAGGGTGCATCAATCCCACTGTCCATGTTGTGACAAAGGTGTTAAACGGTGACAGTCCCAGTTCCAAACCCTGAGGAGCCACACTCGTCACTGGTCTCCAGTTGGACACCAGTTGTTGGTCACAACCCTCTGAGTGCGACCATTGAGCCAAATCCTTATCCACTGAGTGGTCCATCTGTTAATTCCACGTCTCTCTGGTTTAGAGACAAAGATGTTGTGTCAAGTATTTTGCACAAATCCAGACAGGTGACATCAGTTGCTCTTCCCTCATCCACCGATGCTGTAACCCCATCGCAGAAGGCACCAAATTTGTAAGGCATGATTTGCCCTTGGTGAAGCCGTGTTGTCTTTCACCAACCACCTCCTTATTTTCCATGTGCCTTAGCACAGTTTCCAGGAGGATCCGCTCCATGATCTTCATGGGCACAGAGCTGACCCTGACTGGCCTGTAGTTCCCCTGGGTAGTCCTTACTTCCCTTTGCAAAACTGGGGGCTATGTTTCCCTTTCTCCAGCCAGTGGGAACTTCACCAGACCAGCATGACTTCTCAAATATGATGGATACCTCAGGATCCATGGATATATTTCATCAGGTCCCATGGACGGCGTGTGAAAACATCAAATTTTCTTCTACTTTTCCACTAGAAGAAGGTTTGTTAGCAGCTGCTGTAATTATCCTGTACAACATTTTTAGGGATCCCTTTTAGAACATGTTTCTCTATTCTAACTTCATTGCTGGCATTTGCTATCCACTGTCTGTGACCAGGGAACAATCTTTTTTGAAGTGGGTTCAGTGAATGACAGCAAATACCAAGTGTTCTGCTTGGAAAACAGCAAATCACTGACTGATCAGGAACATGAGGCAGTAGTAAAGTGGGGGTTTTTCCCTCATACTGTCCCAGCCGATCTGACTAAAGCTGAACAAAACTCCTATTTCTTTTTCAGTTAAGTCCTTGAAAAAAACCTAAAAAACCTAAGCAAGCAGAAGAATCCTGCAGTGCCCATCAGATTAAGTTATAAGAGAACAAAGGTAAAGTGGTCAGAATTTTCTAAGTGAACCCTCACAGCATCTGAGCAATTGAGTTTCACTGTCTCAGTATTTGCCTGGTACAAATACTCAATCACAGTCACTTGTGTAGTTTTTCTTAGCTCAACTAAGCCATGGTTTTGTTTCCATAATGACTCATTATCTGCCTCTGAAGGACATTATGAAATAGGAGAGGGCCTAATGCAGGAGGCCTGCCTGGTCTGTAGGTACTTGCAGGGCTGAACTGTCAGCTGAGTAAGAGCACAGGCTCCCAGACTGTAAAGGCACTACATTAAAATCATTTGTTTATTTGGTAAATTTGAGAAAAATCCTCCTGTATGAAAGGAGGATAAAAATCAGAAGGTTTTGCTGCTCTCCAGAACCTGCCAAGGTAATGGTAACTTTAGGGGTATAATGCACAGGATTTTAAGCTCAGCTCTTTTAGAGGAAAGTTTTCAACACAGGGGTTTGTTCACCTACTTAATATAATATCACAACAGACAGAGCTGGGCTAATAACCCACAAATTTTGGGGAAAAATACCCCAAACACTTAATAAAATGGATATTTTAAAATCAAATACAATAAAACAAAGCACATAAATGTCACATTGTCCTCCTCCATATCCTTTAAGTTTCACTTACTTGCAGTTCTGGCACACTTTGCAATCAGGACACTGCCAACCTGCTCTTTTTAAAGGTGTAACTTGTATGTCCAGGCACATCCCATGGTAGTGCTGGCCACAGGTAGTACAAAAAAGTTGATCTAAGAGGTCTCCAGGGCTGTCACACACTGCACAATTTGCTTCTTCTTTTGCTACAAAGGAATTATTTTTTTCAATTATTATTTCTTCCAAAATTATGAACAATTCAATGAGCCCAAGAAATTCTTTAGTAGTTCTTACGCATACAAAACTTGATAATTCTTAGGAAATTCAAATTTAATTAATATTTTTAATAGCTACTACTCTAATTCAGCTTTCTCAGCTAATCTTCTCATAACAAAAGTACATTCATTTTAAACCTTAATGAATGAAGTTTGACAAAAAGAAACAGTTTTATTCTCCTTGAGATAAAACTGAGAGCTTTAGGACCAACTCCTCTTTGGAACATGTGAGAAATAAAGCTCCTAACATATCTAAATCTATTATTTAGCCAAAGTGTTCGGAAGAAGGGTGCTCTAACTTGAGTTAGGACAAGTGAGCAAGTCTATGAATTTCAGCTCAAACCTGACAGAAGACAACCCTCACCAGTAAACCCTTCCCATGTTCTGTCAGTAAAAGAACAATATTTTGCTGTGCAGCACTGCTGGTCTTTAAAAACAGAAGAGGATGAACTTGCATCTCTCTCATACCTGAACACACATGAATTCTTGGGTACACAAACTGCGAAAATGGGTCCAAACAAATGCAGTCTAAAGCTGATCCTACCACAGATTGGGTTTCATAAAACCCAGTAATAATTTTGCCATTTGAACACTGTGTACTTACATCTTTCAGGAGCCTGATCAATGTGGTCTGGACAAAGGAGGGACAAATTACTGAAATCCTGAAATGTGCCTGCTCCAGCAGCACAGGGGTAATGGTACATCTGGGTACATTTCTCTTCACAGCATTTGATAGTGGCTCCAAGGTGCTTACAAAATGCACATCGCTGGAAAACAAACAGGACAAGTCGTTCAAAACCTACTTTTTCTTGTCTTTTTTTTTTCAGCCACATCTGTTCCCCTGTGTCTCTTGACAAACACCTAATAAGGCAGGGAATTCTGAGGAGAGGTAAATTAATGAACAATGTCTTCAAGTGGCATTCCCAGATCTTTACAACTTAAAATGTTCAACGAAACCCACCCTAAATGCACCCTGATGACCATGATTCTTCTTGTCCTATGTTATCTAACCAGTAATGAGGCTTGGAGACTTATTCTGAGAATAAAGGCAGACAACATCACGCCGTCAATAGGTTATGACTAAAAAACACACAGCTCTGTAAGCTGTAATGTAAAACCACAGACATAGTAACCAGAAACACAAATGGAAATGAAATATGATGTTCCCCCCCCCCAAAATCTTACTGACATCACACAATTCTCTCTGGGATGATAACGCATTGCATACCCTCGCAATTTCTTCTCATCTTGCCTTTCAAGGCTACACAAATATCACCACCAAACTTTGAAGAGTCATAAATAAGCGTGATTATTATTAGAGACCAGAGAAATAATTTCTCAGAAAGAACAACCTAATAATCCTCCAGTTCTCTAGTCAAGAGGGAACATGGTCTATCAGCCTACTTGTGAGATATCACCCGCACCTTTCTAATTCAGTTAATCAGTCTTCTTTCTTTCTCAGATTCATTACAGTCCCCAAAGCACTCTAACATGCTTTTGCACTTTTTCACCAAGGCAACAATACTTTTTAAGGCACAGCACCGTAAGATTTTGAGTGGATTTAAAAAAAAGAAAAGAAAGAAAAAAAAAAAACAGGTCAGTGGCTCATAGGAAGGCATCCATAATATACATCGACAACTGAGCTCAGGGACTCTCGTTTTTCATAATAAAAATATAATACTATCACTGGTATGTTTGATTACTAGCTCAAGTGTCAAGTAGCATCCAAACACGAACATAAACAAAATCAAAGAAAAGTTATGTACTGCATATGCTTACTTCTAAGAGTACAGACAATATGTATTACCATAATTCTTCTCTGTTTCAAAGCCTGGCATGAAATTAGGCATGAAACAGCGCTACTACAAGTCCACAGGCATCAAAACCAGCCCATATGAAAATACAAATCACAAAGCTGCCTGTGTCAACAGCTACACTGATATTCTTGAAACCAGCTGAAACGAACATCTTCAGCAAAATATCTGCTTGCGCCACAACTCATGGACAAGAGACAGGAAAAACATCAGTGTATGCTAAACACAACTGCAGCGTAAAAAGATAAAATGCTCCGGCACAGAAATTCAAGCGGGTCACCAAAGACAGCTACTGCCACACTCCTGTGCTACAGTCTGGTCTTCTGATCTGCAAGGCATCTCACCCCTACCCATGTGTCTAACGCATCCTAAACATATGGAAAAGGTGTATTCTGTTACTTTACTGGTTGAAATGCAGAGGAGAGCGGGGGGAACAAGATAACCGAGTAATAACATGGGGTTCCTGAGGCGGGGGAAGGCAACAGCAACAGTAATTCCATTTAAGGACTGCCAACAAACCCAAAGTCCTGCAAGAAACTCCTTTTAGGAAATGGTATCTTCAGTAAGCACTGTAAAAGGTAAACCTCGAAGTTTGATGTGAAACAATAAAAATACAGCCCCCCCAAGACTCCAACTTCATGAACAACAGCTGCACACGAAGCAGCAAAATCCCCACTGCCCTGTTTTGCAATTAACATTCCAACAGCCTGTGGAGATGGACCAGGTCAGAGCTGAGCTTCAACTTGTGCAGGCCACACTTTTTCCAAACGTTTTACTTGGTACAAAAAAAAAAAAAGAAAAAAAGGAATTGTGAGGGACTAAGATCCAAAATGTGTACCTCAAAAAAGTATTCAACGAGACTTGGTTGGACCCCATTATTAACCATAAATAACTATCTAATCGGGAAAGAAAATCATGAAAGAACTGCAAACACTCAAAGAATCCAATATTTATTAAAAGTTGGGAATAATGGTCTAAACAGCAACATAAATGGCATTTTTAAACATCACATCTGTTTTTCAAAACCACCAATCAACCGTGGTATGCAGCAAATATATAATCAGAATTATATATACCTTTTCCCAAATGCCAAATGACTAAATGATGAAATTATTAGAAATGAGCAAACTACAGGATTACCGCAAAGCCTTGAAAAATGTTGATGTTGATTTAAGGAACCACATAAAGACGCTGGAAGAAAAATGGAAGCCCAAATTATATGTAATTGAACCCTTCAAACCCATCTGCTAAACTGCACTGGCAATGAAAAGCATTTGGCAGATAACTAAAAAACACACTTTGAAAACAATGTGGTATATATCATCTGAAGCAAATAAAAAGGAAAGAATATCAACATTTGCTGAATTTATAAGAGAGATAAAGCAGTCTGAAGAAACTAATGCCCAAAGGGATTTTTTTGGCAACAGATGTTGATGAGAAGACTGACTTTTCCAGCACTAGAAGCCAACATTCTTCTGAAGTCAGGCCCCATGCAATGGCCCCCAAAGAACAGAAAAGTATATTTAATTAAAAAAAACAAAACAAACAAAACTCTGCTAAATAAACTCAGTAACAAATACATGGCATCAGGACAGAAGGAGGCAGAATGAAGGAGTAAATCCTACTGCCCATGAGATGCAAGCGTCTCTATCACACAGTGTGAGGGCAGTAACAGAGCCAGGGACAGTCTGGAGTTTCATTTATATGACCACAAACTAAGGTGTTAAGTGGAGGGGGTGGAAGCTGGATCCGAGTATTCAATGGGCAGGTATAGGAAAATGCCAAGTCGTGAAAGCAAGAAAAACACTGTTTTGTTCGTGGATCAAACAATTTTACAGTCCTGTTCTACAGGGGAAAAAAAAAAACTTTACAAGGTGTCAGAAAGCTAGAAAGATAGTTCATTATTTATTCATAGTACATTCAAGGAAATAAATGTCACTAAAGCAGAGCCAGCAGACTACTTTCCTACTCAGAAAGTCCTTCACTGGCTACCTACAAGTGTTCCCTTCTGGAAGCTCCCTGTGCACTCAATAGCAAGAAAGCTCTGAACCCACAGACACTTCTGCTACTTCTTATTATTGTAATTTCCATCACTTAAAACTGTCCACTCCTCCTCCCACTTGGCCCTTTTCACTCTTTTCCTTTTATATATGTTTTTGTCACACAGACAGAAAAGGAACTAATTTTTAAAAGCAAACAGCTATGCAGTCTTTCAAATTTCATTTTAAAATTCCCTTTATTCACTAACCCCATTGGAACAAATACCACATTGTTACACAAACACACAAATACAATAGTGAAAGATAGTGAAAGAACTAAGTGAACCAACAGAAAACATCAGAAAACCCTGATCAGTCACCTTCTCTGTTTTCTACCTCTGTGAAATAGAGTGGCAGAAACCACACAGAAAATTTCTGGCGAGGCAAAACTTCCAGCTCCATGCTAGAACTGTGATTGCAGGAAACTCAACTGAAAAAAAAGGTTAATTCTGCCCGTGGCTTGGGAACTGAGCTGAATGTCACATATTGGCTGTTGGTTTTAATGGAAACAGATGGCCAAACTGGAAAATTGTGACAACAGCAATAGCTTACTGTTCACGTCTTCCTAACCTTCCTACGTCTTTAGAAAAAATAACTGAGAAAATATATATTCCAGCTTTAAATCAACCTTCCCTGCTGCTCCACACTTTGGAGTATTCCAAAACTCTGTACAAGTCCAAATGGGAAAAAGATGTTTGTAAGATAATGTAATATTTTATCTAGACAGTATTAATTATTTTATTTTATTGCCAGTAGAATTACTTTATGGTATTACTGTCTCAGCAACTGGACAACTAACAACCCTTAGAAGGCAGACATTCAAGAAAGGCTAAAATAAGGACTTTGAATAAATACTTTGTTGCAACCTGATTAGTGTCATAAAGCTAAATGCTAGCATTAGGAATTGCAAAATGTTCTTAAGCACAATGACAAAAAGTTTTCACTGATTATGAACTTTTCCTTTAAAAAGATCAGCTGACAAAACCTATGAGAATAATAAGAAATTTTAATTTTATGATAGTGCATCCAAAAATACACACAAGTCACCTGTCCTTGGTTAAACAATTTAATGCATTACCTGGAAGAATAAATTTCAGACTGTTCAGCTCCTGAAAGCTGCTGTCAGACAAACCTGCACCTGAGGAGAACTGAACCAACAACCTGCCATTAACAAGATCGTGAAGAAATTTTTGTATAACCAGTGATTACTGAAATACCTTCTCTGCTCGTTCTAATAATCTTCATTGATTACTCCATCATCTAGAAAAAGCTTTATATTGCTTGTAGGCACTAATCACCATTAGCACCTCTCATGTCAAATACACTGCTTTAAGCACCATAAAGCATTAAAGAGCACAATCCAGTAAGATGGCAACATAAAAACAATTACTGGCTTTTCACTGAAATACTGATTAGAAAAGGTACTAAAATAGCACACATTTCCAGGAGTACTGGAAATTACCTTCCATTTTTGAAATTTTATATCATTCATGTCACAAATTTGGAAATTACTTCAATATATAACATGCAATTCAAGCAGAGATCAGGATTTTTTTTTCCCCTCAATCCTTAACACAGTGACTCAACACATATAATCAAGGTAGAAAGCAAAAGTCCCTTTAAGTGTGGAGATTTCAGGCTCTCTACAAGTCACTGCTTTGTTCTTCCTTCCCACCAACTGCCTCTCCTTTTCACCTTTATAAAAAATTACATTAAATAAATGGTGTTGATATCAAGGCATGTAAGAATTGGGAGAAGAAAGCATTCATGTTTTGCATGGGAGTTTTTTGTAATAGTTGTGATAGATTAATATCTTACAAGAATCAAGTTTGCTAAGGGAGATAACTATTTTCTATTTGAAACTTGAAATAGGTAGAGGAAAACATGCAAAACTATAGGGCACAAGAATTCTTC